CTTACAATAAAATAACAAGTTTTATTATATTATAGTATTATTTCCGAATATATTTCAACTCGTAGTTTAAAATTATATATATGTATCGTGAGAAATATATACCTTTCGATAAATAATTATCGTCTCGCTTACAAGTCACTAGAGTTAATTAATCGCGCAGATTGATAATCCTTGATTGCAATATTAACGGGTGATAATTATTTTTTATACACGAAGAGAAATATTTCGCTTTGACTTTTTCATCGAGTCAGATGTAATTTGTTAATCTCGAATTTGTACGAATTAAAAGCCCTCGATATGATAAGCGTGCGAGTCGTTTTAATCGAGTGATTAAAATATTGAAAAAAGCTATATATTAATTATTTATTAATAATTAATTTAAAATGGGTATTATGCCATTAGATATAATGTGTTGAGATATATTACGCGAATAGTTAGAAAAGCGACAATATATTTTCGAAATATATACACACATATATATATATATATATATATATATTATATATATATATATATATATATATATATATATATATATAAAAGAAAAATGAAATTTATTTTACGAATATTTATCTTCAATTTGAATTTCGTATATTTATACGTGCGCACTTATACGTTATAATACAAAATAATAATCGTTGAAACGAAATATATCTTTTAATAGTAACAAAAGCAACACTGACGCGCAAATTGTAACTTTGTGCGAACAAAGTTCTCGCATTGTTTTTCCGTCGCAATTTAATAAAGTGCACATCGCGTGCGATTAATATCGGGAGTGCCGTACAAAGTATCGCGCGATCGTTGTATTCGAGTGATTAGTGCAAATGCAAACGTAATTAATCGTATTTTCGTCATGTGAGTGCCATAAAAGAACAGACGACCCAAGACAAAAAGGAATTTCGAGGATGCGTCGGACGATGGCCAACGTAAAGGAGTAAGTAATTTACAATAATTTATATATTACTTCTTACTTTTATAATATTAATTATTGTTTTATTAATTATGTAATGAGAACTATCTATTTTAAGTTATTGTTTGATATAAATATATAAATTATTTGAGACCTTGACATTTCTTTTAAAAGATTTTAAAACAATTATAATTATATAGATAATTTTCATATCAGAATTAAGGGATACAAGACATTTTTTTATTTATCTTGTCGGAGGAAATATATAATATTCAATTGAATAAATCTTTCTTTTTATGTAAAATGCAATTTTGTAATAAATACTCTTGCACAAAACATGTAAAGAGAACAGCCACGAAAACTTTTAAATATATATATATATATAAGCTTGCAAGAGAGTGAAATCGATGTAAACGGAACTCTTACGACTAACTTACTTTTTTTATCGTAAGACATCGTAAGGGATGCAACAGTATTTTTCTTTTTGGCACATCGCATTGATTTTTTTCATAGAAATTTTAATCTTCGATGTTTTAAATTTTCTTTGTTGTTTGCTGATTGCACGTGTTTGTTTTCGATCATAATTTTACATATAAATTGTACATGTAATTTACATTTCCCTGCAAGCTTACTTAGTATCTACATATTTTAATCTTTTCTCTCTCAAAAACGCTTTCTCTCTCATTTTCCTTCTCTTACAAAGTTAAGACTGATAATTTTAGACTTACCTTTGCCTCGCAGACACGCGAAAGAATCTCGAAAGAAGCGAATCCTCGCGAATCCGCGCGCGGGCGACACGCGCCACGTTTCTCGCGGCGATTTTAATTCCGGCGAATTTCAAAGGTATTTTTACGAAGGACGGGAAGCGTCAGTCAAAGAGTACGCGGATATAGAGAGGGGCGGGGGAGGGGGGGGAAGTTACCGCGAGGGAGAGAGAGAAAGGGAGAGGAGGAAGAGGTGGTGGAGGAGTGGAATCGTCGATTGGCTTACATGCCACCTGTAGCACCGCGGGAATGCGGTCGACTCGCGCTCGTTGTGATATCGCTTAGAGGTCTCGGGAAGGGATTCATCAATAAAGTTTACTATTTTTCCGATATCGTTTTTCCAATTCTATAAATCGTCGTGCGCGCGCCCGCACACAGATCAAACGCCGCTCGTACGTATGCACGTACATACAACGTACGTCTCCGCTCACTCACTCGCTCACTCGCCCTCCGTCGTACACGCGGCCGCGGCACCGGAGCCCAGTTATGAATGGCCTACGTCGGTTGACGTTAATCTGCCACTTCATCTCTCTCATCCAGCCTCCGCGCGCGCTCTCTGTACCGCGCCAATCTCGCTCCACCGCCCCGCTGCACCCCCGATTCTCCTCCTCCGCCACCCTCACACGCGCCCGCCTCGAGCATCCCGTGCCCGCGCCCCTTCCGCCCGCACCCTCTAACCAATTGTTTCGTCGGGGGAGCGAAAAAAAAAGGAGAGAACGCGAAGCGAGAGGGAAGGTGGACGGGGGATGGAATAAAAAAATAAAAGAGAGAGGAAAACTCGGCCTCGACGAAAAAATGCTTCGGCCCGTCCGTCGCGCGATGCATACGCGTGGCCACCAAATTAAATCGCTCGTTGTTTCGGTCGCACATCCATCCGCGTGCGAGAAGAAAAAAAAAGGAGCGGACAGGTGAGAAGGAGGGGATGGCGTTCACATGGTGTATCTTGGAGAGCGGACCGTTTCATAGAAAACGCCACAGGTTTTTCGCGATTTACATCGTCAACAAGTTCCGCGGCCACCGATGGCCCGCATTTCGATCGTTTAGTGCTTTCTCTCTCTCTCTATCTCTTTATTTTTCTAAAATAATGATAAATGTTTAAAGAATATTTTTCTAAAATACGAGATATATCTAAATCCACAAGTTATCTAGGTCATATTTAATCTTGATTCCGATCATGTCACAATTAACATGAAATGTTTCCTAAATATAAACGGATATCTACACTTTGTTATAGTAAAAGAATATTATAATTTGAAGATAAAATAAATTAAAACAAAGAAGAACAAGATATTTGCAATTTGTACTTGATAATATCAATTTTATCCAGTTTTTTTATAGAAGATTATTTACATGGGAGTCTACAAAAAATCTTACATGAAACTTTAATTTTTCTTGATCAAAATTCTTTTAATATTCTATTAATTATAAAATTATTAAAAATTAAGAGAGCTCTCGAAGAATTAAAATTTCTGAAAAATAAAATCCGACGATAAAATCTTATCCTTTGTACTATTTTTAGATTTAATTGTTCGGAAGTATAATTTTTCTGGCATACTTATATATATGGCATATACGTATATATTGAAATATTCAATCTCCAAAAAATTGCTTCGAATTTTTGCCCGAAAAACAAATCATCTCCAAATTAATCCGAGAATCTATAGTTAAAATTATAGGCCTTTCGAATGCATTCGTTGATGATTAAAAATCCACGAGCGACGTGAGCTAAAAGCGTCGAATAAAAGCGCACGACTAGGCTAGATTTAGCATCGTAGTTGCGGTGGTCCAGTCGTTCTCCCACCAATATCGAAGAAGGACCGATCGCTGTCCTGTAAGATTTATTTGACGACATGAGGGTGGAATACGACACGAGGGTGAGGGAGGAAACGCGGGATTTCAAAGGGAGCGCAATTCTTCATTCGATGTAAAGTCGTAGAAGGGGAGAATTTTCGATCGAAGGAAACATTTTATTTTTTACTTTTGCATTTTATTCTCTTACGTCAGACAAATAGATGCTATTTTATACGAGAAAGATTTCGCAAAGTTCTAAATCGCAGATTTTAAGCGCCCCTTCCACAACGCAAAACGTTTATTTATTTCGTATCAAATTTGCAATATATGTATAAAATTTAAAATTTAAAATTTATATATTACATATATATATATATATTATATATATATATATATATATATATATATATATATAATATATTATTTATGTATAATATATTTATATATATTCTAATTTAAAAATCGTCATTAATGGAAATAAATTTGTATATGCGTGCAAAAAATGTATTCAAAAATTTTTTATAAAAAAATATTATATTACTTTTTTCTACTTTCATATAACTTATATTTTTGTTCATTTTTTCTTAGTTTTACAATAGAATTTTTCAAATTAATATAATCGGGAACCTTAAATCATTTTAATACTATTGTAAAGAAGGCACTGTCTCAAGATTGTTTGAAAGAAAAAAAAAACATTGAATAAATATGAGCATTTGCATATACATTTACGTGCATGCATGTATATAGTCGCGAGACGAATCACATTGTGTAGGCTAATTAAATTACTAATTACAATTCTCCAAACCGCCCTTATAGCTCGGACGGCATCTGCCTATTTTAAATAGCTACTTTTTACAATATGTACAATCTCGCATTCGCGATTGTGACGGAATGACGGAAATCGGTATTGCATATTAAATAGTACACTCCTCTCTCTCTCCTTCTCGCGTGCGTATAAAAATTATAATTGGCCGTGTTAAAGCTCATTCACGCACAATATGTAATCACTTTAATTTCGCATAACTTACTATTATCTGCGTGTGGTCGCATTGTAGTATATAAACAGTACTTATATTTATGGTCCATAACTTTGACAGGTGAACACTTTATGTTCGTATGTACATAAGCGTTATTCAATGCACTACTCGCGGAAAGTATTCGAGTACAAGACTTGGATCGAACGTGGCTTCTTGCGAATAACTTTTTACGGGTTAGATAAAGCTAGTGCAAGAACCGTCTTGCATTAAAAATCGTTCTACAAACGTTCATTTCTGAAACTTAATGATAATGAAACGAGGCGGCAATACTATGTAATTATAGTACTATTAATTATAGTACTATTATTTATAATACATGTTTTTCGTTCGTTTCTTTAAATATGTGTATATAATACTTCTTTCTTTCTCTCTGAGCATCCGTAAAAAACTTCTTTTTATAATAATATAAATAGTATAAATTTCACTCTCACTTCATTATATCTTGTTTGTAAATAAATTAAGAATTATCAATATAAAAATGTAGATACTGTAGTTTGGAATGTAAATGAAATATTGTTAATACATACCTAAAAAAGTAATCTTAAATATTAGACAAATAAATTAATTCCGGATAAAATTTATTTTTCAACTATTCTTTCGATTTAATCATCTCTGATGCCATTCTAATCTAATTCTAAAATTTCTAAAAATTACATGCAATATAGTGTAAATTAAAACGAAATTGAAATTTGTACGCGGCTCATCTTTATTTTGACATTCAAAGTGCATCAGAAGGTTAAAGCGAGAGAATACTTAAATAATGTAATCGCTGCGGGAGCATAAGTGTAAATTATTGATAAGTTCGAGCAAAGCATTTGAGGCATCAAGAGAGAAATCTCAGCATCGACGAGACGAAATATATCTTGTTAGATTGTATGCACTGTTATTAACTCGTCTTTTACCATCAAAATTATTTCGAGCGATAAATTGATTCGTTTCAAGTTCCTTACGTTAAAAATCAAAAGTGAGCAAGTTGATTGATAATTACAATAAAATGTGTTATAATAAATTGTAGTCACGAGCATTCTTTCGATTTTAACGTCACTTTACGATCTGTCAGAACTTTGATACGTCCCCGTGACTCTGATATGTATATTTCTTCAATAAATATGCAAAAAACATTCGATCGCTTCATGGAACTGAACAGTTTATAAGAATAGAATCATAAATATAAATCGCACGTGCAATGGTTCTTTTCGCGAATGTAGCTTCCCAATTAAAAATTACCGTGGCTTGTACTCTTCGATCAAATCAATTGTCTCAAAGGCACTTACTCCGAAATTCCTGCCTTTTAGAAAATGCAAAAAGATATGTATTTGAGCATCGATTGTGCAAAGTCTTGTTTTTTATTATCACTTCATTTTAATGTCATTCCTCATGCTGTGCTGTTTATCGTACAAGTCTACTTAAAAAAGAAGCAGGTACAATTGTAAAAGATCTATTTCTGACATTGTTTTTGAGACAGAATCTCTTCTCAAAGATAAGAGCGATTCGTCGGAATGTCCCAAAAGTTTTTGTATTTCTCGCGTCTATTATTTCCCCCCCTTTCCCCCCTTTTCTCCCTCTTTCCTGTTCCCCAAATTGCTCAAACGTTTCTCGCGTTTACTTATTCCTTCCAATTCCTTACCGTCTGGATGTCTCTCATCTCACGGCCCTCCGAGATATCAATGACGGCGGGATCGAGCAGCTTCTTGACGCTGTGCTTGCGCTGTTTCTCGAAGCCGCCGATCTGGCCGTTCTCCAGGGGCTCGTTAAAGGTGTGCGTCGTCTCCGTGACAGCGACGACATCGGCGCCGATACGCCCGAGACAGAAGTGACGGCAGTAGACCAGCACGATGAAGAGGCCAAACAGAAAACCGAGAGCGTTGCCAGCGAGAACGTCCCACCAGTGGTGTCGGTTGTCGCTCACTCTGGTCATCGAGCACATCACGGCCCACATGGACATCAGGCATTGCAGCCACGGTTTCAGAAACAACGTCCGATTCGGCAGACGGTTTTGTAGGTACCACTGTGATGCGTGCAAAACCGCGTTTTTAAAAAAGGGAAAAAAAAGGAAAAATCGGTACTCGTGTAAATTTTTCTTCTTTTTTACGCGATATCTATTGAACGCGGAAAAAAATCCCTTGGCGGAAATATTTGATTCCTTTTTCCCACTTCGGGGGCGAACCGTCCTGTTTATTTCCGGAAATTTACTTGGCGAGACTCGCGTTTATCGTCTACGTCCTATCGTGCGTCCCGCGAAAATCGATATTCCGTTAATGGATTTTTTTGCAAATTCTTTAATTCTCATCACTCTTAGATACTGGCTATCGATACCGAAGAAAAGTACTCGATGCTGGCATCTCAGCTCTCTATATTGCCAACAACTTGTCGAATTTTACGGATATTGGCGAGAGACCATGTGTTCCTCTTTTCTTTAGTATGTCACACAAAAGAGAAATGCATTTCTTAAATAACAACAATAATAATAATAATAATTTCTTACCACTAAAAAGATGCTCATGTAGAGGGAGATGGCCGCATGACCGGAAGGAAAAGACTTACTGGAATCCTTGACAAACCAATCGGATAACTCAGTATTTGTGCACGTGTAGGAACTGATATATCTGTAAAAAAAATTGAAAGATACATACATATATTTGTTCCTTCGAATTAGGTGCATGTATATATAAACATACAAAATAAAATTTAAATATGTTTAAATATGCTCTCGGTTATATCCAAGAAAGAGAAGAGAGAAAATTCAATATAGGTTTTCGTTACCACCTCATTAATAATATAATTAATATAATTGCCATTTTTACATTTTATATTTATTAGAATTTTTTAAATAAAGTAAAAATCTGAATAAAACTCGATATGAAATGTACTACAAGTGTTATAGAATACCGCATAACCGACTGCACGTAACGAATCTACTTCGCTTGCAATCGGTAAATATAGTTAACTATACACATTTATACAAAAATTAAATATAATGTTTTACATAGACTTATATAGACTTCACAGAGACTGCATTTATAACTTAATCGACAAGCCCGCTCTTTATATTTATTTTTCGGCATGTCTTGACAATAATTCCTATTTGACAAATACCGACATATACAGAGATATCCAGAATGCATAATTCCTGGTTTCTTTAGAACCCATTAGTGCCCACGAACATTCTGTTCATGTCTCGCCGCCTACGCAGATAGCATAAAAAAAGAAGTCGACCCAATTGCATCTAGATAATAGCTAGTAGGGAGACAAAAGGAAACGAGGAGAAAAAGATTGTGCTTACTCATCGGTGCAGTTGGCTGCCTCGCGCGGTTTGCACGTGTCGAGAAAGTGCGGCCGCGGCTCGCCGATGAGGACTTTCATGACCGTACAAACGAATGTGAGCGTAGCGAGCCCTATATAGTAATGACTGTACCAATACCAAATTTGCTTCTTTCTGGTCCATTCGTGATTCGATACGTTCTTGTAACTATCAGCAGGATAGCAGACGTGTTCCGTGATCCACATCTGAAATCGAACATATGGATTAAATGTAATCATAATTATAAAAATTGTATCTGTCACCTAAGATAATGAAAAAATTAGGGTTGTCTTATATCGCATTTAAAGTGACATAAAAAATTAGTCGGTGATTCGCATGACTTGCTTCTAACGTAGAGTGAAAGTTATTGCAATAAAAAGTGAAAATTACACATATTTTTAACATTGGGATTACTTGACATTATGATGCGTAATAATGATAAAAATCTTAATTTTTTTGTAAAAAATATTTTAAGTATTTTTCAAAATAAGTTATGTACAATTTTATTACGATTTGCGGATTAATTTTTTTTCTAAATAATTAAAGTTTACTTGAATTTCGGAATGCATATCTTTGTTATCGAAATCTTTTTTTTAGTTGTAAAACACATTTACGTGTAAAATTTTAAAAATTTAATTCTTTGATAGTATTATAATAATCGGAAATAACAGCAAACAATATACAATCTTCAAAAAATATTATTAAATTAAAAATATATTGTTATTCAATTATATTGTTTATATATACATTACTTATTTTATCTGAAAAATAAAAATTTAATATTTTTACTTCAATCGCTTTCTTTTTACAGAGAGCTTGTATAATTAATATATCGTTAAAGCTTCTGGCTCTTCATAATAATCACGTTAGATTTTAATATTCGTTGAAAAAAAAAAATTGTGAACTATTTTTTTTTTGTATTAGACATCGAAATAAATTATTTATTTCGCAAGTTGCTACATATTTTCGATATTACTAATTTATGTATTCAAAAAATTCCTCTTTTTAATTATTTCTTCTCTTACAGTGTGTACATAACACACATACATACAATACATTTTCAGCAAAAATATTTTGCCTTATAATAAATGAACTTTGTTATTCAAAATATGATCTTGTACGCGTTTATGAATTAAATGTATTTGATAAATAAGAAAAATGAGGAATAAATTTAAATAAATATTATATTCATTGAATGATATCTTAAAAAGAGATTAGAATAAGCGTATTCACATTATCATGGATCATTACAATCAATTTGCATTTTCAATGCAATTTACATGACAATAGAAATGTAAAAATCATAAATTTAATCTTTGACTTGTATAGACTTTACGTCATAACATGACTAAAAATAAGAGAGGAAACAGAAACGAAAGCACGGTACTTACGACTATTATCGGCACACAGATGCTGAAAATTATCAATAAACTCATGGGGATCGTGTCGCCAGTGAACTTGAACGAGATCTTTGGATCATTGCAGAAGAAGCCGATCCGCGGATGCGGTATCATATTGAATTCCAGAATCCCCAGAAGTACAGTTACTGAAACGCAAATAATAAGCATGAGTCAGGATTAATTTTATATGTAAATTATATCGCAGTGCAAATATAAAATTTAATGTATAGTAATTTACATGTATATTAGAAGGAAGAAAAAAATGTAAAAATTGCGCTAATTAGGTAGCAAAAGGTGTGACTTGATTGCAATAATAATTTAAAAAAAATACATTTAGTTATTATCTTCTATTCAAATAAATTTAATTTGAATATAAGAAAAGTAAAAAAATTATGAATTGTATATATTATATTCTGTTTCCTTTGTTTAAAATATTTAAATATGCAATGCTTCGTCTGCAGTTTAGAACTAGTTTCACATTAAAATTCTCCTTTTTAACTGCTTCATATAAGATTAAGAAATTTTTTATAAAAATAATCATTTAAGTCTAAATAATCAGTTAAGATTTGTAAAAGTCTGTAAATATATTTATGTAGCCTCAAATATTAGCAGTTATGTATAAAAATAATTATTATAATTTTAAAATAGTCAAGTTAATCTAAAAAAAAAGCAATGAATATAATCGACATATAATGAATATTTGTATCATCGTGCAACTATAATTAATGTGTTCTCCGTTTGCTTTAAAGCAATCAGTAAAATATAATGTATTTGTATTTGTAAAACAAAAAAAAATAAAATTTATAGAATTTATATTTTCCTTATATTCAAGTCGACAATTATAAATTACCTTATAAAAAAATAATAATTGAGAATATGCGATTTGCGCACTTCCAGTAGTTTTTTTACATATAAATATAATTATTATATTTAACATAAAAAAACAATGATACTAAAATTATCTTGTTCGTAAAAAACGAATATTTTGTTTTATAACATTGCGTAATGTACTCGTAATATAAATACATTTAATTTATATGCAAGAATATATTTAAAATGCTAATTTTTATTCAGGAAAAATGTACTAGATTTTTTACGAAAGTTGTAAAACAAAATTATGTAATTTAATTTAGTCATATAGCTATAATATATTATATAATGTATTAACATATGAAAAGTCTTAGTATAATCAAAATTAAATATATTGTTTCTTAGTACAATCAAAATTAAATATATTGTTCACTTTAAGCTCGAAAAAGGAATTTTGCGTTGACTATGGTTACTAAAATATTATTTTAATTGCATTTTCCAAAATTGCGTGTGATGATGGGAACTGGGAATTTCGTATTCAGTATAAAAATTATGAAAAATAATTAATCGTAGTCTTTTCTTTTTTTTAAACTGTGTTATGTATTGCATTAATATTAAATGCTGATAAAATCGTCAAATAAATTATCTTAGAAATGAGTAACGATAAAAATTATGTAACGAGAAGAATCTAAAATATATTCAATTTAATCGAATAAAAATATATTCGATCTAAATATAATTTCGGAGCACGTTAGCAATCGCGTGGAGATAAAAAAATTAATATTATTTCCCGTGTTAGGCCATTCCATTTTTTTCCAACGCTATATAAAAATGCGAAAACACTGAAAAAAGAGTCAACTGTTTATTATCAATAACTGTTTATTATCAATAAAGTAATTATATAGTAAAAAAAATTATATTGGAATTTCTGTTGTTAGCGTTATTACTACTAAAATATTAATATAATAATGTGCGTGTAATAATATAATTATTTCTATTTATAAAATTTATTAAATAATTTAATAAATTTAATAAACAAAAAATTTAAATAAATAAATATTCATGATATTCAATAAATAAATACATTATACAAATAAATGTATATATTTTTTTATTGAAGAGTAGCATTATGTAATTCATAAATTATGAGCCATTTTGTGTACGTATCGGACAACTCAGAAGAAAAGATTATTTTCGGGAGATAATAATGTTGGTCATCTCTAATAATAAAAATTCATTTAAACGTGGTTTTAAAGCGGTTTTCAAGGAAAAGTTATTGCTATTGCTATGTATCACGTATGCAAATTTATCGTCGTATCATGTTTATTTTAACGCAACTGATAGAACGTGTTGCAATTTAAACTATTATTACTTGATTGTTATAGCTTTTATAAGTGACGTTGTCAAAGGATTAGATCAAAATGCCTAGATCAAAATAGCGATGTGGCATCTGAGATTCAAGTGCACGGTAATATTTTTGAATATTAATTAAATATTTTGTTAATAGATTACTTATATCATTAAACATACAATATCAGAAGCAACAAGTAACTTGTTTTTTCTTATTTCTACTCGCGATATTTTCATATTTGCTTCAAACAGCTCTATCTCGATTATTCAGAATCGAACGTTCATGTTTGTATGAACTTTTTTAATCAAAATGACCGGTCAATCTCCGAATGTATCGATCTTTCTCTCTGAATCATATGTATATCTTTCTCTCGTACATACTGATGGCATACTGATTACGACGAGACCACTTTGCGCACAAACATGACGTCAGCTTCCGCTTGTCAGCTTTTCTCTCCTGTCGCTCATTCATATCGGAAAACTTTACTCGCGCGCGAACACGTTTTTCCAAACGAAAATGAATAACAGCTTCGAGAGATGACAAACTTGTCTCGGCATCCAATGTCGTCGTTCGCTCATTAACACGAGCTCTCCGGACTGAACGTTAGATGCGATACGTCGTATGTTATACCATCATTGTCGGCAACGATTTAACAATGCGCATGTGCCAGCGCGATGCCTCGCATTTATGATAATATACGTCATATAGTCTGCTTAACCGATCGATCGTAGCGAAAAGTTAAATATTGAGATAAAATTGAAATTTTGATTGAATCAAAATGATATAAATTATTAGCGAATTTTCGACATAATTTGAAGGTTGAATCAATTAATTAAATTATCTAGGTGCTTCGCGAATTAAAAATCACTTTAGATATGTTTAAACTATAATTTACATTTAAATTAAAAATAAATTTCTATTAATTTTAAATAGAAAATACTTAAAAAATTTTAAATAGAAAATACTTAAAAAATAATCATATAAAAATATATATTTTCATATTCTTTTTTTATCTTGAGTTTAACATTCACTTTTCAGGAAGCGAATAGAATATGTAATGTTCACATTAATAAAATTTGAAATGTATATTAGTAGGATATATACAAATTTGCAAATACAGGTTAAACCCGTATTTAAATTCAAATTAATCGAATGACATAAGATGCTTCGTATCAGAATTATAGTTGATTTTGAATGCAAAGATAAAAAGAAATGTTTAGATTACTCAATCTTTGTGCTGATATTTCTATATTATTTTATAAAAGGATTTCCATTATGATCATCTTGAATTGCGAAAAAAGATATCCTGTATACAGTAATTGGTGAAGCGACAATTCATAAATATTGGGTTACATTTGGGAATATTGAATTTATGCGGATAATATTAATAACATAGTGTCAGTCAATGAAGCAAACAATGTTTTAGTTAATTATCTAAAATGATAATTCCATGGATAAATTATGCATTATTACGTCCCAACATATGCATTTGTAATTTTATTAAACTACTATTGATGTCATGAATCTACATATCGATTATTTGTCGATTGCTATCGCATTCTTATAATACTATATATTATATAAAATATATATAATATATAAAGAAAATATCGATACATTATTCTATTTGATAAAATATAAAAACTTTATATAAAAAATATCCCAAATAGATGTACAAAAAGTGAAAGAGGCAATTTTACCCTAAAATTAATCGGATGACGTGTAAGATGCTTCATTAGAAATTATTAGAACTATGGTGCATTTTGAATGGAAAGACATAAGGAAATAATGTCAGATTACTCAGTTTCCGTGCTAATTTTTATACTATTTCGCAAAGGGATTTCCATTATGATCATCTCGAATTGCGAAAAAAAGATATCCTATGTATACGGTAGTTGGTAAAGTGACAATTCAATAATATTCTTTTTAGCATTAAACAATTATAACAAGCAAACTATGTAGCAGGTAGGAAGTATACTGGAAAATAGCTATGTATAAGAGCATGAAATATGAGAAGATATGGGAGGATTATCAATTATAATTTATGTAATTATAAATTATGTAATATTAGGATACAGATAACGTATTATCCAGGAATGTTGATAACACATCCCAGATTAGATTAATCATTCTAAAATTCTTAAGAGCATCGAGAGTTTAATAACTAAATTAATTAGATGTATTAGATCTAATATACATATATGCGTGAGAGAGACATCTATCCAACTGTATTTATGTATATGTACACACACACACACACACACACACACACACACACACACACACACACACACACACACACACACACACACACACACACACACACACACACACACACACACACACACTGTATGAGATAATAACTTTGTCCACTTGGAATATTTCTTTATTTTTAGAGAAAAAATTCTAATTATGAAAATCGTATAATATCAAGAGAGCCATAATATTGTGAATATTGTGAAAAATCGATTTATATAAAAAAATTATATATAATTATGGTTCCATTAAAAAAATTAAAAATATAAAAATATAATCTTGAAATCTCTGAAGTGCCTCCACTTACGAAAAAAATTTTAATCCTACATATGTAGTCTTTTTGATACCATACAACTTTCGTAATTATAATTTTTTCATATCTCTAAAAATAGCAAAAATACGGAATATTTGAGGTTGACAAAATTGTTGTCTCATCCTGTATATACATATATACACATAATATATACATATACACACAATGTATAGTCATATGTAATGTCATTTATTATCAATATTAGACAAACCGAGACAAAGTAGATACGAAATTTTACGATATCAATATGTGGTATTGAGAGAGATAGAAAGAGATACAGAAAGAGAAATGCATTGTAAAAAATAATAAATTTTAATATTAATTTGTAATACTCGCTTAATAAATAAATAAATAAATAAATAAATAAATAAATAAATATATATATGTATATATATATATATATATATATATATATATATATATACCGGTCTTAAGTGACTCACCCTGTATATATATATATATATATATATATATATATATACAGGGTGAGTCACTTAAGACCGGCCACCCGAATAACTCCTACAATTTTGTGTCCCATGATAACAAAACCCTTTGATAACAAAGAATTTTTCCTTCAAACATTTTTTTCCTATCATTAAAATTGTAGCAGTTATTCGAGTGGCCGGTTTTAAGTGACTCACTCTGTATATATATATATATATATATATATATATATATATATATATATAAAAGCAAATGAATTGAAAATATATTATACTTTTCGACAAATTGTAAAGATTGTTTTATTAAGTTCGTAAGAAATCTTTGCGACGACCGGCGGTAATTTTTTTCTCTACTATTAACTTGGGATACATCTTTCTTTATGAAGAAAATTTAAACAGATTTTAGTTCTGTCAAACGCGAATGCAGTTTCCACGTGGTGTGCACGCAAAAAAGCAAACATACTTTTCATTCTTTATCTGTTTCGTAATAACTCATAATTCAATTAGTTGCGCAAGAAATAATGCTAACTCACATCAAGTTTTACGCAATAATTATGATTTTCGCGAATAAATTCTAAATGAAATGTGCAATCTTTATGCACGTACACACAAATGTCACAACGCGATATTTTTATCGTTTATACATGAAAGTAATCAAATTTGTTTATATAATCGATTATTAATTATTAAATTTTCTCTCACGTTATTGAAATAAATATATGCAAAATTCTCTCGAAACAATTTGACAGTTCAGTTTAAACGATTCATAATTCGCGACGAAATTTGGGACATAATTCTATTTATAATTTCATATGTCGTGCAATGCGGAAAACGTTTTTGAAGAACTAAAATACACTTTGTGTACAAAAAAATTACATATCTCATGATATCTACTTTGTATATGTAGCAAATAAAATTATATGATAGAATACTATCTTGAATTTAAATCGTGAATTATAAATCGTTTGTATGTAATGGGAGCTGTAAAGTACACGTCCGCATTTAAATTCAATTAAAATTTATGATTTTCTTTCTTGTTTGTACAAGTGTGATTATATTTTAGACTGACTAATCTTATCAATTCACGGCAAATATTCAACATCATCGTGACACATCAAAATTCATCGAAAATAAATCCATAAAATTTAAATGATTTATTAAAATCAAATAAATCAGATCTCATGTTACACACGAATTATACATGCGAATGTTTCTCTCAACATTAAAAGCGAAGATTGTTATCTAATTGTTAAAATCATCTCTCGTGATATTATACAATCTAAATATACTCCAGATAATATTATCGTGTATTTTTACCGTATACGGGAGATAAACCTTGTCAATTATCAAATTGCACACAACATGTACACAAGATATCATTAATCAAAAACAAACGAGAATCTAATCAAATACACACCATATCGCCCTTGTACTCCTTTCCGGGACCAAGGCATTGTTTGTATCTTCGGCTTCGCGGTAGCCTTGATCTTCCTGATTCGCGTCTTATCATACGACGACAGAACGAAGACAAATTGCGGAAATTAAGATACTCTTTGTCATACTTTCGCAGCAAGAGATGTCTCATTGTGACGTAGAGAGAAACGAATAGACTGGAATTGTAATATCGTGATTCATTCTTATTGCATCTTAACGTTAAATTGAAAAATCATGCGATGACGTATTAACTTGACGCTGTTGAAACTGCTCTTCAAGAAATCAGTGAGTGTTAAAAGGAAATGTACGATAGTAAATCTTTGATGAAGTAAATATATTTCGTTGAAAAAATATAAATATAAAATATATTTCTTTATAATTATTAATAACCGACATTTATGAAACAAGGCTATTAACTTTTGCTATTTCAAGACTCGATTATTAATAATTGTACATAGATATATTTTATATTTGTATTTTAACATTATATATATTTAAAAAAAAATATATATATATATATAAATTAAAATAAACTAAAAAAATTTTAATATAAATCAGTTTATAATTTTTCATTTTATGCAACTAGAGTGCCGATAAATGTCGCGTAATGTAATACGTGTAATTTTATGATTAAGACGACATTTCCGCATAGTCCGACAGCGTACATGTATACATATGCACATTTATGCGATTAGAATCCCTAAACTGAAATTAGCCTTGAGTCTCCTTAATTCAAGACTGACTGACTAACCATGCATGTCATGTTTCGAAGCTGCATATGTGAGCTTCGAAGAGACGAACGGACAATGAGCGGCACACATGTGTAAATACCATAAACGTTGCGGGGGAGAATACAACACTCATACTAGCGTGACGACTGTGCTATAATCAGTTAAGAGGTTAAAGCCCGTTGGACACCTCAGATATTTTTTTTCCTCTCTTGTCATGCGTAGACTTTATAGAATACGCAAGCATTTAGCTGAGACGATAGAAAAAAGGAATTAATATACAAGTAACTTATTTGATTTTCGTTCATTTAAGTAGGGAGAGAGAATTTTTATTAAATCAATGATTGAATGATTGAATGATTGAATAAATGCAATTTATGTCTTGTATAATATATGTATGTCTAGAGAGAAATACGAGTTATATGAATAGAAAATTTGTTCTCAAGTACTGATTTTTTTTTAATTCTTCGGAATTCACTTTTTGCAACTCACTATCAGTTACAATGACGCGTACATTATCAGAAAATATATTTTAATATTTATTTTTTATAATATTTATTCATAATATTTATTTTTAATATTTATAATATTTATTTTTTATATAATGATAAAATATATTTTTTACATAAATATAAATTTTATATAAATTTCGTATACGCTACTTTCTGAACGTTTAAGAAATCTTTCGCATTCAAATAATATTCGTGCGTTTATAATTGTCTCATACATATGTGCAGCTCATTGCTAGCATTACGCGACATAGTTGCACAAAGGAATTTAAAGTGACAGGCCTGTAAAAATTCTAGTTAAACAGCCATCCGTAATATATTGCATTACACAAAGAGGGTGACACGCCCGTAAAAAATTCTAGTCAAACAGTCGTTCGTAATATTGCGTTACACAGTTCGCGGTTTCCCTGTCAGGCTTCATTACACGCGTGGTTTCATCCCCGCGACGCAAATGCGCTTCTATGCAAAAGACTGCGTTCATAAACGAGAGAAAAAAAATTCCTCGATCGATTTTTCAATTCTTGTATTTTTATTCCACCTCCGTGATTCGTCTAATACTGAAATAAATACTGAATCTAATATCCATTAGAAGTGTAATCGAAAAATGCAGCTTTTAATTTCTCTCTTTCTTCGTTAAAATAATATATATAGCAATATAAAATAAATTAATATATATAATATATAAGATTAAATTAACATTAGATTATTTAATTAACATTAAATTTTCAACGTAAGTATAATGAAAAAAATCAAAACATATAATAACAATATTCTCGAAAAATAGAAGATGCAAACCCTAGATTTTTTATAAAGATATACGTAAATATAGTTAAAAATAATTTAATAATCATAATTTTTAAAAGAAATGTAATATATTATAATATATATTATATCTTTTTATTTCTTCTTTCTATTTAGGAATATATGACATAATTTTTCGAATTAATGGAATATTTTTTTCAAACAATAGAGAAGAACTTGCGATTCAATAAACGAAGTAATTGCTAACGCGCGCGTGCGAGAATATTCGCGATTAAATTAATTATAATAGCGGATCAGTTTCCGCCAAGTTTCGCGCTTTTAACGGACGTATTGTTCAGGAAGAATGCGTGGCATGTTAGTTCCGACTATTCGTGGTTTACTTGCTAATGCAATAACGCCAGTCGCGTCAGTTAACAAGCTAACACTTCCTCCTGTCTGGTGTAAAGATATGCACATTCGCCGACCACGAATATTTATGAGAGCTAGCTAATAAAAGCCTGCGTTGCGCCTAATTAGCAGAATGAACTTTAAAGTATGAGATTCGACAAGTCGGCCATTATTATACGCGTTACTGAAATAGACAGGATGATTTGCAACGCGGAAACGCTCACGGAAGGTAAACGACCGTAAAATCTCAAGTTGTGAAATTTCTCCTCACGTGAGAAAATATTTGACGAAAGAAAGCAAATAAGAGAGAAATAAGCTATCTTTAAAAAAAAATGTATTAATTATGCATTGGAATAAATACAAATATCTGCAATCTAAAAACATCAAATATCCTATATACACATTGCATGAATAATCCTCAAACTCGTTTTATGGAATTTCGCCGCAACGTGAAATTACATTTACGACGGGGAATGCAATAAACGAAACTTCAAAATTCAATTTGCGGGAATTACGCAGAAATGATTATTTCCGCAAACTTTAATTTGCGAATTTCGAGTAAAACGCGCATATATAGCTGAAATTTCTCATTTAACGAAAAATATCGAAAAGTATTGGGGATTTTTGCAGAAATCGATTTAAACATTCGCAAAATTACGTGAAGAATTTTCGCTTCGCTTCTTTGTCGTCCTTTGAAACGGTAACGATAATAATTACAAAGTATTAAAAAGAGCGAAAGCGAACAAAGGGAAAATGTGAACGCGTAAAAAGCATTATTGCATTATTGCATTATATCAATAAAATTCGAACGTTATTATGTCATTTACCTGACAACACCAGGGCCACATCCAACATGTATATCCAGCGTATGGCTTTCCTGCAGACACTCATGATTTTCTCGGACACGGTAGGAGTCGCTGTTGCACCGCCGGTGTTTTCCAAGACTTCTTCCGTTAATGTGATTGTGCTGCACCTCGTCAGCTCTTCCGTGGACCTCTGAAATGAAAGATTTGCCAAAAAATCAGACATTTGTATAATCAGACAAATTGTATAATAAAAAGGTATGACGCGAAATGCAATCGCGTACAATGATAATCAGCAGGATTATTCGAAAAGTAACGAGTCGTTACAAATGTCATTTCTTTTATTAAGTGCTATAAATACATATAAAACATATTAAGAAAAATTTCTTTAAATCCCCGAAAATTCCTTGATTTTTTCAAATACAAAAAAAAATTCCTGATAATTCCAGGTTTTTCATGTTTTTCAAGAGAGTAGACATCTTGATAAAAATCATCAAAGTACGAAAAGTAGCTATCGAATTTACTGAAGATTGTATCAAAATTACTTTTTCTACTACAATTAAATAATTCGAAAGAGTATATGTTAACTATGCATTAATTCTGTTAATACATAGTTAACATATATTCTTTCAAAATATTTTATTAACATTGCATTAAAACTGTATCTCGCGGCACCTTCTGCCCGGTATCTCGATAGAAATGCATCAGATCGGATTTATTGTCATTTAATGTCGTAAATTATCACGTAATTATGTTTACCCAACGATTTCATCATCAGAATTATCACGTAGTTACGTTTACTCAACGATTTAATCATCAGAATTATCACGTAGTTACGTTTACCCAACGATTTCATCATCAAAATTCGAAGACAGAGTTCTCTGACACATCGTCGATTGAGTTCTGTCAGATTGAGCAACGTAAGGCCGATATTACACTTGTCGTACGACAAATTTTTTAAGCACATTGATTAGCTGCGGGACAAAGTTTCTAAAGATTCAAAAAATTATTATCCCGCAGCCAATCAATATGCTTTAAAAAATTTGTCGTACGACAAATGTAATATTATAGTCTGATATGTGAGTTTTCTCGTATGCTGTTGTCCGTGATATCGGTTTTCCACCGCAAGCCACGAGAGATAACAAGCGTTTTTCAAGAGTGTTTCTCGTAAAACGATCTTTGCACGCAGATCATTCGTTTCGAGAACACGAAGACTCGATCAAATTTCGCCTCGTCGGTAAATATTAATAGGCTTGTTTTGCTATCACCGAATGCGTTATCGCTCCACTTTTTTTTATCAATTCACATATTGAATAACGCATCTTTATAACGAAGGCAGTGTTTTTGTCGCTTATGACAGCGATTAATAGTTGATTGCAGATGTCGGGATTTCCATCACGCTAATACGCTCAAATGCCGCTTGAATCTCCAACAGGAACCGACCTCTTAACGGCATCTGGCCGCCCTTGGCATACTTGTCTTCTTTCCTCCCCCTCAAAACATTAAGCTTTGTTACACGTAAATAACATCGGGAAATATCGATAAGTTTGCTGTATTATTTGCGCTTTAATACATCTCTCGCAATAATTATCTACGACAAATTTTTGAATTTTTTTCAAAAATATAAATAAGAATAAAATATAAATAAGAATAAAAATATAAATAAAGATCTAGACTCAAAACTGTAGTAATTATATTATATTATAGTTGTATTATATTATATTAGAATATTTGGTAATTATATTAGAGTTTGAGAAAATGGAAAAACTGGTTCTCTCAAAGTGAAAAAGATCGATTAATTTTATTTATTATCTATGACAAATTTTTAAATTTCTTTTAGAAATGTAAATAAAAAGATCTAAACTCAAAACTGTAGTAATTATATTATATTATAGTTGTAATTATATTATATTAGAACATTTAGTAATTATATTAGAGTTTGAAAAAATGGAAAAACTTGTTCTCTCAAGATGAAAGAAATCGATTAATTTCATTTATTATCTACGACAAATTTTTAAATTTTTTTTAGAAATATAAATAAAAAGATCTAGATTCAAAATTGTAGTAATTATATTATATTAGAATATTTAATAATTGTATTAGAGTTTGAAAAAATGGAAAAACTCGATCTTTCAAAGTGAAAGAGATCGATTAATTTCGTTTATGCGAAGAGATAAAAACGCCATATTTAATCATGTTGAACGATAAAAGTCACCTTCCTTGAAGTACAATATTTAACAATATATGTATATATGTGCACCTACGTTTTTCCCGAGACATAACAAATAAGATACTTTCTTTAAGGGAACACGCACGAAACGAAAACGAATCATTATCGTCTTCAAAAAACAGAGATATTATCCTTTGAATTTTTTGTCACACTAGTGTGTCGCGAGGAATTATTTCAACCACCTGTTGGATCCGCGGCTTCCTTTCACGGCCTATCCCGAACGTGGATGCAGCTTTAAATCACCAGAATCGGTTTTTTATACATCTTATAATGACGAAACAACGTTCTGTGGATGCGACGCGTTTTTCCGGGGAAATAAAAAAGAAACGAAAAAAATGATATATGGCGTTAATTAGAGTTGCAGCAAAAAGTTTTAGAATTTCACTTAAAATATAGAATATGTCTCGGCATCGAATCACAAAAAGCTTCTCTCCTCAACAAAAATTTGATTGAAGACACGGAGAAAATAAAGTAAAAATTATAACATAATTTTTGTAATTATGGAACATACTAACGTGTGAGAAAAAAAATCACGATATTTTTACTCAAGAATATTACATACATATTATATTTTACAAAAAAATATTTTAATGCAAAACAAATATATAATCATTGACAAACGATAGCACAAATGTCATTCAATCATTTCTAATTTTTATAGCAATAAATATTTTAATATTACTATATTTCAGTTTTATAATAAATGTAAAAAAATATTCTTTATTTGTACTGTGAAATATTTTTTCTGTGTATCTTTTTAAAAATTTCATCTGAAAATTAATATAAAAGCCAAATTTTCTAATTGCATTTAAATTTCTTTGTTTTGAACGTTAAATCTATATGCGCTTCTTACAAATCTTCCTAAATAGTTTCGCAAATATAAATTTAATATAAATTTATTTAAATGTCACTTTAATCTTATCCAACAGAGCTGAAATACACATTGCGTTTAATGATATTTATTGTTAGAGATTGTCATCGAAAACAAGATACGTTGGCAATTTAATGTAAAAATATTCTCTCTTTTGTAGTATATATATATATATATATATATATATATATATATATATATATATATTACAAAAGAGAGAATATTTTTACATTAAATTGCCAACATATCTTGTTTTTGATGACAATTTTTAGAAGTGAAAAAAAAAATTATCATATATTCTATAATATAATAAAATCAAAAAATTAACATATATTACATAATATATGATAATTTTTTTCACTTTTTGAAGTTAACGCTGATATTTAAATGTTAATGAAAAGTTCTAAGCAAAAAGTAAAAAAAAAATATGCGTTAATTTTGTCCAGGAGTATATATATATATATGTATATTCTACAAAAATCTAAATTCTATAATATATAAATGTGTAAATTCTACTATAAATCGAGAATTTAATGTTTCGTCCCAATTCGTACCAAATAGAGACGACGGTAATCAAGCACGTCCCTCGCGGAAAATCCGGCGATTAATCGGACACAACGTAGATTGCTGTGCATCGATTAACGACACTTGCGTTCTAAAACGCGATAATATATCCGCGTTTCGCGGAGGGGACGCGCGTCCAACTCGGTCATCTACTATGAAATAATTTAGGGGGAGAAAAGCGGCCGCGGGGGCTTGATCGAGAACATCGATGGGAGGTTCGTGCAAAATAAACGAGAAATTATCTTGCGCATAAACGCTCTCTTTAGCAACTTTTTGCGTCTCTTTTTCCATCACTCATTTGCGTCAATTCAAGAGATTCATACAATTATTATTTTACGATCAATCGTTTATCACGAAATTTTATTACGCTTGTCATTTTATTGCGCTTACGATTTGCATAATTCACGCGCTTTATTTGCCTTCATATACTGCCAATTATCATATGTGCGAAGCAATATTCGAAACGATCTGTGCAATAAAGAGAAAAAAAATAAAGATATGCAAATGTAATTGAACTTGATCTTCTCTGAGTAGTTAATTGTTAACTTTTCTTTTCTTTCAATTGACTTTTCTCAATTGATTCTTTTGAATTCTTCAATTGACTTTTAAGAATGATAACGAAGTGATTACTGATAGAAACTTGTAGACAAATTACGTGATTCTATCTATCAAGAAGCTGATTATTAAAATTTCCAAACAATTGAACCAACACAGGAATCTTCTAAGAGAAGAGAGAGAGAGAGTTTATGACAAATTGTACTTACTATACATAATTTAAAAGAAAAAAGCTCAAGTTTTTTTCCTTTTCTTTTTATGCTTAGTTGCTAGGCTGTTATAGATGAATGTTACAAATGAAATGATTTTACACTCGGGTACAAATTATTTATAAGAACTTACGATTTGCATAATTCACGTGCGTTATTTGCCTTCATATACTGCCAATTATCATATGTGCATTCGAAACGATCTGTGCAATAAAAAGAAAAAAAAATAAAGATACACAATTCCTTATTGTATAACGATGGCGGCAAAGAAGAAGTTCAAACGTAGTTTAAGTCTTGGATATTACTACATAATAGCACAATCAATTTTGGGCAAATCTCAGCGGAAGACTGTTGTTATAATTTAATTGAAGAGTATACAAATTGGCAAAGTTCAAAGTAGTTTTTTAATGCGTCAAATCTCTTGTGATAGAGTGTATAATGTCACCGTGAGATAAACTCTATTCGCAATAAAAAGCAACACAACGAGATAAAATATATTAAATTAGCATTTTTATAAGCTTACGATAGATAATAAGATGACAATGAACTTACTACTTATTGATATAAAATATAAAACTCTCCTCACATTATATAAATTCTCATCATATTATAAACAATATTATCGATTCCATTTTTTATATTTTTGGATAAGATATATTCTATTGTCACTGATAAAAAAATATTAATATAAAATATTAATATAAAAATATTAATATGTGATAGCCTGGATAGAATTATTCGAAACATATAATATATATATATATATATATATATATTTATTTATTTATATATATATTTATATATAAAATTTATTTAATAAATTAATAATATATAAATAAAATTTGCGTCACATTTCGAATAATTCTATCCTATCTATCACATATTAATATTTTTTTAATCAGTGACGATAGAATGTACATTACCCAAATATATATATATATGTATACACGAGATTATAATATTTAGCTTTTAATTTTTCGCCTTATCTTCCTTTCTAACTTTATAATACATATATAATTCTAAATTTAATAAGATCAAAGCGAATTGAAAATATATTATAAAAAACTAATTCAGAGTCATAATAAGCATGACAAGAATAACTCTTGTTCAGATCCAATTCTTTCCAAATACGATTGTTTACAAAATAAAATACGACAATAACAACGGTAAATCCGAAAAGATGCTCGCAGATATGATTTTGACTCAAGGAAAATTCCGATTTATATCCTACGAAATCCATCGTCAAATTTAAAATCAGATATTTACAATCGCGAAGCGATTATATTAAGCGCTGTTATTAAACTCAAGCACACCGTAACCCTCGATGTTGCATATATCGATAAGAAGTACCTGTAAATACCGCGAAATGTACTCAGCTTTGGCAGTTCACGAGCGACGATGCATCGATCGAGGTGACTCGTTCGTCGGGAAACTTAATCGCCGCTCCTCACGTGGCTATCGGATAAACGGGGATGCTGCGAGCGTGGACAATGAAGACGGTCGGAATCGGTAATAAAACTCATCGCCAGGATGCGGCGAACTCTCCAGGTGAATCCGATGCATGCGAAATCGATCGCCCGAGATTATAATACAGAATTCGCGGATCTCTCTCGGCGAAGGAAACCTCTCCTCCAGATAGTCCAACGACATCGACCGCCGGCCTGCAACTGCTCGTCCGCCAACGAGAGCCGTACCTCACATCTCCAATCAACTACTTCCTCGCAAGCTCAAATTAAATGTTCTCTCTACCCACCCTGCTTCCCCACCACCACCATCATCAACACCATCACCACCAACGTCGTCGCGGAACAGACTCGAACTTTTCTCTCTCTCTTTCTCTCTCTCTCTCTCTCTCTGTCTCTCTTTCTGTGTCATGGTTTAGTTGCACCGCATACTGTAAGACCCACTCTATTAGGTCCTCCGCACCCTCTGATCTGGCCCCTTCCTCTCCCTCCGTTGAATCTTTTGGACCCCAGGGTAAACGAGGTCGATTCGGTCGGTTACGAAAATGTGTTGTGCCGCGCAGATGCATTTTCTGTCCTTTCGACTTTTTCGGGGGGGTTTTCTTTTATGTTACGAATAAAAAAAGGAATGAATCTTTACCTTATTTATTTGTGCGATAAATTTATATAATCTATCGAATTCGACATAATATTAATTTATTAATCCGTGTCAGTTTTTGATCAAATGAAAATAATTGAGGGTATAATTACACGGAGAAAATATTATAATAAAAATTACAATGTTTTGTAATCACTAGTACATGAGAGAGAAAAAATTACAATATCCAATAATATTTTATTCAATATTTTAATTAACGTAAGAGAGTATTTAAAAGAGAGTATATTGTAATTATATTCAATTATTTTGATGAATAAATAAACATATAATTGATTAACTAATATATTAATAAACGATATTAATAAATTAATAAACGATATTAATAAATTAACGATTGATTAACAAACGTTAGAATAAATTTACAACTTTAATAGCAATAAATATCCTAATAGTCATATTTTAGCTTTACAATAAATATAAAAGAGAATGTATTCTTCATGTAATTTATACAGTAAAATTTTCTCCGTGTTACTTTGGATCTATCCTGTTTGCAAAGAAAAACGTATTTGAATGGTTCTGATTTAATTTGTTGGATTTTAAGATTTTTTTTCGTTATAAATAAAGTTATATAATTTATCGATAAATTTATGATAAAATCACTGATTCGTTTTTTAAGAAGATATTTGTTTTAAAGAGATTTGATATTTATTATAACTAAAAAAATGGAAGGCACTTAATAATTAGATTAAATTAATTAGAAAAATGTTATATCAGATAATACACTTGTAAAAAATATTTTAATTCGCTTTTATCAACGCAAACATATTTTTAATATAATGGATACACATACATACGTAAATAAATGTATTTGTGAGATGCAATATAAAAACGAAAAAAGATATACAAGAAAAGATGACGACTCTGATATTTAAAACGAGCGCTTTTCAAAATATCATAAAGTGAATTTCTTTCAAAAAGTCATTTTCTTGTTTGTTTAATTATTTAGTTTTCTTTAGTTATCGTATTTACAAGTAATACATATAATTGAAATATTGCTTTAACTCTTTTAAAATCTTTTTTATGTTGCAGATGAAAAGAAAAATTACAATTCCTATTTGTTGGTGGACTTAATCAAGATAAAATCTGAGCTTGTTGGCTAACAGAAAACTAAATAATTAAGTTAAACAGACAAGAAAATGATTTACTGAAAGAGAAGTATTCGGTTTAAATGTTATTCTCTATGACTAATTAGTCATTGATTATTATTAATTTTCTAAATGAAACTAATTAAGTATCAGAAAACTAATAATTAAAAATCCCTTTAAGGGAACATTTGAATATTTTTGGAATATTATCTCGATATGAATATATCAAGAAACTAAATGAAAATAAATTGAAATATTTATAATATGTATACGATACATATATATGTTTGTACGTATACATAAAAGCTAATAATCTATCTGAAAAATTACTTAGATTATTAAATAATAATTATTTCTTACTTATTGGATTCTTTTTACTTATTGGAAATTTTAAGTAAAGCAGTTTAATATATCGATTTTTTAAATTATCAAAGAATTTTGTCACATTCGTCACAATTCTTCAATTTCTTCATTTTCACACAAGATGCAAAAAAAGATTTATAAAATTCTCTTCAAGTTACAGGTTTATGTTGGTCTATTTGAAAATATATGATTTTAATTTTATTATAAAATTCAATTTTAGATACAACAATTTTTGATACAAATAAGTTGAAATATTTATTATTACCTATAATTTAGATACAACTTCAAAAAACGCGTTTCTCTTCCTGTTTCTCACTCGACTTCGACCTTACTTATAACTTTAAAAATATCAATAATATAATAATTCGTAAGAAAATTCTTTATCGCAATCGTAAGCGCGCGAAACGACACGAACGGGAATTGCGGGAAATTCCTTACCGTCTTCGCGCCTGTTGCATATTCATGAAATAGCAGCGTAGATTCCATTTTTAATTCGTACGCATGTAAAGAGTGAAAAAAATTGGAAAACTCAAAAGGCATTGGATTCCGCTCTCTTTCTCTTTGCGCATTGATTTTGCTCGAAAAATCTAAATTTATATCACGAAAATAGAGAGAATGTACCAACCTGCATTTTTCGAAGATGCAACTTCCGGATAGTTGGCGAACGCTTCGTCGAGCACTCCGTTTCACGCGATGTGGAAGAAAACACGGCTCGTGCACGTGGATATTTCTCTTCTTTTCCGGAAATTGATAAACTTACGCGGCACGACGACGATTCATCACTCACAACAATAATGACCGTCCGACACACACTAAGCGTCAAGAAGCGTCACCAAAGTAACCCGCGGCAGTGATTCAACCATTGGAATGCGACCTCTTTAGGGGGAAATATTCGCGGGGAGAAAGTTAGCGAATAACACGCCCTCTTTCCTCTCTTTAAGGAACTTCGTACAGTCGACACGGTCGGCATGATTGATGCCTGCTTACCTTTCTTTTCCTCTGTCGATATCTGTTTGTCCTCGGATACACAATATCCCACCTTTTTTCGTCCTTGTTTTTTGTCGTCTTGAATTTTTCTTTTTCTCCCTATTTTTAATTCGGACGCAGAATTGTATTAGCTTCTCTTGCGTCATCTTTTTCTCATTTCTAGAATGCAATGTACAACTTCTTATATGTATTAGATGTGTAAATAGATTTTTCGTATATATTTTTTATTTTGTCGCAATTTTTAGGTTTTTTTTATTGCTCTTTATCTTTTCACTTTTTCGTTACTTCCTCTTTCTTTCTTTCGAGATATGTATTTATCTCATGGAAATGGAAAGATATCTCGGGCCTGTTCTATTTTGCTTAGTTTTTAAATTTTTAATCTACTTTCTTTCAATAAAAAATATATATCAAACCGATAATACATTTCTGTGCTGAAAGCAACAAACCTTTGATTATGTTGTACACTCCTTCTCAACGTGAAATAAAGTGAAATAAAATACAAATTCGAGCATCGAGGAAGGGAAAAAGATGATAGAAAAGAACGAATGAAATTCCTCTAGTAGAATGCGGGAAAACGCCGTTAAAACGAACGAACCTATTGCGTCTGACACGCGGAAAATGGAATTTTTACGAACGATGCGTCACACGGAAATCTCGTGTCGGGAGCCGATATCGCTCCGATAGCAATAATTGACGTCGTCGATATAAACATCGTCCGGAGGGGCCGATCCCTGGCGTACCAACGAGACAGAAAGTAATCCGCTTGACAGAACCGCTAAGATGGCCGATATGATGGAATCACCGCCGCTATTCGACACCAACGAGACCAAGTTGGACGATCTGGAGGACGACGACGAGGATATCTTCGCGTCCGCGGTCCAGGTATTCGTCGGAGAAACGATCAACGTTGGGAATCGAAATTAGGAAGAATCTATAACCTCGTGGAATTTATACTCGTGCGATGTTGCTCGCGAGAATGATCTGTATTATTTTTCTTTGACACGCGTGCATTTTTTTCACATCTATATAAATGGAGGAAAATATTGTGAACTCGTCAAAATATTATTTCAGCTCGACATTTCTCTGCACAATAGACAATTTTGCTATTGCATATGAGAATTGTGATAAGAAACGTGATAAGAAACAATTATGATAATTCATTATGATGCATAGGCAAGTTTGTAAACTCGCATACACACTTTGGTAACATTGGCATATTTGTAGGAACAGAGCCAATTGGAAGATTCTTCACCTTATAATGGAGTATCCAAGATTCAAGCGGAACTGCCGAAGCTGTCTTTGCGAGATGCACCGGAAGAGAATTCATTCTCTTCCATGTCCAGCCCAGCTCCAGGTCCCTTGAGTCCTCCACTAGGACCGATGAATACAGATATCGGTGATCTGCATGACGTTCCTATCAATGATAATGCAGATACATTGTCTACAAATATCATCCACTCCCAGTCTTTAGAAGAGGTATTACAGAGCAACAAATTAAATTGTATTAGTATAATTATGTATAAATAATTTAAATACTATTATTTTTTATGTCTGTGTACAATATAGGTTCCAGCAGATGCCTCGGAAGTTTTCTTAAAGATTACTGTCACTTCTCCTCAAAAGATTGGTGATGGAATGGGTGCCTATGTTGCATATAAAGTTGAAACAAGAACAAATATGCTCATCTTTAAGAAGAGGAACTTTAGTGTAATTAGACGTTTCAGCGATTTTCTAGGTCTCCATGACAAATTGACAGAGAAATATCTTAGGAATGGCAGAATAATTCCACCAGCTCCAGAAAAAAGTGTTATTGGTAAGAATATAATTTAATTTTATAATTTGATTGTACAACTATAAGAAAAATATAAAGAACTGCACACATATATATAAATAGGAACGACAAAAATTAAGATGTCTGGAGATAAAAGTCAAGAGCAAAATTCAAGTTCTACTGAATTTCTTGAACGACGTAGAGCAGCTCTTGAAAGATACTTGAATAGAACAGCTTTACATCCTGTTCTGAGTATCGATCCTGATTTCAGAGAATTTTTAGAAGCTGGTAAGGAATAATATTAATTAATAAATTAGTAAATGTCTTGTAAAATTAGGTTCCTTTTGTATAAAAAAATATTTTCAAATTTTAATATTTAATTTTCATTTATAGATATAGAATTGCCTAAGGCTACCAATACATCTGCATTGAGTGGTAAAGGAGTAATGCGACTTTTCAACAAAGTTGGAGAAACTGTTAATAAGATAACATACAAAATGGATGAAAGCGATATGGTGAGATTTCTTCAATATAAACATATTTCTTCTTGCATGTATTTCCTACAAAGTATCGTGAAATGACTTTTTGTTGCTTGCATTAGGAAAGTAAGGTATGTTCATTTGAAATCAATGCATTGACTCATTTACTAGTATTTCAATCTAATTTCTCACATACTCTAATCATATTTAGAGTTATAATTATATTGTCAAGTTATGTATATAATGTCAAATATATATAAAATTTAAAATAATCTGTCAGCATATTTGGCAACAATAATTATCCATTATATAAAGTATATGAAATTTTGAAAAGAAATTGAATAAAGAAAAATCCTATTTCTTTACAGTGGTTTGAAGAAAAAACATCGCAAATAGATTCCCTTGATATTCAATTACGTGCATTACATTCCGCGGTTGATTGCTTAACAAATCAAAGAAGAGAATTAGCAAATTGCACCGGTGCTACAGCAAAATCGATTGCCGTCCTTGGTCATGGTGAACCGGGAGCATCTCTCGGCAGAGCGCTGGCACAATTGGCTGAAACTTTAGAAAAAGTTGAAGTTATCAGGAAGACGCAAAGCAACAGCGATCTCTATCAATTTGGAGAAATGTTGAGGGATTACGTTGCACTCATTGGTGCAATAAAAGTTGGTGGTTTACGACTTACAACTGTATTTATGTTCTTGGTTGAAATTACATTCTTTATACTTTATATTCTTCTGTACAGGATGTCTTTCATGAGAGAGTGAAAGTTTTTCAAAATTGGCAGCATGCTCAATTAATGCTGAATAAGAAACGCGAACAAAAGGCGCGGCTCGAGCAATCTGGCCGGACGGACAAGACGAGTCAAGCGGCTACTGAAGTCATAGAATGGGAGTCAAAAGTGGACAGAGGTCAGGAGGAATTCGATAATATTTCGAAAATGATAAAAGAGGAAATTGAACGTTTTGAATTGATCAGAGTACAAGATTTCAAGAAGCAGTTAATTGAGTATCTAGAGTCGATGCTGCAACACCAAAACCAACTCATAAAATATTGGGAGAGCTTTCTGCCGGAGGCCCGAGCGGTGGCGTAAACATTCCTCGTTAAAGAAAAATAAATTAATATACATTTTTAAGACGATAATAAGGCCGATATCTGCCTAATGCATAACATTAAACGTTAAAATAATTTCTATGCTGTTTATGGGGATAAATTATTCGTTCAGTATCGATGAACGTAGCGATATTTTTACCAACAAGATTTTTAAACATTGTTGAGAGAACAGTTTATATCTAAGAAAAAAAAGAGAGAGTAGGAGCGCAGTGTACGAAGATAGAGTCTTGATTAATTTGGAAATATTCTAATTGTACGAACTTAATTATAGAAAAGTTTCAGATTTTTATTACATTTCAATTATACGTATATTGTCAATATAGTATATATATATTCATTCTTTACAATTACTTTACTTATATACATATTATACATAACTCTATACATAAGAAATTATACAATTTGTTAAAAAAATGTTACCAGATATAATAAAGATCAATTATATATATATATATATATATATATATATATGGTTATATATATATATATTCATATATATATGGTTATATACATATATATATATATATATATATATATATATATACATATATACATATATATATGGTTATATATAAATATGGATTTCCTCTTTTTCAAGTTATAAATATTTAAATTGAATGAAATTTAATTACTAAGATAATATTTCATGTTATGATAACTGTATTTTCTATTAAACTTATGTTTTACAGTCAGTATCATTCTTGCAGACGCAAAAATAATTGAACATTTTTATATATATTATAAAACTATATCGAAAAGAAAAATAAATGCATACGCGATAATAATGTTTAATTTGCATTTTTATGTGTATAAAATATATTTACGATGCAACAGGTGCGAATTTTCAAAACGTTGGAAAAAGAATAAAAGTGCCGCCAAAATGAATAGACTCATGTTCATTGGACAAGGACCTACGGTCGGGAAAATGCTTTGAAGTGTTTGATTGACCAATCAGGACAAAAATAATAAAAATTTCTTTAACCTGATTGGTTAATCAAACGCTTCATTTTCTTATGCATATACTTGGGGACCAATCAATTTCCTTATGCTTATGGTTATGCGCTTATGCAAAAGTGTGTGCTGCGGCCTTTAAGATGCAATTTCATTGACGCTAGAAACCAACGGCAAATTAAAATCACTAGACTTTCTCTAGATATGGCGTCAATAAAATAAAGTTCAAACAGTTTCAATTTTTTCAGTGTGTAAAGCGGCCTTTTCATTGACGCTACTTTTTAGCGTCAATGAAATTGCACCTTAACAGTTGGCAGCCCTACGAGATAGGCTGTGCAGCACTGCGCGTATATAAAATAAATTTGAAATCGCTTCTAGCCTAACCATCTTCACGCGATCGACTCTATTTGAATTGCACGGCATCGCATCGAATTATGATGCGGCGCCGATTTGTTCGAACGTAATTCGGGACATCGCGATGCTGTATAAGCGTCGAATGAGCACGAATTGTCACGCAAATATGATAAATCACATCTACTCACCGTTCACCGGCTGTTCCACAGGCCGCTCCACTCGCTCGCCTCGGGACGTCCCATTCCGATGCACACGATATCATCAACGCGAACGCGCGACACTTTATTCGGCACTCCCGATATTCGCTCGCATCCGATAATCATCATCAAGGGCGCAAATAACGCGACGCGACTTCGCTCCATCTTCGCGATCGCGCTATCACTGAACTGTGAAAAATAGCTGTCGCGCACTTTCACCGACATATTATGAAAGTCGCGCGATCATCCTTGGACACTTTCGACGCTCTTTCACTCGCGATATTCGTTTAAAAACGGTTAAAAGACGCGAAAAATGCGGACGTACGACGATCCGTGTAACTGCGTATGACTCCGATTCACGTATGACGCGTATGACGTAGCTATGACGCGTATGACGTAGCAGTCACGCGCCAACATGGCGGCCGAACCAGTACGCAGAAACGAATGCGCACTGGTTCGGCCGCCATGTTGGCGCGTGACTGCTACGTCATACGCGTCATAGCTACGTCATACGCGTCATACGTGAATCGGAGTCATACGCAGTTACACGGATCGTCGTAGGTCCGCATTTTTCGCGTCTTTTAACCGTTTTTAAACGAATATCGCGAGTGAAAGAGCGTCGAAAGTATCCAAGGATGATCGCGCGACTTTCATAATATGTCGGTGAAAGTGCGCGACAGCTATTTTTCACAGTTCAGTGATAGCGCGATCGCGAAGATGGAGCGAAGTCGCGTCGCGTTATTTGCGCCCTTGATGATGATTATCGGATGCGAGCGAATATCGGGAGTGCCGAATAAAGTGTCGCGCGTTCGCGTTGATGATATCGTGTGCGTCAAGATCGGAATGGGACGTCCCGAGTGGAGCGGCCTGTGGAACAGCCGGTGAACGGTGAGTAGATGTGATTTATCATATTTGCGTGACAATTCGTGCTCATTCGACGCTTATACAGCATCGCGATGTCCCGAATTACGTTCGAACAAATCGGCGCCGCATCATAATTCGATGCGATGCCGTGCAATTCAAATAGAGTCGATCGCGTGAAGATGGTTAGGCTAGAAGCGATTTCAAATTTATTTTATATACGCGCAGTGCTGCACAGCCTATCTCGTAGGGCTGCCAACTGTTAAGGTGCAATTTCATTGACGCTAAAAAGTAGCGTCAATGAAAAGGCCGCTTTACACACTGAAAAAGTTGAAACTGTTTGAACTTTATTTTACTGACGCCATATCTAGAGAAAGTCTAGTGATTTTAATTTGCCGCTGGTTTCTAGCGTCAATGAAATTGCACCTTTATGCTACGGCCATTGTAAACGACCCTTTACGTCTATGATTATGACGTAAATAAGGATAACCTAGCGCGTCAATTGCACCCAAGGTTCTAAATTTTTTAATAATGTTTTAGTCGAGGAACATATTTTTATCTTATGTCTACGATGTCGTCCGACAACGAGGATACTCAATTTCAGGTGTACAAGGATGATCCGCGAATTCCTTGTCAATACGGTGTCAAATGCTATCAGAAAAATCCACAACATCATAGCAAATACAAACACCCGCCAAAAAGAGATATGGTATCGAAAAACATATAAATTTAATTAATTGATTTCTATATATTATAGAATTCTACATAATATTATATATATATATATTTATTATAATATATACTTATGTATAATATATAGAAGTATGCGAATTGTTATGTTAATTGATATATCGACACATCACTATTATTTATATCTCAAAAACTTTGCAGATGAAACAAAAAGCTGAGAAAACGATTACTGGCATAAAAAGAAAAAAACCTATTAAAGAGGATAAGAAGAAGAAAAGTCCCAAGAAAAAATTACAAAAGATACACGAGTTTTGCGAGCGACATTTGCACGATATTTCCCCGAGTCCGGAGAGAAACGACAATATTAGAAACAGTGATGAGGATGAGGATAAAAACTTTAATGAAAAAACAGAAGCATCAGATAAGAATGCAACAATTGTACAGACATCATTGAATCAGTCTAATCATTCACTTGAACCTGACAAGTGCAGCATAGCTGCAAACATATCGACATCCAATGTCAATGTTGAGAGAATTATTAAGGATCTTTTTCTGGTCGAGATGCCAGTAGATTTTTTTCAGTTTTACGAATTTTGTAAAAGTTTATCAAAGAATAATCCTCTCATGGCATGTAAATCTATTTGCTTGAAACTTGTAGGCCCATATGATATACTAGATGGTAAAATAAAAAGTGCTGATAGTATAAACGATAAAGAAAAATATTTGGTACATTGGAGATACTATTATGATCCTCCAGAATTTCAGGTGTAGATGAGTAACATTTGTTTTTAATCATGAAATTATGAAAATAATGTCTGAAAATATTGCAAAAAAAAATCAAACAAATCTAATACAAAAAGTTTTATTTGCAGACCATTATAAAATTTGATGATAAAGATGGATTACATTTTGGTTACTGGCGAGATAGTGTTAATGAGAAGCCAGTATTTGTAGCAAAAAATCGAGCAAACATAGATTGCATATTTGAATCTGTTGCAGAAAATATATTTGGTGCAGTTGAGTAAGTAGATAACAAAATTTTAGGTATATATTTTATATATATATATAAAAATTTTATATATATATATATATATATATATATATATATATAATATCTTATTATGTACGTTTATTTTTATGTATTGTTTTTCTTATATTTGTGTCTGAATTGTCTAAATTATAGTGCTTATTTGCAAGATAAAGTGAAATCAGCCAATCCTTTTGAGAAGACTGGTATAATGCGTCTGCATTTCCAGCTGAAAAACTTTGCTAAACAACATAAAATAACTCTGGAAAAAAACACTGTAAATATGCGATCGAGAGAAAGACAAGTTGTAGCACGAACCTTTCATAAAGCAGGCATTGTAGTCCCTTACGATAAAAAGACTCAGTTGGGTTATAGAGATTTGGCAGCAACAGACAGTAAGTAAAGTAATTGGATGCATTGATAATATATTTGATATTCGATTGACAATAATTAAGTTTCTGTATATATTTAAGGAACATACTTTTTGTTAATCTTAATTAAGTTTCTTACTAATGTGTTACAGACGATTTGCAAAAGATATTAAAACAGATAGAGGAAGCTGGTACTTCAGATGAGAGAAAGACATCATTCGTGAAACTCGACGAGATCGTAAGATTAGCGACAATAGCCGCGGATGAATGCGACTTTGGCACTTGTTTGGAATTAGGACATGATCTCTTCTCAAACGGCGGCGTTCACGTTCAATCAACGGCTTTACAAATGTTATCCATTGCCTATACCTATTTACAAAGGCAGGAATTGTTACAAATATTTAAAGTACATTTGAAAGACAGAAAGAAAGGTTGCGAATTAAGTGTGATTTAAAAAAGAAACTATTTATATATTTATGTAAATGGAGGATAATTATAATGATATATATTGTGAGTTCAATATCTTTTTTGATTATATTGATTAGCATTTTAAAGCATTTCTGTAAAAAGATGATAAATTTTCGTTTATTACAATTTTTAGTAAAATTAGAAGTTTTTAAAAATTTTTTAATTTATTAAAATATATTACAAAAGAGATTTAAATAGTAAAAATAATTATAAAGAATGGAATAAATGTGAATATCTTTTCAAGTGCCAGAAAAGAAAATTATAAAAAAGTAATGCTAAATATTAAATCATAAATTAAAACGTCAACTTTGTGTTCACATTATAATTATATTGAAAGCCATGATACTGTATACTCTTCATATTAGAGATAGAGATTGTCTTTATTTTTTCTATATGTATGCCTATATTATGTATATTTATTTATATCTCTAAATTTTTAAAGTTTTTCTAAGAGTTGAGTTTCGAAATGCACAATTTCATCGAAAAAATTTTGTAAAAAATAGTTCAATATATTATTATATAAAAATCAAATAGTTTAATAACACATTCAATGAAAAGTTTGAGAAGTTCTTCATTCGATTCGCGGATATGATAAAATTATCGGCTGATGTCTCCATTTATATTATATTTCGAGGATTATTGTATCATATACGTTATATTAGTAATAGATAAGAAGAATGATAAATCTTCAGAAGTTGTCTTGTGAAAATTGGTTTTAATTTATTTCGAGCGGCTTTTGTCTTTGATTTTGTCTGGAATTAACTTTGAATTAGATGAATGACAATGAAAACACTATTTATCTTGTGTGTTAACATTCTATTTTGAATTTATTCAAAAAATAATTTTGAGGAATGATTTTAATAAAATAAAAATAATTAAAAACATTTTTTTATTTTGCGGAATAAAAATAAGATTAAAATTCCAGTGGACGTAGAATTGGCAATTTAATTAAATTAAAAAATATTTTTTCTTTAGTGATTACACACACATACACTAAGATATTACTATTTTTTAAGGTATAAATATTTAGCGTATATCGAATTGTAATTTATAATTTTAAATGTCGTCTAAATTAAATTAATTAATTTGCGTTAAAAAAGACAAATGTATGAAAATTATTCAACAAATTGTGTATATTATATATAACTGAGCGTATGAATATCATTAAACTGCTGACATATGTAACTCGAAATAGAACGAACCGCGAATAGCCAAAAATATCTTATGCTTCTACTTAGTCGTCGATGTCCAGTCGCTCCGGTTAATAGTGAAATTTCAATGAAAGTGTTTCTCTGACGTTGAATACTAGATATACACTTACACATGCATTGTCCTTTTTAGGTAAATCATTCTTGATAATAGGCTATTTAAATCAACGTTGTAATTTCTATTTAAAGAAGGAATTATTAATATTTGAAAAACTTATTAAATTTGTTAAATGAATTAACATAAATTGACAAAATTAAATGAAAGAAACGAATATCATAAAAAGTGCAAAAAGCACTTTGTTATAGCTTCGATAATCATAACATATATTTAATATAAAAATATTTGACGAAGGTGCGTGTGACATTTCATATGCTTAAATGATATGTAGAGGTGGAGAGTATAACAAAAAATATTATATTATTTCTCGCGTTCTTCTGTTCCTTTCGCAATTGGACGCTACGGCATTGACTTCATCGCGATTGAAATTATTAATTAATGTCATTCTTGCAGAAGGAAAGAGAGATGTCGAATTTAAATAGATCAGATCCTACAGCCGGCGGAGATGCACCCGTTGTAGAAAAGACCGATTGTGTCGATGATGCAATTTCGCTATCAACTATCGAGTTGAAATGTTCCAAAGATGAAACTACAACCGTGGAAGAAGTCGCAGTATCGACCTTAAATGTACAGGCCGAATGTTTAGAAGCGACGAATGACTCACTCGGCGAAGAGATAGCTGATCCGAATATTACAGAGATCACACATGTAGCTACAGAAGATGCTGTGATATTTATTGACGCGCAAGAATCCGAAGCTAAAAGTTTAACTGCGATTGCTCTTCAAAGTGAAGAAACGCCGAAATCGAAATCTGCCAATGAGGAGAAGGTGAAAAAATAAATAATAGATAATCAGTTATAAATTGCAACCGATTATGGTTTTTTAAAATTATTATCCTAATTATTTTATATTTTTTATTAATTATTATTTGATTTAAATCATTATTTTTTTATCAATCGTACTCTTTGTTGTATCTAGGCTGATAATTCAAAGCTTAGTGAGAGAGACGACAACGCAACGCGTATATCCAGTTTGGAAGCGAAAGTGCGGGTGAGAAAATCCGTGGAGACCACAAACTATCCTGAAAGAAACGAATCATCCCAACTCGATAACGAAGTTAAATCTGATCATATTCTTAAAGAATTATTTGGTCATTTCTCGTTATTTTTGCTATATAAATAGCTGTTTGTAATTTCCAAAGAAAATATATCTTTTAAATTATTCTTCTATTATAACATTGTAGGTTTTAATTATTTTATTTAAAATTATAACTAAATTTATTAATTATTATATTGTTATATTAGTAATCAACAAATAGTGTTTAAAATCCTATAATTTTTTATATGAAATCATCTTATCACGAATACTTTGTCATTTTTGATACATGTTTAAAGATTCGTGGATCTTTGAACTTTTATATAGAATCTAACGTCAACGATATAATTCTTTTATAATCTCCCGATAGAAAAGAACGAAGGAGCGTGACGATTATCGAAAAAAATTGGAAGAGACGGAAACGAAGCTGGCCGCGTTGCAAGTGTCTTATGAGGCGATAACGAATCACGATGATGTCAAAGATACCCTGCAACAATCGGTGGAGCAATTGCGCGGTCAGCTGGCGCAGACTGCGTTGATGTACGAGGAGCGAAATCGGGTGGCGACGAACCAGGAGAGTCAGATTAACGCTCTGAACAATCAAGTAACTTCGTTGAAGGAGGTGGTATCGATCACGCGGGACCTGCTGCAGATCCGTAACATGGAAGTGAAGCAACTGCAAGTGAGTCGCGGTGATCTTATATCCTCATTCCTTTGGCAATACTTATGTACGACAATATATGTACGAGTTAGAGAGTACATAAAATTTAAAAGGAATATTCAAAATAATTTTCTTCTGATTTGTCTATTCTCTTTGAAAATGTCTCTTATCATCACCGACAAGTGCGTATCACATTAGACAAGAGAGAGAGAAAGAGAAAGAGGTAAATTCAGAATTATTATATTTTTAAACTAACTGTATGATATACATTGTAGGCTGAAGTTGACAATATGGAGAAGAAGATTTCCGAGGAACGCGAACGACATAACGTGATGATTAGTAAAATGGATGCAGCGATGCGACTCAATGCGGATCTAAAGAAGGAATACGAAACCCAGTTGTCCTTGTTTCAAAGTCTTCGTGAGAAATACGGCGAGAAAATTTCTTTGTTGTCTGCGGAGAAACGAGCTCTCGAAACAGCTACCTCTGCATCTGAATAAAGATTCTTTTCTCAATCTATAATGGATTTAGCATACAAATTCCTTTTTCATCATAATGTATGTATGTCTATTATCTGATATATTATTAGATAATTATAATTTTCGGTATTAAAAACGAAATGTTTCCTCTCTTTTTCCTAATAATTTAATTTCAGTCTTCTAGGAAATGTAAACTTGCATTCTGGCAATTTATGTAATAAAAATGTTTAAGTTAAATATACATAATACAAATGTTTGTATTATGTATATTATGTATATTTCCAAGTCTCAGATTAATATTTTTATATTGAATGTAATGATGATTAAATTAAATGTAAAATTGAACGCATATTTGAGTTTGAATTTATAATTATAATTTCACATAATTTTGCAATTTCTAATCAAGATACAACATAGGCAAAAATTTATTGGTGGATTTTTAATTTTCTATACAGGTGTTGGAGTTATTTTTATAGAGATATCAAAGATTTACTGTATAAAACTTGCGCTTTGCATTAAAAATTGCAAATTTGTATAAAACCATGCGTATAATGATTGATGAACATTGAAAAAGCTCTAAATTAAATTTTTTTCCACATATCCTTATAACATTCAGAGTGAAAAATCATGCAATTGATAAAGCAATTTAGACGATAAAACTGATGAGATAATTAAGATATTTGCTCAAATTATAAAAATCAATATCGACAATATTTATTTACTTACCGTTTATGTCTTACAATAAATCCATGAATAATAAACCATGATCTGTTATTACTTATGTTCTATTGCTTACATTTTTTGAGCGTTATAAGTCTAGATTATATACAAAACATGTCGATCTAGAGAACATTTTGTCCTCTAAGATCCGAATGTTCAAAGGAGAAACAACGTTACTGTGATTAAATTGAAGAAGTTTAGAGAGTTAAAATTACGTGTAGACTTTTTAATAATATTTCAATACGTACATTTCTCTACAAAATTCAAATCCATATTTAAAGAAGATTATTAGAAATAAAGATAACGAAACGAGCATTGAAATTTAAGCTTATTGCTTACATTGTGTCACTGATCTATAAGTATGTAAAATATTTATATATACATATGTAATTTAATTTCTTGCTTTAAATTGTCTAAATATATTTATATTATATTTAATTTATTATACTGATATATGATCATGTAACAAGAACATCTCAATCGAATGTTTCCGTGGTGTAGTGGTTATCACATCCGCCTAACACGCGGAAGGTCCCCGGTTCGATCCCGGGCGGAAACATGTTTTAATTTTGTCATCTTTTTTTTTATCTTTAAAGTATTGTTTCTCGTTGCATACATTGTACGTATGTATACATACAATTATATGTAGTATACTTTTTAGAGATTTGATAAATTTAATTTACTATTGTAATGACATTTAAAATGGTTATATTGTTTAATAAAATCTAATATTTATTAAAATATAATTAAAACAAAATTTTAAAAAAATAAAGGAAGGGAGAATTTTCAATATGAATATAAAGTAAATTAAGAGAGGATCTTGAAAATATAATAAGATTTGATATTAATATATAATAATCATGGGAATCTTGTAATTTTTATCTATAGATAACTATAGATAAAAATTACAAGATTCCCATGATTTATTAAAGTTTATTTATAAATTATATTTAATAATAATAATTATATATTATTAAATTATATTTAATAATATATAAATTATATTTAATAATAATATTAAATAATATTTGTTCATATTTGATGGTTTATTTTGTTTGTATTTATGCTAGAGGTACGATTACAGGTGCTTCATCGTCCGTCTCTTCGAGCAAATTCGAAAAATCCCATAGAAATTTCGCGGTCAATCGGTCCTGCAAACGTTTTGCATAGGACTTCAGTCGACCATCCACCTCGGAATTTGATTCAATATTACCGAATAATTTGTACAAATTGTGATACACGAAATTATTGCTTGCTACAATATCGCACAGAACTTCTTCAGGCACGTATAACAGTTCTGTCTCCAAAACTTGCAAAAATTCTATATAGATAAAACGATATTGAGGAATCGCTTTGTCCACACCGCAGATCAGTGTCACAAGTTTCTTCCACTGCTCGAAGGCGTCCAAACTCTGTCCAACTAGGAAACAGATGAATGTCAGCTGCATCTCCCCGATGATTTCGATAGGTCTAAGAATTACGAATGATTTTTTAGAAATATTTATGCATTTTTTCATATTTCATATTTTTTCTGCTTCGAACTAGTAATTTTACTTTTAATTTTACTTACTCTCGTATTTTTTTCAAGGTAGTGTGTAAAACGTAACTGGAATCAAGAGAATGCCGCGTTATCTCGCTTGGAGTTGCGTCATCGGGATAATGCTTGTCGGGTATTTCTGTGAGTCTAAGTTCTGTGCCAGGTTTTGGTTTCAGATTTGGAAGTAACTCCTCCTCTTTGTCTTCCACTGTGAGTTTACCAGATCTTCTTCGCTTATTATTAGATTCTCCACCACGTGGTCTCAAAGCATCACTGCAATTCTCCAATTCCAAAGCAGATCGCACATAACTGAAACACAATGTTTTATTGATGATAATACATATTTAATATTATATTTTTAGGTTGATACGATTTATATTTTCTACTTACCCACATAAAGGTGAACATCTTGCCACGAGAGATTCAGTAATCCTACTTGATAATTCCTTCCATTGTTTCCATATCTCATATGGATATGGTCCTAAATATCTATCCAGTTCTTTTAAATTATCCTTCAATCTTTCAATTGTCTCCTCGGGTACAGCTATTGTTTGACAATGTTATTATATTATTATGCAATGATTTAGAATTATTAACAATCTTGTTTTCTCTTACATTCTGCACTGATGTCTTCTTCTTTGCTGTCCCATTTTCTTATTAAGAATTCACTTTCCTTGAAATCATGAAAGAAACCAATTCTCGGTGCCATCTCGCCAAGTTTTACTGCACTATAGAGATATTATTAAATTATTCAATATACTTGTAAAGAAAGAGAAATATATCTGACATACATATATGTTACCTGTAATGTACAAAATGAACTCCAGGTGGGATCATTTTAATGCCCTTAAAATTATTCCCTGTATTCCACGATTTCATATCAATGCCAATATCAGTGCCTGCTGGTACATCCAATAAAACTAACTTAGCACCGTGTGTCAACAGAGTTTGTGCAATATTTTGATCCATCTTCGATTCTATGTCTTTTATCACTATTTATATGTTATATATATGTTTTTATTATATTATATATATTATATTATGTTTTCTTATGAATATATTCGTATTTATACAGATAGTATAAATATTTGGAGCATATGCTTTGTTACTGGTATAATAGAATTTTTGATGATGAACTTTTAATTATTATAAGTTTACATTATTGTAAATTTATGATAACCTTTGAAGTCGTTTCAATATACTCTAGTATTTCCAAATTATATAAGATTGATTTTAATTTATATTACGAAAATAAACAAAGCATTTAATATAATGCATTGGTGTTAGATTTTAGATAAAAGCAGTCATTTGATATTTATTACAAACTATTAAATATCCACATATACTTCTTTCATTTGACAATATTATTGAGAAACGGATGTTGCGCGAACATAGCGACATCTGTAGTCAAGATCCAATTATTTTGGCGCAATTTCTATGACAGGAAATGATAAAAAATGTATTATTTTAAATGTATTATTTTATCAAACGATATATCAAACAGAATAGATTAGAAAGTAATATAATTAAAATAAATGTAAACAGCTAATATACAATGTAAACAGCTAAATGTAAAATAATTGTAACAAACTTAAATGTGTGCTCATGCATAAAGGTGCAATTTCATTGACGCTAAAAATGTAGCGTCAACCATTGGTTGAAAAAAGAAGCAACTACTTCTTTGTTCAACCAATGATTGACGCTACTTTTTAGCGTCAATGAAATTGCACCTTAATTCAACAGCTGATGCACAGGCGCACACGCACGCACGCACACACATGTGTGATATGACACTTCGAGAGTTTGAAATTTGTCAAAGTGTTGGAATTTATTATCAATGTAATTAATTTATTATCTTGTAATTAACGTTGAAATATATATACGGATGTGAATTTATTTTTTAGAATTGTGTCGCAAGTTTTCTTATTATTCATCATAATTGTATACTCGCGATTATCGACTGGAATTCATATAAACACTTGGAATTTATATTCTAACCTATCTTAAAATAACCCTGTTTAAAATACGACTATGAGGATATCGATCACGTAGTCTGGTCATGTGATAGATATAGTAGGGAAAGAGATTTATTGAGAAAGGAAATCGGAGCACAAGAATTGGACCGACGTGAAGAACAGATATCAAACATTATTAAACGGGAGGACTGGAATAAGCTTTATAGCATATACCAGTTTATCCGAAGGATAAAGAGGATAATTTAAGCGGTAGAGAGATTATTAACTTCGCCATAAGACCTAACCGGTTAAGAGCGTTCTCGTACGAGAAAACATTAAAAAAAAAAAAAACCCTGTTTAAAGTCAAAGTAAATAAAATGACTTCGTACAGCGTGATTACGTCTGATTTTGTGAATGTATCTATCACAAATTCCGCACAAGGATCTTGTTGCGTGGAACGTCGATTTCAAAAGGGTATAACTGTCGATGAATTTAAGGTGAGATTTCTCTCTTGAAATTTTTTGCGCTTATGTACCTGCATAAAAACATTTATAAATTACAAAATTATAGGGTAAATTGGAACTTCTTACGGGCGGTAATCCAACTACGATGATAATCGAAGTCTATGACAAGAATGACAAACTCGTTTGCAAGTTGGAGGAAGGACAACGCCTTTTGGGATCTTATCCAATCGATGATGGCATGAGAATACATGTAAGCTTGCTGATATTTTGTCCTAACACAAAAGAGCTTGTATTATATTAGAAAAGCCGCTTCAAACATTTTTTAAAGTAAAAATCTATGAATAATACTATCACAGGTTATCGATAATTTCTCGAGCACTGCAGAAGACTTAAATGATGTGAAAAAGTTTGAGATATCTGAAGAAGAATATGCTAAGAAAACAGGTAAAATTTTGTTTATTAAAGTGTGATAAATAATTTTTTATTTACGTATTTTTGGGATATAACAGATACTGTTAAGGCGTTTCTGGAGAAAAATAAACTAGGAAAATATAACGAGGAGGAAATGAAAAAGAAGATGGAGGAAAAGAAACGGGAGGAAGAAGCAGAGGAACATTCAGCTAGTTTATGTAAAGTCGGAGATCGCTGCGAAGTATTTGTTCCGAATCAACCGAAACGAAGAGCTACTATCTTATACATTGGTTAGTAGAATTTTAACACATTTGCAATTGTATTTTCATTTCACCAAAAAATATATTTTCATCTGTTTAAATATCATATTCTCGTCATATTATCTTATTAGGTAAAACTGAATTTAAAGAAGGCTGGTGGATTGGTGTCAAATATGATGAACCTCTTGGCAAGAATGATGGAAGGTAAATGTATAATCTAACTCTATTTTATGTCGTGATGTCGAAATATTTTTCTTTATGCTTTTTACATTGTCAACAGTGTCAGTGGTAAAAGATATTTTGAATGTCCACCAAAGTATGGTGGATTTGTGAAGCCAACATATGTGAAAGTCGGAGATTTTCCCGAGGAAGATTTCGATTTGAATGAAGAACTTTAAAAACACCTAATGTTATTTCATAGAATGTTTTTTTACAATTTTTGAATATTCAAAATAGACAAAATTTTATAAAATAGGCTTTATATAAATTAAATAGTTTATAATTGATCATGATTCATTATGATCCTCAGTATTTTCTTCGCTTTATTATGTCAGGTCGCCAGTCAATAGGATGTGTTTTTTCAGTCTAAAAATATAAATAATATATGATAATACAAAATTATAAAAAAGAATAATTATTATATAGAATGATTATGAAATTAGAAGTGTATAGTACATTATTTAGTACATTATTTATAAAGAAAATCTACTTACAGCAGTGTCATCTTCTTTATATACTTTTATAGTTTTATCAGCTTCTGTTGTAATCATGCGAGTGCCCGACATATCAAATGTAATGCTGAATATTCCCGCCTCACTGTCCATTGAACCAGGTTGAACTGGAGCTTGTAGTCGCTGGAAGTTATATCCAGTTCTCCAATCCCAAAGGTGCATAGTACCATTGTCAGCGCCAGATACTAAAACTCCATCAGCATTTACAGCTAGACAATTAACTATAGCATTGTGACCTGACAAGTTTTGAATAAATTTCCCTTCTGGACATTTCCACTGTTTGATATTGTCCGGCGACGCCGAGGCAAACATGTATAATGATGGATGAAACGACAAAGCTCTAACGCTTTTCTTGTGATTCGTCAGGGTGGCTCTGGATTTTCCAGCAGCCAAATCCCATAAGCGAATTGTACAATCGTGGCTGCCGGTGACAATTTGTGGTTCGGCAGACTGACAAATCACACTAGCTACTGTGTTAGTATGCCCGACAAGTGTATGGACGTTTGCTTTGGTACGCATATCCCATACTCTTCCAGTAGAATCTCGTCCCGCTGTTACGAGAACATCTACGGTGGGATGCAACGCCATAGAATATACAGCCGATAGATGTCCATGATAATGTCTGATTACTTTGTTATATTCGAGATCCCAGCATTTAACTTGACGGTCTTCACCACAAGAAAACAGGTAAGGATGCCTTTGAGAAAAAGCGAGACCGCGTACGCTGCTTATGTGACCAGTTAAAGAAACTTTGAGTTTTCCGCTTGCGAGGTCCCATATCTAATTTTTAAAAAAATTATATGTAAGCTATTATCTTTTAATTTCCTCGTTCCGAGAGAAACAATATATCAATATATGAAGATGTTTTTACAATCAAATACTTACTTTGATTACTCTATCAGCTGAACCAGTGGCAAACCATTCATTTCCAGGTTCGACAGCACAACATCTCACCCATCCGAGATGACCGCTAATAACTCTATACAATTTCCAAGGCGCATGCCACTTTGGTTTAGCCATTGAAGGTGTTTTCTTTTGGGGTATTGTTAGTGCATTACTATTTGCATTAACTCCTCCACTTGTAGCTGTTGCAACTATCCCTGTGTTTCCCTGTGTTATATTGTAAGGAACAATTGCTGAAGTAATATTAGCTTCAAAAGTTTCATCTGAAAGTATATTTAAAAAAAATGAATATAAATGATATATATCTAGCAAAAGAAATATTTCGTCTCAGTTATATTATATTACCTCCTGGTGGTGGAGGATCTACAGCATTATTTTCTTGCTGAGCTTTAGCTATGTTATTTTGCTTTACACGTTCCAATACTGGACCGTAACTATCTTTCGCTTTTATAGCTTTTTTTACTTGTTGTCTGGAAAAAAGTAATAGATATGATTAAGGAAATTTAATTAAGTAATTTGTACCAATTGTACTGACAATACTTACAAAGTAGGATCCACTGGTGGCAAAGTTCCTTGATTTAATAAAAACATGTCATGAGTTCTTTTTAAGGAACGAAAAACTAATGTACGTACAGAGTGTCTCTGGACATCCTGAAATATAAAATAATGAACCATATACAAAATTTGTATAAATTATGTTATACATATATATGTACATATAATGCTATTTATGTAATTTAAAATAATATTAAAAATATAATTCAATATATCATTACCATTTTTTAGCACAGAGTATGATTAAACAAAAAAATATTTATATTTATATTTTTTATTTACACATTCTCGATACTCTCTATTCTAGATTTCTTCTTACATATTTCAAGTCAGCTGTTTGTGTCTAAACTGAACTAGAGATCTTTTAATCAGAATGGCCGCATTCAGCGGACTTAACAGTTGAGCAATATTACTAGATTTTCCGATGTAATTCAATGTTGATTGGTCGGATCGGAAAACAATGGCCGCTTTCAACGGACTCAACAATTGGGCAGTATTACTAGATTGTCCAATGTAAATTCGACGCTGATTGGCCGGATCTGAAAATAGAAACCAATCATGTTCGATTGCTACTTGGCAGCTGAGTTCGCTGAATGGGGTGGCACCCGATTGACCACGTCGTCAATTGGCCAATTCAAAATAGAACTCCCTGATTGGTTAATCGTTGCTGGTTACTCTAGGCACAGGTCGATATAATTGGCTGTGGTCAATCGCAACGTGATCAAACGGGATGCTCCCGCTGAATGCGACCAATCTATACATTTTATTATCAATGGTTGAATATTCTGCTGCGACAACGACGCCACTATTGAGACAATTGTACTGAAGGTTTAAATTCAAAAAAGTAACGGCTAACTAACGGCATGTGTTTTCTGGTATCGTTTTGTGACGAGAGTGATATGCGTGTAAATTTCCTTATCGTGCAATAAGAAATTGACATTTTGCAAGGATTAAAGTATGTATCCAATGACGCACGATTTACAATAGCTATGTGTTAATTTCAATTGATAATATTATTCCTTTCCAGAGAATAATAATTATCGGTATGATGGATGATCAACCCGAGTGGAAACCTATCGTTCAAACAGCACACGTGAAGCTTGAGCAAGTATTCGACGAGCTGCAGAAGACTTGGGAAGACATAGGATGCACCAGAGAAACACGGGAGATGTATTACCAGCAAGCACTCAACCACATAAACGATCTGTTGAATGAGATGGTGGCAGAGTCACAGACAAAGAAGCAGGTATTGCTGCAGAGTATAAAGGATATGTTAAAGCAAACAACAGTGCTGTATACAGAGCTACATCTGGACATGGAACCTAAGAGTTATGATCAGATCCCTTTAAGTAAAGTGGAACAGATGCTTCGAAGCGAGTTGCAAGATTTGGAACAAATGAAAAAGGAACGTATGATGATTTTGAAAGAATTGTTGGCAAAAGAACATGATATTTGTGAGAAACTTGGTGCCAAGAAAATAAATATCACTGCAGATGTTCTGCCTACCGAGCAAGAACTTGAGAGCTTCAAATTGTATCTACAAAAGCAAGAGAATGAAAAAATACGTTTGGAGAATGTTTTTACAGATATACGTCGTTCTATAATTAAGATGATGGATGATTTGGGTATATCTCCATTTTCACCTTTTCAACAGCTAATCTGTGAGAATCCCGAAGAGTTTGTATTTAGTACAAATAATATGTCAAAATTGAGAGAATTTAGAGATGAATTGAAAACACAAGTAGAAGAAACAAAATGCCGTGTCGAGAAAATGAAAGAAGATTTGTTAGCGCTATGGAGATGTCTGGATGAACCTGAAGATGTTTGTCAATTGTTCCTCGACAGGTATTCCGATTACAGCACTGGCACTATAAATGCGCTCAGTGCAGAGATCAAACGTTGTAAGGAGAGCAGAAAAGAGAATATTTTCAAATTTGTTACAAAGTTAAGATTAGAATTGATGAACTTGTGGGATTTATGCAAATATTGCGAAACAGAAAGGAACACATTTGCCCCATTTCATTCTAATACATTTACAGAGGATCTGTTAACATTACATGAGTTAGAAGTGGAAAGGCTACGCAAATTTTATGACGATAATAAAACCATATTTGAACTTTTGGAGCAGCGTGAAAACTTCATAATGAAGATAAAGGAATTGCTTCAGCGTGCAAATAATCCGGATCGCTATCACAATCGCGGAGGTCAATTGTTAATGGAGGAGAAAGAGCGCAAAATGATACAAAAGAAATTACCCAAAATAGAAGCGGAATTACAGCGATTAATAAAGGAATATGAAACTACGCACAAACAAATGTTTACCATTTATGGCACATCGTTGGAAAATGTTCTAGCGGAAACTTGGGAAAATATTAATCACGAGAAGGAGACGATGAAGAAGGCGAGGAAAGAAGCGAAAGACAAATCTATCAAGAAGTCGCCCTTAAACTGTTCGAGGAGAACGCCGGGTGTATCCCATCTCAGCATTCATCGAGGTCCAACTCCGCTGTCGAAACGCAAATTGTTCACTCCATCTCCTAATACGTCGTTAAAACGCAAAAATAAAAACGATAAAAATAAACCCACTGTAAGCGCATCTAAGATTAGAAGAAGCGGAAGAATTCCGAAGATCATTGTTCAGAAAGCACACAGGTCCTCTAAAGGCGGACAAAAGGGGAAAGAATCGTTATCGCCCGTCAACAGTATCGTAGATACCACATATAATCAATTTCAGGGTCATATGACGAACAGGGAAGAATTGCACAGCTCGATGCTGCCGGAACAGATATTGAGGAACTCCAATAAAATTAATGTCAACAAAACACCGATAATACGAACGCCCATGAAACCATTGAGGAAAAATCTTTCTGCGGCTACGACGCCTATAGCTTGCGGTTCTGCGCGCAAATCACCGCACAGTCCTAGAATTAATAATACACCAAAATTAGCGACAGCCCCAAGTAATTTGCCTTTTATCTTTTAAGCAAGAACGAGATAGCTTGAGAACATATGATAAAAATCTTTAAAAACATTTATGTAGGACTATAAGAAGTTTTAATATATAACAGCGAAGTAAATTTTCTTATTTTCTTATTTGTGAAAACGATTTTACAAATTAATTTAATGAAGTCCTACATAAATGTTTAAAGATTTATAATGAAAGATTTTTATCATACATAATATTATAAACTCGCGAGATTCATGTAACTGTTGGAGAGTATAAAGTATATATAACTGCTTGGTAACATTAAAATGCAAAAATTGTTTTTAATATAATCGTACCTGCAATTGATATAAGTTTAATTTAATTATAATAATATTTGTTATATTGCTAGATTAAGAAAAAACACTTAAAATATTGTACATTTATAGAGACCTTGTAACTTACCTACTATCTTATGTACTACCTTTTTTGTAGAGTGTACGAAGATTATTCTATTTAAAATTATCTTAAAACTTTAAAAGAGATAAATGTTTGACACTGATTTATTTGAAATATGCACAATAATACTAATAAACTAATAGTAATATTAATAAACTTTTAAATTTAATTATAATTGTTATTATTATATTTGTTATATTGCTAAAATTAAAAACACTACTTTTTCATTATATTTATCTTTCATTGAATAAGAGTGCAGTTGAACGCAATCTTTATGTGCAGTTAGTAGTGAAGTATAGATTAAGCTACACTTTACTCATAGTTTTATATAAAGATTGCATATTAAACCACACTCTTATTCAATAAAAGATAAATATCACGAGAAAGCAGTGTTTTTTTTCTTCCCTTCCCTTTAATTTTAAACTTATATCAAATGCATCTATTATTATATTAAAAATAATTACATTTTAATGTTATGTAGCAGTTATGTATATGTAATTTTAATTTCTACGTAATTTTTATTTTTAAACATCAAATATATAGAATTAATTTAAAATTTTGCGCGTTAATTTTTATTTTTAAATATATCAAGTATAATATAGTATTTTAAGAACAATTGCACTAAAAAAAATATTTTTTATGTTGGATCACAAAAAAGATTTATATGCTAATCAAAGAAATTATGTCATGCATATGATATTTACTGCAATAAGATTTCGACAATAGGATAAATAAGTTAAATAGCTAGATTAACAGAAAAGAAAAAAATATATATATATGTATAACCTGTGTACAAAATGTATAAAAATAATTTACAGGATTAAATTAAATTAAATTAAAAGGATTAAATTAAAGAAGAAAAATGAGATAAAATATTTTTTTGCGATATTTTCTCTCTATATATATATTTACAAGAAGATTAATAAAAAATTAAATTACAATTTTAATACTTTTTACGATATCTTTCTCGTTAAAATATTTTTACTCGCACACTATCAAAGATAATAAAATTATTCATTTTAATATAAATCGAATATAATATTACTAAATGTCTTTTTACGAATTTGTTTACTTTCTCATGACAGAACATTAATTGTATATGAAATTCATAGCGCATTCTACGATGATATGAGATTTAAAAAAAGGCTGAATCATTAGATTAGATCGAACGATATGATTTAATACATCATTAATTACAAAATTAAAACATAAGGATTTCTGCTTGTTTATAATTTTTTTACACCAACACGATTATCTGTTCTTGTTTGATTTTGTATGGATTTTGTACATTTCATTAGTTCAGATATGAACCATGTATCGTTATCGAGCCTCATTAGTTCAGATATGAACCATGTATCGTTATCGATCGATACGAACATAGTTCACGTCCTTTCTCAGAGGGCGCTTGAGAGACAATATGGCCGTTAAAGCGAAGTGGCCGCTCTCAGATTTCTCTTGATTTCTCTCTGATGTCCATTAAAGCGCATTAAAGCGAGGTGTCCACTCTCGAGCTTATTTCTGTTATAATTAACTCTTCAGAAAAAAAAAACAAGAAGTAAGCAATGGGAGACATAAAATCTTTCTTCCACCAGTGGTGCGCAAAGAATGGTAAAGAACCGCAATTTGATGTTAGACCAACAGGTAAGGATCAGTATCCTAGATTGCTTTTTCTAAATCTTACGAAAAGACTACATGAATTTTTGTATTTTACGCAGGACCGAAACATAGACAACGTTTCCTTTGCGAATTGCGAGTACCCGGGTTTGACTATGTCGGTGCGGGAAACTCTACCAACAAAAAGGATGCGCAGGGAAACGCTGCCAAAGATTACGTTAATTACTTAGTTCGTACGAATCGTGTGAATTCGAATGATGTGCCGAGAGAAAACATTACGTTGCCAGGCACGATGGCACAGGACAGCTTCAAGCCGGAAATCTCAACACCAGTAAAATCGGTGTTTCAAGGAGGCATGGGTCCGAATGACATTGGCCAGGCATACAGGCCTTACAATGAGCATGGCCAGAATAATTACACGTACATGGATAGATTGGCCGATCAAAAGAGAGTGGAAGATGCCGAGGACGTTGACGTAAATTCTGGAATACATGGAAACTGGACGATAGAAAACGCCAAATCCAAGCTTCATCAATTCATGCAAACTAACAAAATTAATGCCGATTACAAGTATACCCCGGTCGGTCCGGATCATACGAGGTATGGAGACGGAGTCTTTTTAGCACATTGGATTGGCGTTTTGATGCAGTGATTGTTCACTTTATTTATATATGTATATATATATACACATATATATGTATTATTTTACTATTTTCTAAACAATTGCTTGCCGATTGTTGTACCATTTGAACTTTAATACGGCCATTTTGGAGTATATTGTTTGCTCACATCTAAAGCTGGTGCAAGAGAGTAATTATCGATTCTCTTGTACACAGATGATGATGGCATTAAACCAAAACTTTTATTAAACTGATTTAATAATGGTTTTGGTGCGACTAAACAAAAAAACTCTTTTCAATGTACTCCAATGTGGTCGTCTGTAACACCTTCAAATGGTAAGTCATTGTTATTCTTTGTAATTAATTGAGGGAATAAGGGAAATAAACAATAAACTTTAAAGTAAATTAATAAATTCTAAAAAATTATTGATAAAAAAATATATATTAACTTCAGGTGGTTTTTCAATAAATTGCACTTACAAATTCACTTTTCAATTTGTTTCGACAAAGCATTTTTTATTCATAGAGTTTTGTCTTGCTAAATTATTTGAAACATTTTAAAAATCTTATTCTTATTCAATTATATTATTTGTGTTATTTCTTTGATGTGTATATTTCTTTTACACTTGTTCCCTTAATTATTAAATGTGTTGACAATATATTATTATTTTATAATACATATAGTTTATAATATTTAAAATAAAAATTATCTTTTTGGCAGGAGTTTTATGGCAGAAATGTCAATTTATGTAAAACAGCTTGGACGAAGTACGTATAATTATTATGTATTAAAGTATATCTAATTACATAAAAATCATCTAACACTTCAATGTATTTCAGGTATAACTGGTCGTGAAACTGGATCAAATAAACAAACAGCTTCTAAAAGCTGCGCTTTGTCTATTGTTCGTCAACTGTATCATTTAGGTGTTATTGAACCATTTAGTGGTACATTAAAAAAGAATAAAGATGCCGAACAAATGAAACCTTACCCTGTTAAAATTTCACCAGAACTGGAAAATCAGATCCAGGATGTTCTAATGAGTTTGGATATAAAATCAGTCGATATTAACAAGGTAATTAATGTACTGCTAATTTAACGTATTACTATAGGAATCGCACACAACACACACACACACACACACACATATTTATAATACATATTGTATATATTGATAACTTGGAAATGTATATTAAAGCATTTTAAACTAAATTTATAATAAAAAGTAAAATATTTGTTTATATAATACAGTCACCTATAGTGAAAGAAGAAAATAGTGCATCAACTACCGGGGTGTCTTTAATAACGAATCAAGTTCTGGATGACTTTATATCGTCTGTACCGCAACCAGCCGGTGTCGTAAGCTGGTCGCCACCTCAGCCAAATTGGAATCCATGGACCGGATGCAATATTGATGAAGGGCCGTTAGCTTCAACTTCTCTAGATCAACTGTCGGAAGATCTGATGAATGAGCAGCGCGACAAGTTACAACAAGATTCCAGTTTGCAAGCGAGCATTAAGGAAAGGTCCAATCTGCCTGTGTTCGCCAAGAGAAACGAAATCATGAATGCCATTAATGAAAATCCGATCATCATCATACGTGGTAATACGGGATGCGGTAAGACCACGCAAGTTTGTCAATTCATCTTGGATGATTACATCGCGTCTGGCCAGGGTGCTTATTGCAGCATAGTTGTCACTCAACCGAGAAGAATATCAGCCGTATCTGTGGCCGATCGGGTTGCCGTCGAGAGATGTGAGAGTCTGGGACAATCGATCGGATATTCCGTGAGATTCGAATCGTTTTTGCCGAGACCTTACGCAAGTGTGATGTTTTGCACCGTTGGCGTGCTCTTGAGGAAATTAGAAGGTGGTCTCAGAGGCGTGTCGCATGTTATCGTCGATGAGATTCATGAACGAGATGTCAATTCGGATTTTATTATGGTCGTGCTTAGGGATATGATCCATCTCTATCCCGATCTGCGGATCATTCTCATGTCAGCTACGATCGACACGACGCTGTTCAGCGAATATTTCAACAACTGTCCCGTAGTAGAAGTTCCTGGCAGAGCATATCCCGTGCAGCAGTACTTCTTAGAAGATTGTATAGAACTGACAAAGTTCGTTCCGCCGACAGCTTCCGGGAAACGTAAATCTAGAGACTCGGACGATTTACCGACGGCGGATGGAGAGCCGGAAGAAAATCTGAATAAGGTTATCGATAATGATTATAGTATCGAAACGAAGAACGCTATGGCGCAGTTGACAGAAAAGGAAATAAGTTTCGAATTAATAGAAGCACTACTTATATATATTAAAAGGCAAAATATCCCAGGTGCTGTGCTGATTTTTTTACCTGGTTGGAACTTAATATTTGCATTGATGAAACACTTACAGCAACATTCCGTCTTTGGTGGATCATCCTATCTCATTATCCCGCTACATTCTCAATTACCAAGAGAGGATCAGCGCAAAGTCTTTGATCCCGTACCATCTTCCGTAACGAAGATCATCTTGTCCACGAACATCGCCGAAACTTCGATTACAATCAATGATGTCGTCTATGTCATAGACTCTTGCAAGGCCAAAATGAAATTGTTTACGTCTCACAATAATATGACAAATTATGCGACTGTTTGGGCCAGTAAAACGAATCTGGAACAACGCAAGGGTAGAGCAGGTCGCGTTAGACCCGGCTTCTGTTTCCACTTATGTTCGAAAGCCCGATTCAATAAAATGGACGAGCATATGACACCGGAAATGTTCAGGACGCCTCTGCACGAGCTGGCATTAAGCATCAAATTGCTGAGATTAGGCAATATTGGACAATTCTTATCAAAAGCAATTGAGCCACCTCCCATTGATGCTGTGATCGAAGCGGAAGTCGTATTAAGAGGTATATTCACTTTTTATACATTTTTATCTTTTTTCCCTAGACTTACTTTCTTTATAAAAATATTTCTATTACAGAAATGAAATGTTTGGATAAGAACGACGAATTAACGCCTCTCGGTAAGATATTGGCGCGTTTACCGATAGAACCGCGCTTAGGAAAGATGATGATCCTGGGCTGCATGTTTCGCGTGGGTGACGCATTGTCAACAATGGCTGCGAATAGTACCACCTTTCCAGAGGTGTACAACATGGGTCCGGATGTAAGAAGATTGACCACTCAGCAAAAGTGGTTTGCCGGCGCGAGATACAGCGACCACGTAGCGATGTTTCACGCTTTTCAAGCCTGGGAAGAGGCGAGAACTGGCGGTGAATGGGCAGAACAAGCTTTCTGCGAGTCAAAGAACCTGAGTATGCCAACTTTACGAATAACATGGGAAGCTAAGGTTGGTGGAATCGCATTGCGTATTTCTTATTGTTACTTACAGTATTGTTGTGACTTTATTTATCGCTTATTATGTAGAATCAACTACAAGCATTGCTGCAAAGCGCTGGCTTTCCCGAAGAGACTCTATGCCCGACTCCGTTGAATTATCAAGCTGTCTCAGACCCACGCCTCGACACTATTACCGCGCTATTATGCATGGGCCTTTATCCGAATGTATGCTTTCATAAGGAAAAGCGGAAGGTTCTTACTACGGAATCAAAAGCTGCGTTAATTCACAAGACATCGGTGAACTGCAGTAACTTTGAGCAAAATTTTCCGTTCCCGTTCTTCGTGTTCGGCGAGAAAGTAAAGATAAATTCATTTCTCTCGATGTTTATCTCCTTGAATATCGTTGTAACTCTTCTTTTTATTTTATTTTCCCTTTTCAGATTCGTACGAGAGCCGTGTCTTGCAAGCAAATGACCATGGTATCGCCCATCCATTTGTTGCTGTTCGGATCCCGAAAAGTGGAATATGTTGACGGCGTGATTAGACTAGACAATTGGATCAATTTGGACATGAATCCAGAACACGCAGCGGCCATAGTCGCTCTACGACCCGCACTGGAGAGTCTCGTGGTTAGAGCATCTAAAGATCCGGAAACAATTTTGGAGTTGAGCCCTACCGAGGAAAAGGTAGGCGAATCGAAATAAAAAATAATAATAATGTAACACACACATACCTATATTATATCTTTATCTCTATAAAACTAATATATTTATAAAAATACATATATCTAGTATTTATAACATCTAATAATAATATATTTTTATGATAGTATGATGAAATAAAGAAAGAACATTTTTCATCTTATTAGGTGCTGAGCGTGATTAAATCATTATGTAGCATGAACGCTTGCCGTCACGAATTGCAACAGATAACCGGAGGCAACTTTCAATCACGTCGTCCACCAAGAGATCACATGCCTGGCTTTCACTTCAATAATAGTTCTCCTGCAAAACTGATGCGCGGAAATGGTGGTTATCGTGGATCACCATTCACAAACACCACTAGTTATGGGAGAAGTAGTGGTGATAATTTCGGGAGTAACAGTGGCGGTTTCGGCGGAGGATTCAGGGGAGGCTACAACAATAGGGATCCACGTCGCAGAGGAAACTGGAGCGGTGGCGGTGGAGGAGGATTTCGTGGCCGTTATTAATTAATATTTTACGTCTTTGATATTATTACGATATTAGTATCGATAATCATCACTATTATAATATAAGACTATATTTATAGATTATACAAGATATATTAGAAATCGTTATACAAATGAAATGATTTTTCAATTCGTGATTTCTTTTTGTCTCCGAAAAAAAATATTTTAAAAATTATACGGGGAAAAATTTTATTCTACATTTTTAATTTTACATTTGTATGACAAATCATCTATTTTATTGATTTCTCGTATATCCTGTTCATATCAAGCTGATATGTAGTAAAGCTAGCATTAAGCTTAAACTTATCAGCTTAAGTTTATATCAGATGTAATCTCAATATTACACAAATGATGTTTGTATGTGATTCAGACTTTTATAATATGTAGAAGTCTGTGATGTAATGTAAAGCCTTTTTTTTAATCAACTTTTTGATGTATCGTATCGTGTACATTGTGATTATAAATAAATGTATGATATGTTGTCTCGCGCATACAGATTGGCGTATTTGTAAAGTGTAATTTCGAATGATATTAGATTAGAAAAAAAAAATTATTTTCTCTCGTTCACTACAGTTCAATGAAATTTTGATCGATAGATCTGATTAAAAAACTATCCTAAGTTTGTTATCACAGTATCATTCATAGACACTTGCGCGCGCGCGGCAAGTGCGTCGAATGACGTCACGGCCATCTAACGGAAGTGAACCGAGAGTAGGCGATCCTCCGAACGGAGATGTTGCAAATCTATTTTTCGAACACGTATCTGTGAGACAGGTGGCCGATGAAAAATGGCGAGAATCCGCGCGGTATGAGAATCGTCGATTGACACTTGCTCTCAAAGTCAGATTCAAAAGAGAGAGGGAAAGAGTGTGTCGATAAATAGATTTATCCCGTGACTGTCACGCTTGACGCAAGACGGATCGCAAAGTAAAAAAGAAAAAGTGGTCTCGCGATGGTTCGGTTGGTGGTTGCGAAACGTCACGCGCGATTCGTACCGTCCGCAGCAATCGTCTATCTGTCCGTTTGTTCGCTTCGCGAGTGACACGAGGATGACGATAAGTTCTTCGACGAGCAACGCATGGCAGGGAAAACAACAACGCTAAAATAGATGCGATAGAGAGATGAAATATCGTCGTTCGTTTACGATATTCGCGCAGCAAACCGATACCAGTAGTGATTCTCCACCAGTAGTGTGAACCTTGAACGGTCGTTCGCTCGAGGTTATAGGCAGTTATGCGTCTTACAAACGTCGATCGAGGTAGATCGAGCCGCGTTTGGCAGATACGACGAATGGACGGTGCTACGATTGACGCGTTGACAGTTCACGGCCGAAGATGCGCGCTACTCGGCGCTCTTTAAAGTCGACGTCTTGTTAGTGAGAGCGGGATCCGTTCAACTCTGGCTGTGAAAAAATTGTGCAACGTAACTGTATCGAGTCCAAAGAGTTGAGTAGTGCAATTATTATCGTGGTTCTCCTATTCTTTATTGTCTTCGATTGGTCAAAGAATTTGAAAAAGATATCCAAATTATGTTTCATATTATTTCTAATTTTTTGAAGTTTAGGAAGTTAACATGTCAATCATCAATCTAAATTTACAAAATCGGAATATATTATTATTGAATATATATATATATATATATATATATTTTTTAATACATAAATTGGAGTTGAGCCAACAGTGATGATATGCTTCTTTAGCTGGCTAAATTGTATTTCTATATTTGTTCATGTTATTTCCCTAGGTATATAGATATACATATATAAAAATACTGGTCAAGATGGATCAAGAAACGGTTTACGGCACGCACGAGGATAGTCATGTTGTCATGTCAGAGAAAGTGCAATCTTTGGCAGGCAGCATCTATCAAGAGTTTGAGAAGATGATAGCGAGATATGATGAAGATGTAGTGAAAGACTTGATGCCTCTGCTAGTCAATGTATTAGAATGTCTGGATATATCCTATACTGAGAATCAAGAGCGGGAAGTAGAATTAGAGTTATTGAGGGAAGACAACGAGCAGCTTGTCACACAGTATGAAAGGGAAAAACAATTGAGAAAGGCGTCAGATCAGGTAATCTTTTTTTTCTTACATAAATAAATCTTTAAAATCTATAAATTTATACTGTTTGTTTATCTCAGAAACTTCTTGAACTGGAAGATATATCTGAGGACGAGAGAAAGGAGCTTTTGTCAAAGATTGATAGCTTGGAATCTATTGTAAGAATGCTGGAACTGAAGACTAAAAACTCCCACGATCACGGTACAAATGCTATTGGCATTTCCAGTCTACCCATTCACAGTTCTTCCCTCTACAGTAGAGTAGAAGATTTGGTTCTTTTTTTCTTGTTTTATGTTATGTATATTTTATATATGTGTGTATTCTTGTGTATAGACTCTGTAGTGGAAGTTATGCGGAAAATATGGAATATAAATTTATTTCCTTTTTATTCTTTTCTCTTTATTTGCATTATTTTTTCATTACTATTCGGACATTATTTTATGTATGATTATTTATGATGCTTATTATATTCACTACTTGATGATAAACAATACATTTCTTTTGAATATCCATAATGCTTGCTCTCTGTCCAAAATAAGTGATATTATCGTTAAGTTAAAGATTCTGTTGCTTATTGAATTTGTTGAATTTTTCTGTTGCTTATGTCAGTTGTTTATTATATATTTTGAAAACAGAATATATTCTGTATTTGTTTAAAAAGTCGCCTCACATAGATTATACTTTGCATATTTATTACATATTTATTTCCTTCTCAGTTGGCCGGCTTGAAGAGAAAGAAGCTGAACTAAAACGAGAATATTCCCGGCTACATGATAGATATACGGAATTATTCAAGACCCATGTCGATTACATGGAGAGAACGAAAATGCTGGTTGGTAGTACAGAAAGATTGGAAAGTGTATCTACAAGTCGCGCGCCGTCGCGATTACCTTCTCTTGGTCTCGCCCATATGTCGCGCAGTTCCGGACCGCTTAGCTACGGTTTTCAAAGTCTAGAGGCTAGCATGAATTCGGAAGATGTTCACGAGGATATTGTACCCAACGCCGCTAATTTAAGAACTGAAATGTTGGACAGTAGTAGCGAAGCCGCTATCGAAACATCTGATAAGAGCCAGCTAACCGATCAACCGGTGCAGGAGAATAAGACTACGGCTATATCTAGACGTATGTTGTGTATGTTTGATAAAATATTTTTTATTTATTTATTTATTTATTTTTTTAATTTCTTCTCCGTTTTGTAACGCAAAGTTTTAAGAGTGTATGTTTGTTAACACAGATGAAAGTCCGGAAACGGAAGTACCGCCAACTTTGATGACACCAACGACACCGACTGCTGGAATGGAGAAATTGGCGACTACGCCAGGAGGTAGAAGCAGAACCGAAAGAGAACAACGAAGCGGCAATACATTGTATCAGGAATTGAGTTTCCAAGACGCTGATGCTCTGGGCGAGATGGACGAGGGCGCAGACATTACCGGTATTATATTCTCGCACGTTACAAGGCGATATTCGCATCTTGTTTCTTGACAAAACTAAACCGATACACTCATTTCATTTTAGGAAGCTTGGTACATCCTGGTGAATATGCTTCATCAGGTATGAATATTCATTATATAAACATTCTGAAAACTCATATATTCATCCACCTTTTAAGTTAATTTCTAACAATTTCCTCTCTTTGTGTTTCATCTGTCTTTGCGCCCTATGCTGGTTCGTGTGACATTTGCAATGCGCGCAATCGCATGACACTAATTTATCATGCAGTCAATGACAACTTCTTTGGTAAGATATATGCTAATAATAGCTTTACTTACTATATAATATATTAATACCATATAATACATTACATATATACCATATAATATTACATTTGTACCATACAATTTATTTATTTCAATTATTAATATTACATATGTGAATGAGACAATTCCTAAATATTCATATGATAATCAATTATTGATAAAAATTTATAAATACAGTTATGTATGATATGAATGCATACTGTTTATTGCAAAACATTTCTTTTACTTCTTCATGGGTAATATTGTATACAATTATATAAAACAAGTTTTTTAAATTGCACAAAATATTTCATTAAGCCTGTTTCTGAACTTTTATTTATCAATTCTCTGTTTTTACAGGTATGGGAAAAGAAGTGGAGAATCTCATTATGGAAAACAATGAACTGTTAGCAACAAAGTAAGTTCTTTATTACTAACGTCGTAATGTAATCTTTATATGTTTAACATTAAATATCTTTTTACAGAAACGCGCTTAATGTCGTCAAGGATGACCTAATTGTTAAAGTGGATGAATTGACAAGGTAAGTTAAATATATTTTATTACAACATTGATATAATTTTTAGATATAAAAAATTTTAATATTTCTCAGTGAGCAAGAGATATTGCGAGAAGAGGTTCGAGGTTTACAACAGGCGCGGGAACGATTACGACAACGAATCGCCGCCCTCGAAGAAGAACTGAAGAAAGCCAAAGAAGAAGCAGAGGCGGCGGCAAAAGCGACGAAAAGCGATGATGAGGAGGATGTACCTCTATCTCAGAGAAAGCGATTCACGCGAGTGGAGATGGCGAGAGTGCTCATGGAACGAAATCAGTACAAGGAACGATTCATCGAACTTCAAGATGCTGTCAGGTGGACGGAGATGATAAGAGCCAGCAAAACCGTCCCTTCCAGTATCTCGGGTGGCAAGGGAGGTTCGGTATGGAAGTTGTACGTATATCTATATCGTATTTGTTGAACTAAAAAAAAGAAAATAAAACGATTAATTCGTGTATCATTTTCTTTCCAGTTTTAGTAATCTCTTCACAGGCCCGGCCGATCGAGGAACATTGGTGCGTTCCGCGCATACGCTACCGCACGTGCGGTACAGCGCGCCGGCGAATCAGGTTGTTCCAGCGCCGCCCTTGGATGCCATGCGTAGACGTACGTTGAAAAGTCGTCAAGATTTTCTCGACCAAGGAGACACCATGTGAGAAATCAATCAAATTTTACTACATGCACGTAGATAGATATATTATACATCGACGTGATGCATCGAGATTTGCCTGATTTTCATCCATTAGTTCGATCATATAGGTTCTCATTTTCTTTCTCACACATTTTACATCCTCTTTTTATTCGATTATTTTTTATTTATTTAATGATTTTATTTTTTCCCCCCAAAAAAAATTTCTCGCATACAAATTTTGTGAAAAATTTACGCGCAAATTAATGCGTAATTTTTTATCATCAAAATCGATCTTTTTATCATCCGATATTTTTTTTATCATCAAAATTGTAATGACGAGTGTAGGAAAAAATAATATTATTTTAAAATTCACACGGGGTAGTATGTATAAAATGAAAAGAACTTGGTATGTATAATTTTCTGAATTGCTCATCTTTGCAGATTAGAATCCTCTTTGGTCAGTTGGGATCCGTAATCATGTCACGATTCACGGTATTAGTCTCAATTGCACTAAAGAGACGTGAGTCTTTTCTGAATAATTATCCAGTAATTGACGGGATTTGTGCGTGCATTGCAGTACATGTATTAACCAATGTTTGCTTTATTTTGCGTCAATTTGGCTCTTTTTAACAAGAATCTAAATTTTTATCAAATTTTAATTATATCTTCGAAACTGAAATAGTGTATATCGTGTTTTATAAGATGTTAAGATTCCTTTTCTTTTCTTCTTTTTTAGTTAATATATATTTATTTTTACATTTAAACTTCTTATCAAGTCTTTTAAAATTTTAACATGATTTGTATATTATATCATGATGTACATTGTTCATAAGAGTGCAAGAATTTTGCACTAAATAGGCCATTAGATAGATCATCAACTTTTCTCACAGTAATGTTTGAACAAAGAAAAGACATAACTTTGTAAATACAAGTTTGTACAATTTTTGGAAAAATAATAATATGCGATCATTATTGATCGACAGAAATAAATGAAGTTTTGATTACGTTATAAACTTGGCCTTTATTTCACTCTTGTTACTGCGCTTTTGGTCTTTTTGTTGTTCGGGTTTCGTCCTTGCCTCTCCCTCGTGGCGTTGTCAAGAGATACCTGGTTTTTCTGGCTTCGGGTGGGGTGCTTATTGGTCAGCAGGTAAATCTGTTCTGCTAACTACTTCTAACTACTTCCGCTTCAACATCAGATTCTAAAAAGTATATACGATAGATATATCCATAGATATATGCCTATAACAATACGTATTCTATGCGTTAATGAATTCTATGAGAATGCGATTTGTACTATCGGCTGTGAAGATGGAACCAAACGATTGGAGGAAATATGTATGGTGAACTGGATGGTCGGAGATGATTATATAATCAACATAATCGCACAGTTTATTAAGAACATGGAAAAGTTTCGACAATTTTCTCCCTTTTTTTTCTCCCTTCGAAACTTGGAAGCGTGCAAATAATTAAGGGTACGATTCGTGTCATCTTTACAGATCGTCCGAAAAGCTCGTAGCGAGACGCGCGAGCGAACGAAGAGAGCAGTATCGTCAGGTGCGAGCACACGTCAAGAAGGAGGACGGTCGTTTGCAAGCTTATGGATGGAGCTTACCGGGAAAGCCAAGCGCTCCTGTTAGACAACCTCCTGTTCCAGTCCCCGTGTATTGTCGACCTTTGCAAGAAACTGAGCCAGGCATGAAAGTACGTATTATTCATTCCCCTCTTTTTGGGTTCAAATTATATAAAATTATTAAATATAAAATTACTGAATTCTTTGCAGCTGCAACTTTTATGCTCTACTTATCTTTTCCCTTTTTTCTACAATATTTAAATATTTTCACCTCGAGTACAGAAAAAAATAATCACAGAGACTTTTTTATTGTTTTTTTTTTCTCTTAATTTAAATTATTTATCAAAATGTGAATTAAGATATAAATTTAAAAATCTACTCTATGCTTTATTTAATTTTTTATACAATTTTTTAAAACAATATAGAAAACAACTAAATATTTAATACTATTAATAATGGCAAATATTTCAATTTTAGATTTGGTGTGGTGCTGGTGTAAATCTAAGCGGCGGTAAGACGCGCGACGGCGGATGCATGATCGGCGGAAGTGTATTCTACGCCGCCGAAGCTCAGGAAACGACGAGCGGTAATGCGAAGACGGAGGCCGAGGATGCCGTCGAACATCTGGACAAAGAGCTTCAGGAGAGCGAAAATCGGCGGCTCGAGGCGGAACGATGGGAGCAACAGTTGAGCTCACTCGTCTGGATCTGCACCTCGACCCAAAAAATGTCCAAGGTTACCGTGATAGATGCGAACAATCCGGCGGACATTCTCGAAGTGTTCAATGTTTGTCAGGGACACTTGCTTTGCATCGCGAGCGTGCCCGGTGCTAAGGAGAGTGATTATGCGCAATCCTCGAACGAGAATTCTGTTCGCAATTCGGTGAACGGTAGCACGACGAACGATAACGAGAACAACAACGGCGCTTACGAGGACGTTACGAACGCGAACGAGAATGCCGAACAAAGTAACGATCGAAAGAATCATCAAGATATCGATGCTGCGGTTGATAAAAATAAAAACGAATCTGACAATCAGTCGGAGGATCAGGCGAACGAGAACACCGAAAAAACTGCCGAAACAGATCAGAATTCTACGACGAATGAGCCTCAGAGTTTGGAGAGTATAGATAGCGAGACTGCGAATCTTGGAAAGGTACATTTTGTACGCAACGTGGAAGCGCATCCTTCGCGATTGAACGATAAAGACATCGTGAACGAAGAAACAAAGGAGGAAGTTGTTGAGGAGGAGACACCCATCGAGAAAATGTCGTCTATACAACCGACCATGTGGCTCGGAGCTCAGAATGGCGCAGTTTTTGTTCATTCGGCCGTTGCCAAGTGGTCGGTTTGCTTACATTCTGTGAAGCTGAAGGATGCGGCGTTAGCTATCGTGTATGTAGTTTTTTAAATAGTGATCGATCAGATACGCATAAAAATTCGAGCGATAAAATCCCTTAACTTAATCAATTTATCTCGATTTATAATTTTAATTTTAAGAGATGTAATTGATAAACATTTACTTATCTATTTGACTTTTATCGATAAAAGATTGATGAAAACTTCTTTCCTCATTAGACACGTGCAAGGCCGAGTTCTAGTCGCTTTAGCAGATGGAACTGTAACGATATTTCGTAGAGGCGCGGATGGACAATGGGATCTGTCTCAGTACCATGTGATTACGCTTGGTAGCCCTCAACATTCTATCAGATGCATGACCGCAGTTAGCGGTAAAACCGTGTGGTGCGGATATAGAAACAAAATTCATGTGATCGATCCCATTTCGATGACGCTTGAGGTATGAAAATTTTAATATTATCAACACGCGTTATCAATATGTAACGATTAAAAAGAAAAAGTTTTAATAAACTAATAAAATTTTTATTTTCCAGTGCACAGTGGATGCACATCCTCGCAGAGAGTCTCAGGTGCGACAATTGGCGTGGTTAGGTGATGGCGTGTGGATCAGCATCAGGCTCGATTCAACGTTAAGACTCTATCACGCTCATACCTATCAACATCTCCAAGATGTCGACATAGAACCGTACGTCAGCAAAATGCTCGGTACGGGAAAGCTGGGATTTTCCTTCGTACGCATTACTGCTTTGCTTATTTCCTCGAATAGATTATGGATCGGCACCGGCAACGGAGTGATAATTTCGGTCCCGCTGTCAGAAAGTAAATATAAAACAGTCTGAATAAAACGTATTGATGACACTTGCTAACTCCCATAACATTATTGTAGGCGCGGGTGGTTCAATGGCGGTGTCTAGAATCCAGACCAGTGGTAATAAAGGCGACGCACCCGGCGTCGGAGTCAGGATCTTCGCGTCGGAACGAGGTGTCACACCGGGAAGCTTCATTCCTTATTGCAGTATGGCCCATGCTCAGCTCAGTTTCCACGGACACAGAGATGCCGTCAAAATGTTCGTCGCTGTACCCGGTAAGATTTGAATAATCAGAATATCGATTTTTTTTATACGAGATTTATCTTTAAAAAAATAATTTCAAATTAAATCTTTTTTGTAGGTCACGGTGGTCAGAGTGCAGTGACGGACGGGACGCAACCTGCGATGCTTGTTCTTTCCGGTGGTGAGGGTTATATCGATTTCAGGGTCGGTGAGTAAATTTTTACCTGATGATTTTGCGAATATATTTCGTCTTAATTGCAAATCAATAAAATTGAACCGCAACATAAAGAATAAAATAAATTTTTATTTCTTATCGTGCAAAAATCAGTAAAGAAAAATCTCGAATTATAACTCAAATTTTGGATAACAGATTATTGTAATTTCAGCGGATGAGGCTGAAGACGAGAGTGATGTGGCAACACACTTAATTGTGTGGCAAATGGTCAGGTATGCCCCCAGAGAGAGAAGCAAGCAAAGTTTGATCGACTTCTGTATCTGAATTTGAATTAGCAATTCTTTGTATATTCTGACAAATATCATATCATTAATCGCGATGCATCCTTTACTAACAGAACGATATTCACTGTTGCACGTTACAACAAAATTTGACTAACAGCATTTCTATAATTTTTTATGTATACATAAATTATGGAATATACATTGAATTTATATACAAATTGCGCTTGTATATTTATCGCACTTGTGCAAACATTAAAAATGTTAAAAATGTTAAGATCAAATTTAGAAAAAGAATTCTGTCGGTATAATCTGGAATTTCTCATATAATTCCGATGCAAAATCTCCAATCTCTCGCTTGTCTTATTAAAAAGAAAAATAACACTGACTTTTTATGCAATTGTATATCATGCATTACTTCTTTTATTCTCTGGGGGTTGGGCTTTTCCATCTGTCATGTACAAATGTCACCACTTATACCTATCCTCTCCTTCATTCGTGCACTTATTTGCTTTATTAGAAATATTCACATCTTACAATCACTTTTACAGGTGATGGAGAAGAGACGGAGGAGAGCATGGACCGGTCGAACGCTACGGTCAACAATGGCACGGAGGAACATGGTGAACAGAGTCATCTAATTGTGTGGCAAGTGCAGTGTCCTTTACCGATACCAATGAACGGCTAGCCTAGAGAAGAAATGGATTCGCTGGATAATCTAACTTTCTGTAGCACAACATTACATCGTCAATGGATCATCAATGGATCATAAATTGTGAACCATTGATTCGCTGCAAACTAATATGCTACATTTACATCTAGATATACATATATATATATATAAAGATTGTAGCAGAATATGTTAATAATTTCCAAGATAATTATCACAATTTTTCGTACTAGCAGAGCGGAGATGATGTCAAATCGATTTTTTTTCTCAAATTAAAAATCAGTTAACTTCTCAAGATTCTTCCATAGCAGAGGCAAACTCGCTATGTGACAATTCTTGCATGCGTGTGCAGATTAGAAAAAATCTATAAAACCTATTGATATAATCTGGAATCTTTCACATAATTTCGATACAAAATCTCCGATGTCTCGCTTATTTCGTAATTAAATCGTATCTTTATAAACTTGAAGCTTGTATACGTATAAATCGAGCGACTTAGGATCGAATTATTTAATCAAACGATACTTGTCGAAAGGTTTTTCTCTCGCGAGTGTCTACTTCAAAAATATCATGTTCTATGCAATAGTAACAGGAAAAACGTTATCTTTCTGCCGATAATTGTGATAATATCCGAAGGCGATATAGGTCGCGAAATGAGTTTTGAAGCTGCCGTGTGACATTTGCTACATTGCTGCAATAAATCTGTTCAAAGTCATCACTTTGCGCATGTTGAAGAATATTTCACCGTTTATAAACGATGAGAAATAGATGCGTGCAATCTCAGGCAGTCTTTTAGGCATATATATATATATATAGAACATAATATTAATTTCCCGTCGGAGAGAGTATATTATTTTCCTGACCTAATCAATTTTATTATCACGTACATCGTGTTTAGCATAACTTAACGATAATAATATATATATAATTATATAATAATTAAAATATATATATATAATATATATTCCCCTCTCTCTTCTTGATCAAGCATTGTTAAATCGTGCCCGGCGAAACCTAGAATCTTTGCAATTTACACGATTCATTTAGTAGGAATGCATCAATGATGTAAATAATAACAAAATGTTTATATAGCGTCCTATGTGTGTGTGCGTGTGTGTGTGCGCGCGCGTGTAGATTCATTATTTAATTTCGAGCGGAATCATTTTATAAATATGTAAGACCTGTTCTCTCTCTATATTCTTGCAACTTTATAACTCCAACTCTTTAGTATGCTGCCAAAGAAGTGGAACGACGATCCAATTATATGTCGTTTACATTATTTACAACGAGGATTATGCTTCGAATGCGTATGCTCTTGTTTTTTTGCTCTCGGCCGAGTCATCAAGTGACACACAACCGGATTGATACAATTTTGTAAATCACGTCACGTTAAAGCGACATTTCCCAATCTGACTATTTAGATACGTGCAATAACAGAGCTACGCACTGTCGCGCGAGCTGGCTTTTAATGTCGAGCTCGGAATTGTACCTGGCTCAGGTGGCGTTATGTAACGGCATTAATAAACGAAAAGTTACGGAAGAATTAAATTTTATCGCGATTTAGTTACCCGATTTAGATCCTTCCATTGAATTGTGAAAACGTGCGAAAGATTGCTCGGCGTGAATTTCTTACAGATTTTCTAAAATGTATATATATAAAGAGTGATATTGTCGATACGCTACACACACACACAAAGAGAGAATTCTACAAAATCATCAAATCGTTTTTTTCAGTAGATTCTCTAGCCAATTTAAAGTCGATTTCTTTAGTGAAGAGAAAGTCATCTTTTATAAATTTATTTTTACTATCATATATCTTTTTAAATTTTAAATTAAAATTCTATTAAAGTAAAAAAGTATGAGGAATTAAATAGAGAAAATGATATTGCGTTCAAATATACTCGAAGAATGATTTTCGAATTACTAAATAATATATTTATATTAAAAAGGCTGTAGTAATAAGCTGTAGTAATATGTATGAAAGTTGCGACTATGTGACAGCTCTCCTTTTTCACTTTGCATTGATATTCGCACGAATTAGTTGATATTTTTTAATTAATTATTCATTAATTATTGCGAAGATGGCAAAGTGATAGAGGATTCAATTTACCCGCTCTACCTACACGACAGGTGATTACCGGATATCTTGCATCTTTTAACGATATACGGTGCCTATCAAAAGTTCCGGGACGGTCGAATATTTCATAAACTATGCACTTTAGAAAGAAATGTTTCAGACAAAAGTTGTATAGTTTGAAGAGGGCCATAAGATGGTGTCATTGGTTTGACCTTGGAGAGTCATTTGAAGGTCACGTGAAAATCACCATCAATTTCTTAAACGGAACCCCCTATTTTTTATTACATATTCGTGTAGCTTGCCTCAAGAGCTTTCCAAAACACTATAATAAAGTATTTCTTCATTGAATACTTTTCGAGTTATGAGGCTTAAAATAATTTCTTAATTTTACATAAACCATAAAATATCTAGTAAAATATTCATTTTTCGATTATCTTACCTTGATATTTTTATGTACACAATAATGAGAGGAATCAATTGATGTAAAGAAAACGCATAGTTGTTTAAAAAAAAAATGTAATTGTTAATTGCAAATTACATATTTTTTCTTAAACAACTATGTTTTTTCTTTACACCAATTGATTCCTCTCATTATTTTGTACATAAAAGTATTGAGGTGGGGTAATCGAAAAATGAATATTTTACAAGATATTTTACGGTTTATGTAAAATTAAGAAATTATTTCAAGCCTCATAACTCGAAAAGTATTCAATAAAGAAATACTTTATTGTAGTGTTTTGAAAAGCTCTTGAGACAAGCTACACGAATATGTAATAAAAAATAGAGAATTCCGTTTAAGAAATTGACGGTGACCTTCACGTGAACTTTAAATGACTCTCCAAGATCAAACCAATGATACCATCTTATGGCCCCCTTCAAGCCATACAACTTTTGTCTGAAACATTTCTTTTTAAAGTGTATAGTTTATGAAATATTCGACCGTCCCGGAACTTTTGGTAGGCACTATATTACCATATTGTCGCTCTATATTTTACTGTTTCCTTGATGTGAAGTTATATTTTTATTAAACAAAATATAACCTAAGACTCTTAAGTTGTTTCTTAAGTTTACTTTTACATGGTTTAGTTATCTGTAATGACATCGTTGGCGAACGAAGTGATATATAATATAATTTAATCAACATCTGCATATATAAAATTTCTGAAGCATATCATACAATCAATAACAATAATTATTATTTTTATTATTTGTTTTTTTAGGAGACGATTCTCTATCTAAAGAGCCATCTCTACTTTTCGCTAATTTTGGACAAGAGGTATTTCCGATTCACGCATGATGTGCATGAAGTGACAGAAAAATATATAGTTCATGTCACGCATATTATACATTTTCCATCACTTCATGCGCATCATGCGTGAATCGGAAAGTATACACAAGGAACGATCGAAGATCTCTTCTCAAGAATCGAAGGATGCCAAGGGTATGTTCGGACTTGGTCCGTTTCCTTCGAACATTATCGCCGCCTCTCCCGCTTCCACGCGACGTCGATTCCCACCCATCTGTTCTCCTCCGTCATTCGTATGGACGCGATAAAAGCTCGTCGTCCTCGTCGCCGTCGACCAGTTACGCCTCCCTACGTCGCTGCGAGACCTCGAGAAACCGCTTCGTCGCGCTTCGCTCGATTATCTACAGGAACTACAGTTGCGAGAGATCGATCGACAAGATGTCTCACCCGGCTAGAGATCCGGCATCGGAACAGCTGAACGAATACAAGAAAACTCTCAAGGTGAGAGATTGTTACATGCGTGCTACGCAATTACAGCGGTGCTCAAACGGTCGCACGCATGTTATGATGGATTTCATATTTTCGAAAGGAATATATATGAAAATCTATAAAAAAGTTGGAGTCTGTATCTCAGATTTCTCGTGTGTACTTTGATTCTTTTGAATTTTTATTTTTACGTGTGCGAGATACATTAGTTTGATAATTACCGAGAATGACTCGACTACTTTTTAACTGATCGCATTGTGTGTTACTCATTTTATTACATGTATTTAGAAACACATGTATGTATACCTTTAATAGAAAACTAGTTATGCGAGTCAGAAAAAAAGTTTCAAGTTTAAAGTCTGAACTTTTCTGTCACATATTACTTTTTAGTTTTTATTTCTTTCACACAAAAAATAAGAACAAACCGATTGCGACCTTTTTGCTCTGCTGTAATCAAGCAATAATTCGATAATTGCTTATCTGAGCAATTTAGAGACTTCTCGAAAGAGATACGTACATATCGTTTGCCCATTTTACTATAAACAATATATTTTCGCATCACGATTACGTAATAATTACTGACTGACATGTAAAGATGCATTAAGAAATTAAGGATCATGGATAAGTGATCCGTTAGATGGAATTGTAAATATGAAGTCGAGCGTGTGTAAATAATCTTGTTAGGCTATTCATCGAAATATTGCATCACCGTGATGTGCTAATACACGAATATAAAGGATATTGGCAAATTTCTCCCAATGAGTAACAAAAGTCCACATCTAACATAAATACAAATATATTATTTATAATTATTATTTATAAAATAAAACAAATATGTAGATATATGAAATAAATAAATTAATGAAGTTATATATATATATATATATATATATATATATATATATATATATAATGAAAACGTATGTATGATATATTTTAAATATATAAAATGAACAGGAAAAATAAAAATAATTGAAAAATAATTGGAAAAATAATTTATATAAATATATCATATATTCATATTTGATTATGGATTTTTTTTCGAGATATAAACACTTGTATTGATGAATATAAAATTCGATCCATACAATTATTTCAAGATTAGAATTATTACATCAGAAATATATTTATCCTCATATTTATATGTACTTACTTCGTTGAAGCTTAGTTTAAATATTCAATAAGGAAAAAACGAGGATTATATTTATTATTGCACAGTGAATGTTATCAATATAAATTATTTCATACAATTCTTTGTAAGGTATTGATTTATATTGATATATTGATATACGAACATAATTTCTAATCTTTCCGATTATCCGGCCTCTCAATCGCACATCGTAAAAAACTTTATCCGCATTAAACATAACAGAGATTTGTAATTAGGAATTCTAATATTAGTTTCTACGTCATATTTAGTAATATGCGGAATTCAAAAAAGATAAAAAACAATATATATAAGATATGATTAGAAAGAATAGAAATATATTCATATATTTAAGTAAAAAATTAAAAAAATTAAAAAAATTAAAAAATTAAGCATTCATATATTTAAATAAAAAATTTAAATAATATGCATATGAATACGATATGTTATTTTATTCCTATGTTTCGTTATATAACAAAAATAAAAGTTAAACTAAAACCAATATTATTTTATATAAAATCTATCAATAATTAAAACTGTAATTTTTAATTCAAGCATTTTTGTAGCACTTAATAGTCATATTTTTTTACAACATTTCTTTATTACAATTATTTAAATTTTATGTGTTTGCTACATGAGATCTTAATTTTTAACTGGTGTATTATTTTGTATAAATATTTGAAATTAGTTTTATTTATACAATTGTAGACGACATATTTATTTGTTTTTTCCTTCTTTAATTAATTTAATGTTGATAAATTCTTATTTTTTACACCGTTCTTGCGAAATATAGTTGACAATCGAAAAGATAAGTTCGAAAATTTAAGAAAGAACCAAGAATTACAGAATTATACAATACAATATATTATGATTTAGTTAAATTTTTTTAATACATCAAGATTTGCAATATCTCCACTTAATTATCCTCAAAATATTTAAATTAGAAAAATCACAGATGTTTCGTCTATGACGTTTGCGAAAATGAAAAAACGAATATCGTATTCATGTATTTTTTATTTATATTGAAGTGATTTGTTTTGCACAGTAAATTGCGTGTTTAATAGATATGGTTGAAAATAACTAAACCGATTGCGACATAGCGGCATGATAAAACGTAGATGTAGATGAATTAAATGTTTCGATGTAAAGCGGAATTTTTATAATCGTATCTATCAGATCAAACAAATAATATGTTCGATTAAATTGCTTATCTCGCGATATATGATGTATCGATAGAATGATACTACATTCAAAATATTCAGGTAAAATTTATTTGCATTATTTTAAAAAACTATGTATATTTTACGCATGATACATATAATTTACATTCTGAAGGAGTAGTACCGGGTGCACTAGGACGATAATGACAATTTGAAGATAATATTCGCTGTGTCATGTTGAAGCAAAAGTATTGCGTTATTTGCGTGCTATAAAATCGCGCAATTCAATGCGGCGAGAGGTGTGCATCGCAAAAAAAGTAGCAATGTAACATGCAAATTAACAGTGACGTTGCGCTAATCAATGCGTATAGAAGTAAGAATCATATCGCGCGCAATATAATCTTATTCTAGCGCGACTTCCTGAGCGTTGAACGATAAAAGAAAGAAATTCTTTTGAACTTCAATGAACGATAAATATAAATTTAGAATTTTTAAAAAATATACAAAATATTACATACACCAATGTTACACATACTCTTTTATAATATATTATATTAATTTATATTTTATAATATTTTATAAGATCTTATATATTTTTAATGTTTTTAATAGTTACTTTTATTTATCTCAAAGACAAAGTTTCTATGAAAAATATAATAGTATTAATATTGTTAATACTATTAGCATTTTCATGATTTATTGTATGTTATATTTTTATTTATATATTATAATAAGTATTATAAGAATATTTTTCTGAAAAATAATACGAATTGTAATAATTTTAATTATAATGGTATTCAAAGTAATTATACTTTATAACAATCATATTTTTCAACATTTCAATTTTTCAATAATTTATTTTACATTTCAATTTTTCAATAATTTATTTTATGCCATTATATAAGAATTTTAATAACTACATGAAAAAAATAATGATATTTAGTTATTAAAAATATATCAAGGAAAGAATGGAAATTCAGAATGGAAATTTCAGAAAAACAAAGTTGTAACATTGAAAACATTGTAGTTGAAAATTTACATATTACAACATTTGTTTATAAGACGTGCAACCTGTGAAAGTTAATTCTCGCGATTAATATCAATATATTTTTGATATGAAATCAATTATTTGGCAATTTTGACCAATAGATTTTGCAATAACTATTTGCTCGAGAGAAAGTAGTGTTTTCTAATTTAAAAAAAAAAAAACGCCGATAAGTTTGCGAGCAAAGTGTAACAATGTGATTATGACACAACCGGACGATAATTGCTATAACAAGACGTCGAAGTGGGTTCTTAGATGATAGATAGGCGAATCTTTCTGTAAATCTTTCTGTCTATGCGATTGAAGAATGAGATTATTTTTATCGTATTATGATCTTATCGCGATTTTTATATAATTCATATAAAAGCGCACTCGCTCTGGATTTCTTGATTAACGAAATGAATACTGACAAGCAATGTCATGTCTTTCGAGGTTTCTCCCTTGCATTTTGGAAAAAGAAGAAAAAATTTAATCACGAGAAGATTTCTGATGATTGTGTAACAGAATTTTAGATTGTTGATATAACGATTAAGTTGTCAGATAATTATCTATATATATTTATAATAATTAAACTTTAACAAGTATCTCTCAGATCAATCTTTCAGATTTTAAAACATATCTAATTAATAAAATGAATTATAAAAAATAAAATATAAAATGTGATATAATTAAAAGATTCTTTTCTTATAAATCTTTTAATTTAGATGATTTTTTAGAAGATTATATAAACCTCGTGGTTTTTTTTTTAATTTTTTAACATGAGAATTGTTTTATACAATTTATATTTATATAAATAAATTTATTTCACGCCTCAGAAGAATTAGTCTGATTTTTGATTTCTTCTATCTGTTTCCCAGGGTGAGCCATTTGTATTATTAACTGCAAATGGAGTACCTATTGCCGAGAAAAAAGCCAGCCTCACGGTTGGTCCTCGTGGACCAATGTTGCTGCAAGACTATGTTTACCTGGACGAAATGTCGCATTTTGACAGAGAAAGGATCCCGGAACGAGTTGTGCATGCGAAGGGAGCCGGTATGTTTGCTTTATTTCTCATAGTGTGCACATAACTTCAAAATATTATATCTATTATTTTTTGTACAATTATCTTTATGTAATCTATTATTTTCAGCTTATTAACAACTTTAAGTTATATTTATATTTTATCAAATAACTTTACATTTTTTTCTTTTTTTCAGGTGCATTTGGTTACTTTGAAGTCACCCACGATATCACCAAGTACTCCAAAGCTAAGGTATTTTCCAGCATCGGAAAGAAGACTCCCATTGCTGTGAGATTCTCCACCGTTGGTGGCGAAAGCGGTTCTGCCGATACTGTCAGGTAATAAGTAAAAAAAAATGCTATAATATAGTGTAAATTATTCTGAGACGCAGAAATTTTAATAAATATTCAAAGAAGATAATTGCGCCTTTTCATATGTCTTTTTTGTATTCACAATGTGCTTTGCAAAAATATATATAAAATATGTTAATTAATATATTATGTTTTAATATCATTAAATATGCATAAAGTTAATTGAAAAAATAGTACAATATTTATATTAATATTATATATAAAATGCAAGATGATACTAAGAAATAGTTAGATTCTAGAAATAGTTAGATACTAGAAATAGTTATTTTAACGAGTATGTTTTTGAAATATGATGCAACTTCCACATAAATGTTTATAATACTTTTATCATTAGTAGAAAGCGAGTGAATCGCTCCTGCGGTTAACTATGTGCGTCCGCAAAGCAAATTGTACTTTAGTGACTTTTCATGGTACAGTGATTTTTCATCATTTAGCGTGATGCAATACAGAAAATATAATTTGTAAGAATTGCGCATTATTCTTCGGAAATGCTCGCTTTGCTGATGCAACTAAATTGGAGCAGCAAAGCATGAAATAATAATAATAATGAAATGAATTCGAAAGGATTCTTATTTTCATATTCTATATTTATATCTATATTTTTCTAATTTATTAATATTCCGTTTTGCTTCTCAGAGATCCGCGTGGATTTGCCTTAAAGTTCTATACTGAGGAAGGCATCTGGGATCTCGTCGGCAACAATACGCCGATCTTCTTTATCAAGGATCCTCTGTTTTTCCCAAGTTTCATACATACGCAAAAGAGAAATCCCGCGACCCACTTGAAGGTTCGTTTGAATGTGATTACAGACAGCTAACTAATTCAATAGTCAAATGTATAAAATGTATTTTTTACCTTAATGCATGCGAAAATTAAATGATATTTTGTGAAATAGAAACCACAATTAATAAAATCTTTTCTTTTTAGGATGCTGACATGTTTTGGGACTTTATTTCCCTCAGACCTGAGACGACGCATCAAGTTATGTTCCTCTTCAGTGATCGCGGCATTCCTGACGGACATCGTCATATGAACGGCTACGGTTCTCATACATTCAAGTTGATTAACAGCAAGAATGAAATGGTCTACTGTAAATTCCATTACAAGGTTCTTATTTCAATTTAATCAGAAAAAATAGTAGTATATAACATGATCTATCTACAACAGAATTATATGAGATATTGCAAATATTTGATCGGCAGACCAATCAAGGAATCAAGAATCTTCCAGTGGAGAAAGCTAACGAGCTCAGCGCTTCCGATCCTGATTATTCCATTAGAGATCTTTACAATGCTATCGCTAAAAAGCAATATCCGTCTTACACGTTCTACATCCAAGTAATGACTGTTGATCAAGCAAAGACTTTCAGGTGGAATCCATTTGACTTGACAAAAGTAATTAATACTTTTCGATCATATTGGTATACTATTTTATAAACAGTTCCGCTTTTTGAAAATTGTACGAATTTTTTTTATAGGTGTGGCCTCATAAGGAATATCCGTTAATACCAGTGGGCAAACTGGTATTTGATCGTAATCCCGAAAACTATTTCGCTGATGTGGAACAATTGGCCTTTGATCCGGCGCATATGGTACCTGGCATCGAGCCCAGTCCCGATAAAATGTTGCAAGGTCGACTTTTTGCTTATGCCGATACTCATAGGCATCGCTTGGGACCGAATCATCTTCAGCTGCCAGTGAATTGTCCTTATAAGGTAACACTCTATTTTGCGATGGTATAAACCACATGATTACTGGCATTTTTTTCTAGTTACGATAGCGCTTACATCATACTTATTTCGCAACTTGCGATAAATTTTATTCATATTTCTTAAAAAAATAAATTATTGTTTCAAATATATATTTAGCAAAAGTTATTCAATTAATATATTTATTAAAACATATATTTCCTGAAAATTTAAAAATATATTATTCCACAGGCGATCTCTACGATGCATTATCAACGAGACGGTAACATGCCGATATACAATCACGGAGGCGCGCCGAATTATTTTCCAAATAGCTTCTCCGGACCGAGAGAGTGTCCAGCCGTTCGTTCGCCGCCATTCCAGGCAAGCGGAGACATAGACCGTTACGATCCTCAGGACGAGGATGACTTCGGACAGGCTACCACCTTTTGGAAGAAAACCCTCGACGAACCCGCTAGACAGAGATTGGTAGAAAACTTGGTGGGAAGTCTACGCAACGCCTCAGCGTTTATCGTCGAGCGAGCCGTGCGAAACTTTGCTCGAGTGGATGTTGATCTTGGTCAGAGATTGACAGATGGCTTGCGCAAATGTGGGATGCAGATCAATGCTTTGGGAAAATCCGCCAATCTCTAAACTTTATATTTGTCTCTCTCTTAAATTTTGTATCATAATTTGTAACTTTCTACTTAAATACGTAATATTTTACGACATGTTATATTTTACATTAATTGTTTATCAAAGTTTGTGTTATTGAAAATATTTTTTTCCATGTATACAATGTTGTATACTGCTTTGAATTATCGACGTTTTTCATTCTAGAGTTACTTCTCCTTTTAACGCTAATACGCTAAGGGTGTAGGTGTGAACCTATCTGTGGTGCCTTTTACATGTAAAGTAAATGCATCATACCTGTTCGAGGATTTTTCTAAAAAGAAATAATGTATTTCTACTCTTTATCATTTTTTACTGTATCTTGCTATAGCTATCCAGACGTCATCTTGCTACCTGGATATTATTGATTGTAATACAATAATATAAATGAACATTTTATAAACCTAATAATTCTTTCGAAGGAAGAGTGCCTTTATAATGGGGATTTGTATGTAAATAAAATTTGAATACTTAAGATGCATTATATATCGTAGCATTTTTTCCACTGTTCTCGTGGCTCTTGTCTGCGAATAAAAGAAAAAATTTTACCTTCGCACGAATTCAAGGTAGACGACAAAATTAGTCACACTTCCAATTAGGGTAACTTGGGCAACAAAGCCATTTCGACTGCATTTAAACTGCATTCAAAACATATCCGCTTTTATCCGTCATTTTGAAGTCGAATCGAAAGTTTCGCGAGAGGCTTTCACCTTTTTACAATCGATAATTTAAGTAAGTACATAAAAAGAATAAGTTTATAATTTATTTTATTTTAAAATTGCCTGAAAAGAATGTAATTTTTAAAAAAATTTTCCATTTCTCTCTCTTCGATATTCATTTTGAACAGAGAAGATTAGAAGCTCGAAGGACAAATTCTCTGTACACTACGTGCGTTTAAATCACGGGTTTAAATGCGCGCTTCGCAGCGTGACACTTCCGGCAAAATTCTTCGTCCGAGATGCTGTAGGCGCACATACAGCTACAGCTGTTCGCTTCGAATTAGGACACACGAATCCCGTCACGGGATGTTGTCAACAAACACACGTTTGTAAATAAATCCGATGTGTTGACGGATTTGAAGCTCTCCGAGAAGACCCTTCTTCGTGTGTAATTACCAGTCGCGCACGATTAACCTGTGCGATTAAATTTTTTTTGCTAAAAGATACTCGGGAGTGAAAATGCAATCGCGTTGTCTTTGCAGATTCCCCTCGCAGCGCAAATCGTGGGTGTTCTTTTTATAGAGTAGGCTCTCTGACCTCCTTCTATTTCTCAAGAGTGCACTCGAAACAGCCTCCCTTCTGTACACAGATCATGTTACAGTCAATCTTTTAAGTAATATATATATATATATATATATATGTTGACAGCCACACAACATTATGCCAGACAGGTATATATTATTATGTATAAAAATTTTAAATCTTCCAAATATTTTTTGGCAATGATAAAATTCGTTGTAGAATACTGTAGAATTGTTATTTTGTGTGTCAACGATTGATTCATCCTTGTAATGTTATTGATATTTGTTAATCGCTGTTAAAAGTTATCAGATCTTGATGTATATAATTAAATGATGTTTTGTCAGGAACAAAGTTTTGGTCGGTGCTGGAGTAATATGGGGTGTAACCTTTTGCTGTCTTTTATTTAGTCGCAAGTTATTAAGACCCATGGCATTATTAAATTTCATCCCCACTATTTTATATCGGTCAGTTTATCAGTTGTCTGATAACAATGTAAAATATTTATAGATTTGTTTGCTATTTTACTAATTGGAAAATTATATTAATATCTAATATCGATGTTTTTTCTCTTTCTCTCATTGTTAGTAAAATGTTAACAATTGAAAACTATACACGCTATATTTTGAAGTAATTTTTATTAATAATATATGTTTCTAATAACTTTTTAAAAATTTGATTTGAGTTTTCTTTCATTGTTCCATTTGTCTTTAATTTTAAATAAAATTCTGTTTGTTGTTTTATAATTATTTAGCAATCAAAAAATGAAGAATGAAGATGAACAAAAACATAATGCAGATGATCCTGGTACATCAACGAATTGTGATAATAATGTACATACAAATGAGCAAAATGAAGTGCAAAATGAAGAGCAAAATAGGTATATAGTGTTAGAATTTACAGTAGAGATATAAAAATGACAACTTGTCATGAATTTTTGACTAATGTTAATTATATATGAAGATGATATTATACATATTTATGTATTTCTTGCATTTATAGACAACTAACACCAAATTTTATGATGGGAGGATTAACTGCAGCATCGCCACCGAAATTTGTGTCTTTTGATGAAATTATAAAAACTGCCAATGGGATGAAAAATATGGCCTTAGCGCATGAAATTGCGGTAGATAAGAATTTTCAATTGCAAAAATTGGAACCGGAAGATGGTAGCTTTCATAGGCGAGTAAAAGAAATAATGCATAAAGCTTTTTGGAACCTGTTAGCGCAAAAATTGGCCGAAGACCCGCCAGATTATTCGCACGCACTGGTTTTATTGAAAGAAATTAAAGAAGTAATTATATAATTTCCTTTTATTTTTGTAATAAACAAAGAAAGACGCGACAAATATCCATAATAATATGGATATTTATATATTTTTTATTTATTTTAGTCCTTGGACGAACTTGTACCGCCGCAAAATTCCAGAATTAAAGAAAATATCAGAGAAGTGCTCGATCTAGACTTGATCAAACAGCAAGCAGAAAAAGGCGTATTAGATTTTCATCATTACGCGGAATACATAATCTCTGTTATGAGTAAGATTTGCGCGCCTGTCAGAGATGAAAAGATCAAAGAGCTCTCGCAGCAAGTGGACATAATTGAAACGTTCAAAGGTGTCATGGAATTGTTGCAGCTTATGAGATTAGACTTGGCGAATTTTACCATCACAATGATGAGGCCAAACATCATCGCTTTGAGTGTCGAGTATGAAAAAGCAAAGTTTGCCGAATTTTTAAAGATTAATTCAAACGGTTTGCAATACACAGAAAAATGGTTACTGAAACATTTCGATCCAGAAAAGATCGCGAGTTCATCGAACAGCGATACTAGTAATATAAGACAAATCACTCATTCTCTAGTGACAGAGGCGTATCTCGATCTTCTAGAATGGGATTTTAATCCAAATGCTGAAGTATGTGTATATGTGGATTTATTATTTTAATGAAATATGTGGAGCAGATTTTATGTTATTTGATAAGTTTATTACAAGCTAGATGTATTTTATTTAGACATTGATGTTGGATCAAGGAAGACTTTTGGAATTGCGCGATATAACTAATAGATTGAGTGTTATCGGTTCTGTGATATTGTTGGTTAATAATACAATTGGCGCACCGATTCACGGAATTTCGAGTTTTAAAAAGAATATTAAGGAACACTTGAATGCGTTGTTGGATTCTGTACATTCCAACAAGTAGGTCCAATCATAATTAAAATATATTAATCATTCTTTTTGTTTCTACAAATTTTGACTCATTATTAGCTTAGAATTATTAATATAATTTTTCCTATAGGGATTTGGAAGCTGCGATGCCTAACATTGTACTTCAAGTAAAAGAAGATGTCAAAGCGACCTTAAGGGAAGTTGATGCTCCCGAATTATCTCCAGAATTAGAAACATTGTTGGAAGGCCAGATAGCCGATCTTATAGATACAAAACATAAAATCAGATATCTTGTCAGTAAGTATATAAAAATCAGTTTGACAATTAATTTAACGACAATTAACGCTTTTGACTTTGAATAAATATCATTTTAGGTTTGCGAATTAGACAATTCCTACAGAAAATTATCCAATCACAATCCACTGCGCCCCAACAAGTACCGCCAGGTCTCTCTTCGCTACAAGAGGAATTAACAGCCGTTGCTGCTCGATTTGTAATACTTATCTCGCATAATCGCAGCGTATTTGGTGAATATTACCAAGACATTGTTGCAAACGCGTTTGCGAAAAGCGACGTTGACAATAACAAAGAAATGCATGGAGCACATACTATGGAATTGTAAAAAAGAAAGTAGAAACAAAGTAAAATTTTACATGTATGATGTTAAATACACTTCCGCGAGTTTCGCTATATACCTCTTATTCTGAGATATGCACAATTATATCAAGATTGTTTATATAGCTCCAATTATATAAATTTTTCTCAATACAATTCAGATGAGCATCAAATTACATTTATATTTATTGTGCATCTCTTTTACTAGAAATATGATAGATTTTTCTTTTTCGAATATTATATCGAGATGAGTGTATATATAATTTTTCATATTTATATCCATTTAATTATGAAAAATGGATAAGAGATATTCGCAAATTATATATATATATATATATATATATATATATATATATATATATATATATATATATACACACACGTTTGAAAATAGAGAGAAGACATCTATTATTTATTATGATTTATGAATCATAATAAAATCACAATAACGAACAATAAAACAGTGTTATGTTCTTCTTTCTTTTTCCTATAATGCTATATGCATTACTTAGAATTTACATAAAAATTATATGTATGATATATTAAGTAATGAAATTAATGATATACATGATAATGTTTTTCTTCTTTATCTCGTTTTTTAACAAAAATATTTTATATAAATTTTAACACATTTAATTATAAAATATGTGTTGTGTGTAATATAAGTGGATAAAGTATATATATAAATGTTTAATATTTTATCACATATATATTGAATATATCATTTTTATATAATCACTAAAACCAATTTTATATTATTACCGCCAAAAAGTAAAATGAAAAAGGTTATTTAATTTTATTAGATTTTATATTTTCGAACTTTTTTTTGATCTCACTAATGATGCCTGCACCATTTTTACAGCATAAAATAGCTTATAATCTCATAAATTTAAATAAAATATTTATTATCAAATACATTAAGATTCTTAATTTTTTATTAGTCTGTACTAAAAAAAAGGACCATATAAATTTAAGTTAAATAAAACTATATATAAATTGATTAGAGGAACATTTTATTCTTTATATAATTCTCAAAAGCTTCTATATGTTGTTTTTTTAGAAAACTCTGAAATCCTAAAAATAAGAATATATTTTTTTTAAAGTAAATTTATTCTCTACCTCGCCATGTGTAATTTTAAAGATTATAATCTTTATTTTTCTTATCACCTTATCACCTTTTCATTTTATCGATCTGTAAAAGATAAACTTACCTATGAATAAATGCTGAAATTGTCCGGCTGATGGAAATAAACTTGATAATGTTTTTAGTAATTCATCAAAATCACCATTTTGTGTGTAATGTTGTATCATAGTTGCAAATATTTTATAATCACTCGCTGATAATGCTCGTTTTACCTATTATTTATGTATTATTTAAGTGTTGTATTATATTTTTTCATATAAATATTATTGAACTTTTATATACTTACATCTTTCAGATATTGTTTCCCCAATGCTTTCTTATCATCTTTATTTGCTTCTTTAATGTCTTGTATGTTATTTACAGAATTACTTTCTGGAACTGTTGACGAAGAGGTTGAGGGAGCAGAAAAATACGTATCAACTCCGGACGGTAAAATATTAATTTTTCTTCTTTTAGCAGTTGGTTCGTCAACATGTTTTGCTAATTCACATGTACTCTGATTGTTTTTTAGTTTGCAAGCACTAAAATTGATCGCACATGGCTTGACTAACTTTTTTTTGTCTTTTATACTTTCATCCAAATACATATTTATGTTGAAACTATTCTCAGTTTCTTTTGTCACAAGATTGTTTTGCGCTTTTTGTTTTAAAGATTGAGATAATGTTGTTTCAAAAGTAGCACCTACGGCAGGCAGCGATATATCATCGTTCCCATATTGTGCACGAATGATGCTAGCATTATTGGGTAGTGGTAGCTGTGAAATTATTACAAATTAAAATAAAGTATTAAGAGCGCGTAATTTTTTTAATTACATTTAATTAGCGTAGAAGTAAAGACTTACAGTATTTTCCGCATTCCTGAAGAATTCTCGTAATTCTTTCGTGATCATCCCAAAATTCGTAAACTTCTTTATGTATGGCCTCAACCAAGCGGACAATTGTTTCTTGAAATTTGGATTTTCAAATCTACAATCGCAGAGTATCACTGCACCATAATCGCTTTTGTGTCTTATTATCCTGCCAATAGCTTGATTAACGGCACGTGACGCTTCAAGTTGATACCATTCTTGTCCGGTTAAACTCTGAATATTAAATTTATTCGTCATTTTTATTAGAGATCATTATATAGTGTTATTTTTTCCAAAGTTAAACAAATATGTAATATATACTTCTTTCTCCGCTGTCCTTATTTCCTCCAAATATCTTTGTTTCAGCATAACTCGTGGATCTTTTAAGGGCGGAAATGGAAGACCAATGATTAATACAGCTCTACCATTTGCATTAGCAAAATCCAGACCTTCACTGACCTTTCCTCTGCACACTGCCATGAAAACAGCCCCCTTATTAGATGGATCTCTAATTTTTTGATAATACTCATTCATCACGTTGACAAATCCATCTTTCGAGTTGGGTTCTACATAAATGGGCTATTGTCCAGTATAATTAATATATTATACGGCTTAAAATACATTACTAACACATTAAATTACTCACTTTACGTTCAGCAATTTGCGTCCATAAACCCATATTCTGCCATTCATCTCTGCATTTTTTCATAATCGGATATGAAGGAAAAAATATCAACAATCCGTGAGGGATGATGCAGCTAAAGTTATACACTGTTCTTCCAAGAGATGCGATATATTTCGGATCATTTCTATGAAAATATAAGTGTAATAATATAAGTGTGATAATATAATAATAGAAAATAATTAGAGAATAATTACATTGCTATGCTATATATATAATAGCATTTACCTCGTGTTGTAAGATGAATTGAGTAGATGATTATCTGGACCCTGACTAAGAACACCAACACATACTTGTTGTTTTGTTACAATATGCGGATTTTCTAACTGAACTGCTATTGGTATACCAAGTTCTGATATGAATGGTTTTAATGGAGACAATGTACCGCTTGTGAGTATTACTGAACGTATTCCTTGTTCTACCATTTGCTCCATACTATATAAAAAGACAAAGAAACAATCGTATTTCTTGTATGATTTATAATTAAAATATTTTCTTTTTACTTTAAAAGATTTATACCCAAAGCCAGGACTAAAACACCAATAACTAATAAGCTTTCCGTCCGTTTTTATCGTCTTCTTGGTCTCCCAAACATCATTCTTGTAATTCTTTTTCTGTTCTTCTGTCTGTATATGGACCTTATAGCAGCGTTTTACTTTCTCCTTATGACGTGTGATAGAAGTACCGCTATTAAAAGCAGTCTTTAATAAGTCACTAAACTTTTGTAGTGCATTTCCTTTTCTCGCAAATGGAGAAGTACTAGTAGTTGTCAAATATGAAATTATTTTTTCCAATTTATCTACCACAATTTGTTCTTTACCATGTGTTAACTGTTACAAAAATCATACAGCAACAATTTTAAATAAAAGAAATATATATATGAAATTTAATAACGTTGTTTAATAAAATTAAAAATGTTTACCTCAATTTTCTCAAGTAATTCAAAGATGAATCCACCAGGAAAAGTGTCTCCCTCGGTACGATTTTTTAATTCGATAGAATCGACTGCTTTTTCCAATTCCAAAAACATCGTTTTTAAGATATATAAATCCTCTGCTGTGAAATCTTTTTGAACATTATTCTCTGGTGAAAAGTCATTTTCCAAATCTATATCTTTAGCCATATCTTTCATTACTGCAGTTACTTCATCAATACATAATGCAATATCTGTACTACTTATCTATATGAAGATATATATATTTAATTAAAATATACACAAAATATCAAAAACAATAAAAAGTACCTTTTAAAAATGCTTTTATACCTGTAATGATGCTGCTTCTTCGCAAACTTTTTCAACATTATGAGCTTCATCTAACAAAACTACAGTATTTTGTAAATCTATACCCTGTGACTTTCGTGTTTTAGGATCCAGTAGATAATTATAAGGCATGAAAACAATATCTGCATTTTGCTTCAATTCTTTTGCCAAAAAATATGGGCAGCATTTGTGTTTTTGTCCAATTTTAACTAAATCTTCTATATCTAATACTTCCTGTTTAAAAACAGGATCGTCTTTTCTAAACATGTTAGAATTTATGTAAGATTTTATATAACAACTTTTTTTATCTTGACTACAAAATTACAGGAATATTTGCACATACCTTGCTTCAACATTATTGTAATAAAAACAAGTTCTTGATTTTACTTTGGAGTGACACATATGTATTTTGTTAAAAGCACTTGCTTCTTTAGAAACTTCCGGATGAATGCATAATTGATCTCGGGATCCCAATACAGCAGTGGCAACATGTTTGTACGATGTTTTCTTCAATTCGTACATAGCCTGAGACAGTTGAGAATGCGTTCGGGATGCATAAATAATTTTGGGCATGGCCCATCCAAAACTTTGAACATTATCTGGTACTCCTGATGCCTTTTCAAGCCCGTCAACCAAATATTTAAAAAAATGTCCACCAAAGTCTTTTTTCTCAATTGCACCTGCTATTACTTGTGCTTGTAATTGAGCTTTTTTTGTTAACAGCCAACTTAAAGAAGAGCATAGAAGACTGAGAGTTTTTCCAGTGCCTACGAGATATATTCATTTAATTAATAGAAAATACAGAAAAAATAAACTAATAAATAAAAGAAGTAACAAATAAAATATATCAATCAAAAAATTCTATTTTTCATGTAAAATCTTCTCAAATGACAAATTTTAATTTTAAGAGATAATTTATATTTTTATATAAATGTTTTAATATCTTTTTTAAATGTAGGGCTTTAAATTTGCAATCTTTTGTCGAATTTTACTTTACACGAATTTTCTAAGATTTAAGATTTTTCAATTAATTGTAAGCGCGAATTTACCTGTGGGGGACTCCAAGACACCGTGCTGACCATTTTGTAGGCATTCTATCACTTTTTTCATGTACTCCTCTTGTACGGAATACGGTTTAAAAGGAAAGCTAACGATGATATCGTTAATCGTGATGTCAGGCATCTCGAGAGTTGGTCAACAAACACATCAGCTGTATAAAATGGAATTCTAGGCTTCTTCCCGCCAGAAGGAAAACCCAACCTAACTCCCAACTTTGCCCCGGATGGATTACTTTACCTAACCTATATTTCCTCCCATTTGTGCGAACGAAACTGGGTGAAGTGTAGAGGGAATGAGAGAAAAGAAAGTAGTGTAGAAAGTGCAATCGCGTTACAGATCTCTTGTTTACATATGCAGCTTGTCAAGAACGCAAAACTCCCTCTTATTATTCGCGTTTGAGCGATAAAAGGTAGATAAAAGAACAACGGCATGAAAAGAATAATACTGCGATAAGGATTTACATGGCGATGAGTTAAACGAGCCGCTGCATTCGAAAAGAGACAACTCGAGCGATTAGGTTAATGCGTGCCTCTAGTCAAGTAATCAGCTGATCAGTAGGTTCGACCGGTGGAGTTGGAATACGAAACGCGTAACAGGTTTGCGCCCTTTCAAGTTACTTCGTACGATTTGTTCGTTGCTAAAAAAATTGTATAGCTTCCCCGTCATTTGATAAAATCAGAAAAGCTAAATTGTGATGGATAGCGTAATAAATCAATTTTATTTATCGCGTATATATAAATAACTGAAGGTCAATAGTTATTGGTTATTGACCCCGAGAAAGAGCTGCATAATGTGATTTTGTGCAAGATACCATATGTAGTTTGAGAAGCATTTTAAATATAGATTTCAGTATCTATCATATTTTTTTATAATTTTAAATGTATGTAAAAATATATGGTTCATATAATATGTATCCATATATTATCATGTATTATCATGAGTATGATATGTAATATTATATGATATATCATATAATATTACATATCATACTCATGTATTATTAAAAAATTTCTTTGTAGGAAAATATGTAAGTTGAATATTTTATATATATATTTGGAGAGCTTTTTAAACATGTTTTTTTGTGACTTATCTTTGAGATAGGAATACAAAGCACTTGCAATTGTAAATATGTTTTATTGCAGATAAAAAGATAGACTTGTTCTTGATAATATGTTAGTGCTTTTTAGACTTGGAATGAAATAAAAATTTCATGTTTTATAAATAATTCATTTTTTTAATTATGTGTAATTTATTTCTCTTATATTATTAATATCTTAATTAATAAAGAAAACTATCCAATCTTTAATAGTAAGTAAAAAATAAAAAATTTACCCAATTTTTTGTGTTAAAATATAATTTAAATTTTTGCATAATTAACATAAGCTATGTAGACTTGATGTAACAGATTAATTTTATTACAAATCTATTTATTTATTTTGCAGTGTGTGATTGTAATTGTAATTAACATAAATACTCATTATGCGTCTGGTAATTTGTGATACAGTAGATTATGTGGCAGACTGGTCTGCAAAGTATGTTCTAAAAAGAATCAATGATTTCAATCCTAATGAGAACAAGTATTTTGTTCTCGGTCTTCCTACAGGTATGTTAATTTTTGTTTTATTTTTAACATTTACTTGATTGTATTTTCTTATCAATCTCTTTTTGTTTTCTTGTTGTATTATATAGGTGGTACACCTTTGGGAATGTACAAAAAACTCATAACATATTACCAACAAGGCAAAATTTCCTTCAAATATGTTAAGACATTTAATATGGATGAGTATGTCGACTTGCCAAGAGATCATCCAGAGTCTTATCACTATTACATGTATAACAATTTCTTCAAACACATAGATATAAATCCCGAGAACGTACATATACTTGACGGAAACGCAACGGATCTTGAAAAAGAGTGCAATGATTTTGAAAGAAAGATTAATGAGGCTGGTGGAATAGAATTATTCATTGGAGGTACATTAGTAATTTTTCATTAAATATAAAGACTATAGATATTCTTAATTGCAACAAATATTTACAAAAAAGAACGAAAAAGAAAAGTGTCCAGGTTTATCTAATTATAAAACATTATGTGATAGGTATTGGTCCAGATGGACATATAGCTTTCAATGAGCCAGGTTCTTCATTAGCTTCTCGTACAAGAGTAAAAACTCTTGCACAAGATACTTTGGAAGCTAACGCGAGATTCTTTGGAAATGATATTAATAAAGTGCCGAAACAGGCTCTGACAGTAGGTGTCGGCACCGTAATGGACTCGAAAGAAGTAATGATCCTTATCACTGGATCTCATAAAGCTTTTGCTCTTTACAAAGCGATAGAAGAAGGTGTTAATCATATGTGGACGGTATCAGCATTTCAACAACATCCTCGTACGCTTATAATCTGTGATGAAGATGCAACTTTAGAATTACGTGTGAAAACAGTTAAATATTTTAAGGTAATTTACACACATATATAATCTCTCTCTTTCGTATATAAACTTGCTTTTCCATCGTGAAGCAGAGACGCATTAAGTTAGTTAATCTAAAAATATAACACGGAAATTCCGTCTTGCATTCAATTTATATGCTACACATAGGCACTCAGTGATGTACATCGCAAATTGATTGAGGAAGATGGAAATGCAATCCCTCGTCGCACAATACAAAATAATTGAAATGGTAGTTATCTTCATGATCTTTATGATCAAAAAATTTTTTAAATTAATTAATAATACATATCCATTTTCCTTTCTGTGTCTAGTAAAAATAAATTGTATTTGATATATAAATCATATTTATTTATTCTTATGAATTTATAGTGAAAACTAAGTTTTATAGCAAAATATAATTCAAAATTCTTATCATGTTTTCCTTACAGAGTTTATGGGATATTCATAGCAAATTGATTGAGCAAGAGAGCCGGGCAAAATAAGAATCGTTTATCGACGTTTCTCGAAGAAATCGTCGAATTAAAAAGAGGATTAAAAAAAAAACAAATGGAGAGAAGTTAAGCATTGATAATCAAGCTGTGAATAAATTGATGAAATATTATGTTACGAAATATCTTCTACATTTATTATTTTAATCATATTTTACTTTATATGCAAATTTTAATTATATATACTCTATTTTTACAACTGCTATATAAATACCAGGGAAATGTATTTTTATATTATACTATTCTAACAATTTTCATAAATAAATACCTTTTTTATCACCATATATATTGCAGGAGATATTTTTTGAATAATCTAAAATTATAAAATTTGATCTAATTCTCCACATTCCCAAACATTCCGAAACAAAAATAACTTAATATAAATTTAATTTATATTAATAATACACAAATGTTATATAAGTAGCCGCAAAAATATGACGCATAATGCGATTGGTACAAGGTAACGTTAAAATATATACGTAAATCATGGGATAATCATAGGTCCTTCATAGTGAAACGAGGACAAACTGATTGAATATTGAGAGAGAGAAAGAGAAAAGTTAAAGCGTGATGAACGGCTGGGAGGATCGTTGTGGCCGCATGCGCGGAAGATCATCAATTGACAAATAATACGTATGCGAATTGACTACACGCATCTCTGCATGCAAAGATTAATCTCATCCGGCACGTATATATACATACTGCAAACGTCACGTAGTAATCGTGACTCTAATTGTAACTATGTGTGACATAAGAATTGATTCTTCTTTTTCTTTATTATTTTCCATTGAAACGTTATGTCGAAATAAAATTTCTCACTTCTAATAAACAAGTCCAAAATATTCCAATATATGATTACACGTAAATTCATGACATTATATTCGCATTTAGAGTTAATTTTAATTTTGATTTTATATAAGACTGTATTATTTGTATAAACTTGTTCAGTGATAATGCAATTTATTTTAGTATAGACTATTTTAAATATCATTTTTTTTTGTAAAATTTTACATGTATTGCCCTCTACGTCAATATTGATATTTACTCTAAAAAATTTGTTTACATATAACAAAATATTAATTTTTGAAAAAGAGATCTCGAATTAATTATGTTTTTAATCATTATTTCAATAGAATCTATATATTTCGCAGTTTTATCAATTAATTTGCTTTCAATAATTCTCTTTTATAAACGGAAACGAATCTAAAAATTCAAATAGTGATATTTTAGCCTTTACTCTGCCTAAGATGTAAAATACGAATAAATTTGAGTAAGAAAAGCTTGTTACATTAAAAAAATAATTATAAAATTAATGGATATGAACACATCAAGAAGTCCTTAATAAATAAGAATTTTTTTTAAAAGAACATAGATAATTCAAAATATCTTTAATAAAATAAATATCTTTAAATATAAATGTAAGTGAAATATTTCGATGTTTACTTTTGTGTTTCTTCAGCCACAAATATAAATGAAAAAAAAAAATTATATGATTCATATAATAAAATGGAAGTAATGGAAATATAATGAATATGTAGAAAATTAGCAAGGTCATAAGAGGCTAAATTATATTCTGTTATTATGCAATTGGATTATACAACAATGATTAAATTTACATGTTAAAAAAAAGTGTTGTGTTATTCTTTTTTGTCCATAGCATTCATTCACTTCTTAAATGCACAGTATATTTTTTTCTTTTTCTTTTTTATATTTATGCTGAAGAAATACAAGTAAGTCGGAGCGTTTTTTTCCATTTATATTCATTAAAGTGAATTTATATAATAATTACTTATGTTCTTCAAAAAAATTTTTATTATTATTAACAGAAACATTTATGAAACGTTTTTAAAACGAATATGTGCTACCTGGATACTATATAACTATGATATTTATAACAAGATTACAAATAATCGATAACTTATCGAGATATTTGTAATATTCAATTTTATGTTACATTTACATTTTTATATTCAATTATATGTTTACTTATTGAAATAATATTTGTAATATTCAGTTTTATATTACATTTACATTTTTATATTCAGTTTTATGTTACGTTATATTTTTATAACATTAATTTGTGTTTAAATTTAGGAGTCTCTGTCTTCATCTGTACTATTTTTATTGCGGTTTTATTGTTGCGATTATATTCGAGGCTAAACTCGATTTCTGCTATGCTTTTTGCTGTCAATATTTTATGATATATTACTTATATTGGACATATTTTCGTCCGCGATTTTATCATCATGTTATGACAGCAAATCATTTGATTTCCCTGTTGCCTATCTGTCATTAATATTTGATATAATAGATCCTGTTTATTTGCTACGTATTTATTATGACGATGTAATAGTAGGCAATGTTCTAATTTTCTTGCATTTTGAATTTCCTACCGTCATATATACAGATCATCTATATAGATTGTGATCTATTAAAAGCTGAATTTAATAAAGACGCAACAAAATTTACTGTAAAATCACTTGATAGCATATTATTTTATCGAAGAAGATCCTGTTTTTGCATCCGATTAAAAATTTCTATGATTATTTTATGTATTTTCTAATATTTAATTAAAAGAATCAATACATATGTTAATTATTCTAACATCATTGATTGATACGAAAGCAATAGCTTTATAAATCATTAATGATTTTGCCAAAAAAAATGCTGATAAGATTATATGAAATCGTTAAACATGTAAAAAACCGATTACGAGAGATATTCTGCATCAGCAGAATATCTTTTGCCGAGTCATCCGTATATATATTTCATCTCGTAATAAATTATAAAATGCGCCAAGATTGATAAACGATTATAATTATTGATGAAGATTTTCCTTTTGCGGTTTAGTTGTAAAAAATTGATTTCGTAAGTGTTGCGTTAATTTCGTGTGTGATTGATTATGTAAGTATAATTTCTAAGAATCTCTTCGTAAAAAAAGCTGAGTAATATAATCATTTACTTCTCAAGAAAAAAAATTCCTAGCGAATATATCTAATAATAATTATTTCGCTTGTAGTCTATTTATTAATTTTCAATTTCTAACATAAATTGAACAGTAAAAATAATTAAAAGGCTTCAAGGACCAACGCAAAGGTGAAATTTATGCACAATCAAAATTTTATGTTGCGATATTCCGATTATTACTGTTAATGTGTTGCGCTTCTTTAATTGATTGTTTGAATCATTACTTTGCGTATCTTTGTTTCCGACTTTTTTGACTTTTTAATTACCATTTATTTTGATTTGCCGTTTTTCCGAATCTTATTTATATTATACCAATGACTGTTATTTTTCGAATCTTATTTATATTATACCAATGACTGTTATTTTTATTTTATGTTTATTACTCACTTTGTTATTCGACATTGAAAAGGATCCGAATTGGATCGAAATGCAGCAATTTGTCGTGTTTAAATTAAATAAACATTTTTATATGTTTTGTTAAATTGAAACAAGCGTTTGATTTTTGCATAAATTTCACCTTTGCGTTGGTCCTTGAAGCCTTTTAACTATTTTTAGTGATTTTATCTAACGGACCTTTATTTCATTATAATAATTTTAAATTGAACAGCTTTTCTAAAATTACGTTGTCACATTTGTCGAACGTATCTGACTTTTAATTAGTTGGGAAAAATCCAATTATATAACAGAGTTCGCAGAAAATCTTGAAATATTCCATGTTTGTGTGTACGTAATGTTAACTGTGTGTAATTTGTACTAAATGTAAATGATATTAAGAATGATATGAGATATGACAGATACGTAAATGTAAGAGGCATTGATACGAGATGATCCCCACTCCAACAGAGATCCAACCTTCTAGTTTCCAGCAAGTGGAAGTGCCTTCCAAATGATCCTGTATGTATGGTCGATTAAGGAGAAGAGGCGGTAATCATACAGCGGTGATTATTACAATTGGAATGACTATTCGCTGGTGTTGAATACGCGCGCGCGCGCTTATTTTATGACTCGTATCTCCAGCGTGTCTTCAGTCTTGGTGCGATACCAGAAGCGATAGTTAGTTAGTAGTGATAGATAGAGCGAGGGCGTTTTTTTATTCAACTAGACATGAGCAGCGAGGATTCCAAGATCGAGTTGCGCGAATTGCAACCGATACTAAGCCGCACGTTCGGTGATCAGCTGATCGTCATCCGTTATACGACCAAGAATTTGTTGCAACCCGGTGAGAATTATGGCAGTACTATTTTTGGCGTTCATGCTGTGATCAAGCGTGATGACGAGGCCGAAGAGGAAGATCTTTATCTGGTGGCGAAGATGCCTCCGCCGACGCAATTTCAACGGAAGATCTTTGACAGTCCGTATTCATTCAGAAAGGAGATTTTTATGTATGAGACCATTATACCTTATTACAAACAGCTGGAGAGAGACGTCGGTTTTAAGGAGGATGAACTGTTTGATATAGTGCCGAAATATTATCAGTCCCGATTGTCGCTAAATCCGGACGTCGATTTCGATGATAACGCTGTTATTCTGATGGAGAATTTAAAAACGCGCGGCTATTACATCTGCGACAGAGTTAAAGGTAGTATTAAATTTCTTCCATACTCGAAACAACAAGTATTATGTCATGCAAAATTTTGAACTTATTATGATATTATCATGTGAATAATTATGTTTCTAATCGAGAATTCTTTGATCATTAAAATTAAAAAAAATTGCTTAAGAAAAATTACGAATTACATAATGCAACTATAAAGTATAAATTATTTATGAATTTTTTCCAAATCCCACTTTGCACTAAAATTTCATTCGACTTAACATTTGATATAAATTTTTATTTTATAATTTCACAATCCTGGTAATTAAAAATTTATATTATGCTTAATTGTTCAATCATAATGTAATTTTAATAAAATTATATGATAGGAATATTTGTATCTTCTAATAATTTTAAGTAATATATACTTAATATTTAATGATATTTAGAGATATTTATGATAAAACATAAGAGATATTTTATGTTATTCGATATATAATATCCATATTTTTTGTCATAAGAATGATTTACGATCTAAGTAACAAAAACGAGATTTATTATTGCCAATCCTTGACACCATTTTTTTCTTTCGTATTTACTTATTTGCTAATTTCTCTTGACTCAATCCATGAAAAAATATCGAGTTCTCAATGATGACCTTTCTAAATCGCGAAAGATGTTTGATAAGATTACTGAAATTATATGTTTGATAAGATTACTGAAATTATATCACTTATGATTGTCATTGTTTATCTAAGATTAGATTATTATTCTTAGAAAGAAAGAAAATTATCAAAAGTTAAGAAAATATGTCTAATCATTCTATTATCTGGTTAAGAAAATATGTCTAATCATTCCATGATATTCACTTGCCTTTTATTTTCCGAGCACAGGATGTGACCTCGAGCACTCGAGAGCCGCTATACGGGCAATGGCAAGATTTCATGCGCTAGGAATGGCCTCCAAATACAAGCAACCAGAGTATTTTGAGGTGCTGAAGCAACGTAGCAAGAGCATAGAAGTTCAAACCGAGGACTTCAGCCAAATGCGGGAAGACATGCTGAAGAGGATAGCGGATGATCCGGAAATAGGTGTTCACATTGATCGGTGTAGCGCAGTGATGAGCGAATCGATGCAGCACGGTTTGTGGGATATGTTGCCCGATGAACCGTGGTCCACTATTGTACACTCGGACTTCTGGGTGAATAACATCATGTTCCATCATGATGAGAACGGCCAAGTGGACGATGTCAAGTTTGTAGACTTTCAGAATTATCTGTTCTTCAATCCACTGCGCGAGTTGGTTTTCTTCCTGTTTTCCAGCACGGAAAACAGCAACGATCACATCGAGGAGCTGATAGATCTCTATCATGAGACATTCATAGCCGTGTTGCTTCGAATGGGTTGCGACACCGAGTCATTCACGAGAGAAAAGTTCGACGACCATCTAATGACCTCTGCCAAATTCGAATTTATGCACTTGATCTTCATGCTCAAGATACTCACGTTGAATATACAAGAATCCGAATTCAAAAACAATGATCTGGAGAACTTTTTGATTACTTACAAAGGCAACCAATTATTCGTCCAACGGCAGCGCAAACTTATATCGTATTTTGTTCAACGCGATTGGATTTAAGCAATACGATAGGAAAAAAGGCTCCCTATAATATGTTGAATTATACATACATATATTATACACTTAATTATTATATTTATATAATTATATAATTTATATAATTTATATTTATATATTTATATAATTTATATAATTATTATATTTATATTATTATATTTATATGCACGATCACATAATGTGATTATACTGTATATACATATTATTTGACTTTCTATCTCCTACATATTAGAATAAAAAATTATAAAAAAATGACACCAATTTTACAGAAAAAGAAGATAGAGAAAAAGATATACAAAATGTAACAAGCTTAGAGAAAAAAAATAAAATTTATTTTTATATAAAAATCTCAAGTTGCATTTTATACATACTTGAAGAAATCGATTTAATTTATTCTAGAATCGACTTATCGCTCTCTCTTGACCTTGGGAACTTTCCTATTTCTATTTCTGTTTTTCACATTTGTCACTTCATAGAAATTGCTTCCTATCTTTTTCCTCTTATTCGCACGTTCGATGGCTCTTCGCTGTCTACTCGTTAATTTTTCTGTTACTTTTTTAACAGAGGACGAGGTAGTAAAGGTATTGCTGTTTGAAGGCACCTTGGAAGTCATTTCACTGTCGCTAGAATCATATTTATTATCTAGAATGTCGAACGCATTCTGTTTCAGGTTGTCCTGTTCGACAGGTAAACGAATTTCTATATCTGAATGCTCGCTATTAGTTGCTTGTTCTGATAACAGTTCTTCATGAATTTTCGTATCTGAATTCTCATTGTTAATCGTTTGTTCTGATAGTGATTCTTTACGAATTTCTGTATCCGAATGTTCATTATTAGTCGTTTGTTTTGATAATGCTTTTTCATGAATTTCCGTATCAGAATGCTCGTTAATAGCTATTTGTTCCGATAATGGTTCTTCACTAATTTCCGCATCTGAATGCTCGTTATTAGTTGTTTGTTCCATCAGTGATTCTTCACAAATGTTCGTATCTGGACACTCGTTATTAGTCGTTTGTTGCGATAGCGGTTCTTCAAAACCTGCTGGTAGAACATAAAATGGCAATTTACCGCGTTGCCAATCGTTCAATACCATACGCGCGACAATAGCTATATCAGGTTCTCCTTTCTTCAAAAGCTTGCCACTTCGATGAGCCAGTTTTTCCAAGAAATCCACGTGATCCTTCCACTTATCTATATTATATGTTTTACGTATATATTCAGGTTTCACTCTCTCTAGAACGGAGACGATGTAATCTTCCGGGTTCTGAATCAGTTCCACCCTTACGACGCCCTTCAATACCTTCTCCGTATCGGTTTCCGTCGATGGATAGACAACGCCGGGGCAATCTATTAGATAAATACGGCGCATGAGAGTTATATATTGCCATACCTTTGTTTCTCCAGCTATAGGTGCTACTTTGCAGACCTTTTTAGAACGTAAAGTATTTATGATAGAACTCTTTCCTGTATTGGGATATCCTATGAAACCAACACTGATCTGTTTTTTATCAACATGCAATTTTGAAAACTGCCTTAGCAGATTTATCAGAGAACCTTTGCCAAAGGGATGGGTTAAGGAAGCATGAAAGGCAACTGTTGGATATTCCTTGCTCAGAATTGCCATCCATCTTTGAGTGACCCACGTTGGTACTAGATCTACTTTATTTAAGATAAATATCAGATGTTTATATGGTTTATCGGTTTTTAGATATTTCTCCACAGGAAGAGATCTGGTCCCCATCGGATCCCTTGCATCCAATACTTCTAGAATAACATCTGAGGAATCAATGACTTTGTACAGCTCATTCCATATCCTTTTACTTTGTCCCGCTCCCATGATCCATTCCCTTTGTACATCTTTTACACCAGTATCCTCACGAATAAGATCATGATCTTTAGAATCCTTCTCCTTACTGTAAGTATCTTCCTTCTCCTCGGCTGATTTTTGCAATTCATCATAAGATGTTACCATCAAATTGGGTCTTTTTCTGACTTTCTTTGGACCAAAAACACTTTCAAAACTTTCAGTATCTAACAAATGTACTCTTGCATTTGCTGCCTTTTGCTGAAGTAAAGTTATAGGCAATTGAGTCGGTTTCATAACAACCTTATAGGGATCCTTCACAGCAGTTCCCAATTCATTTTGGAATTTTTGTAAAGCATTCTGCGATATGACTCTCGAATTACCGAACCATCTCCGGGATGGCTCCACGCGTGACATAGTTCCTGAGGCGTTCCAGCCTTGAAAAGGTGCAGGACTAATGATTTCTCCAACGCGATTGCGTTTTGGTTTCTGATTACGATACATCTGTAATCTTTTAATGGTTGCTTTTGTTCTCACTTTAGCAACTCCTTTCAATCCTTCCGTAGGACGTTCAGGATTCATACTATGCCCTGAACGATTAAAGCCCTGCTTTCGCGGGGCTTTAGTAGTGCCATGTGATTTAGCCATATTGCCTGTATAACACAAATATTATTTAACATTTCAATAAAATATAATAATAAATATATAATAATAAATATAATAATAAATATTATATATAAAAATATACATTATAATATAAAAAAGATATAACAGTTTCTTCTTCAAAGTCATTTTTCAAGATTGAAATCTCCGAGTCACTCATGCATATTAAAAAAATTTATTTAAAGTATTAATTTTAACTTTTGCAAAAATGACTTTAAATTCGGCTTTAATTTAGAAATATCATTTTTCGTACTTTTTTGCCAAATATACGTATAAATAATACCTTCTAAGGTAGAATTCCAATTATAAAATTCACCGTACTTCACCAGAGCCTAAGAATTCAGGTTAGGTTAACACATTGAATATAGGAAGAAGCATGAACGAAACTGCATGAAACGAAAATTCAGTGGTGAGGGATGCAATACGTCATAAATCTGAAGTGACACCTGGTGGGTTACAAACACAACTTCAATTTCATTGATGTCGTGTGTGTCAGTAAAAAAACTAAATCATTTTTATGATTTATAACGAGTGAATTGATAGAAAGATGATAAATTGTTATTTATATGGATATTTGAAAACTGAAGGACGTACCGAAATATTTCATATATAAGTATATTTATATTAATAAGAGATTTGCAAATTAAATATAAACGTTTGAAATTTACCGCTATTTTTCGCTTCCGATGACGGCATAAATACGTCATGAATACGTCATAAAACTAAACCATTCCGGTTCCAGCCGTATTGACACATGTTCCTTGCTCCTTCCTATTAGTATTCTTTATTCAATGCTGGTAATACGTAAATAATATGTTGTATTCAATTTATATGTGTAAATATCACTCCCCTTTAATTGATAGCTGATGCTGAAACTTTATCAACGTGTTTGTATGTGGTAAACGTGATATCCAATCCACTTGTTATATCGGCAGAAGATTGTAGATCATGAAAGAGATGTTGGCAAATCAAACCACTGGGATGGGATACACTAATTCTTTTGTCAACGCTAACAGTAAAGATGCGGGCACCAGTAATATTACAAATGATAATAATTCAAGGAGATACGCTATGCTCAGTACCGAATGGATTTCTACCATTGGTGAGGAATTGGGTATGCATCCATTGCCGGATCCACTGTTGAAGAGATTAGCCGAAGATGCTTCCTATCGCTTGAGAGAAGTTCTACATGTAAGCAAATAATATATTTCTACTCGCACATTATGATAATTGTAATATTATTCATCCTGAAATTTCAGAAATGCGTTACAAGACTGAGACATAGTAAAAGAAGACGCTTGACATCGATGGATGTAAATGCAGCGATCACCAACTTGTGTGATGCAGATCCGATTCTTGGTGCACCAGAATCAATGCCAGAATATCATACAGAAGCTAAGGTGTATGTGCCTAATGAATCTATCATTAATCTTTCTCATCAAATAAATGAGCCGTTAAATTTTTCTCAAACTAATGTGCCATTTCTGCAAGGTAAACTCTTCAATGTTTATATTATATTTGTAGCCTTCTCTTACTTTTAATTTTCTAGTTTGTGCATTCCATGTTGAAATATATATATTTTTCTCTCTTTTTTTTATAGATAATGAAATATGCGACAAGAAGTTGACAGAAGCACGTATCAGTTATGCCAAACGTGCATTGAAAACTTTATTTAATGGCTCGCAGAAAACTTTTCAAGTATACAGAAATAAAAATTGTTTTTTAATATTTTACATTATTATAATTAGATTAATGTAACTGTTTGCATATTTCTAGGTTTTGCTTAATGATTGTGCTACCAATGTGCATTTAGGTGATGAGGGTGTCGTAGATAAATTGATATCTATCGCTAGGTCTACGTTAATCTTAAATAATGCACAGTATACGCGCGTTTCCACACGTACCTGCGAGCTCATAATTGCCATTGCTAGCAACAGCGAAGCTATCTATCCTTATCATTTAATATCGGTAATTGAGAGCAAAGTTTTTTTACACATATACATCTTTCTGGAACTCTTGGATATATCTTGTTTTGATTTATTTATTTTCAGGTAGATAAAATGACCGACTTATTACTGGAATTATTGCTGAGTCAGAGTTTCATACATCCGAATTTGGAAGTGCTCTTTAAAGAGTGCGTGCTCAAGTTAATGCTTCGCTGGCCGTCGATCGCCGACAAGTAAGATTAAAACATCCTCACATTTTAAGAAATAAAAGATTGATTTTTCTTGGATTAATTTGTATGTCGACAGATATATACCAACATTGAAGAATGTCCTTTTAAAGAAGGAAGTGGATAGTGTGGATCATTATAAAAAGAGGATAATGGCAGTGGAATTGTTAGTGAGTCTTCAGCCATTTATATTTTTCCAGCACGAAGCCGAACACACTCTTTCCATACAAAATATTTTATATTATTACGCTTCATCTGGTTCGATTATTTGGGAGCAAATAGCTGTTAGTATTGGATTTAATGTTATTCTAATTCCTTTGATATTTGTTGCTCCTGCATATTATTCATATTTATAATCATTATAGCTGGCTGTTTGCGCTCTCGTAAGATCACAAGGTCATTCCTTGGCTCTTACCCCTTTGCTTGAGCACTATGGAGATTCATTATTACCTTATTTACCTACTAATGACAATAATACAAGGGAAAGAAGCAATAAAAAGACTGGCACATTGCCTATTATCATCAAGAGCAAGATGAAATATGTTGAAATCAGACCGTTACTTAACAACAGAACGCTGTGGGATCGACAAACCGCATTTCCAGATTCTACCCTGAGAGGACCAAGACGGGAAATAAGGTATGTATCACACAAAATTCGATATAGTTAATGTGAGTACGTGAATTTGTACATTTATATTACCTAATTTGAACGTGGTTATTATAGATTTGCGTTCGCTGGTGGTCGTCCAGTTCCTCCCAATAACTTAAGGCGTGTCAGTCTAAGAGCTAATTATCATATTTTGAGGAGCGATCTTCAAGCTACTCTCGCTCTAGTCGCATCACGCAGACTGCTTGTAGTTAAAGATAGAAAGAAAGGTCCGTATAATTTTTATAATTTAGCACATGTTTGTTTATAAATTAATATAAATTTCATTTATTCAAACATTATTATTATTACATAGCAACATACTGTCACTGATTATTTCATCATTTGTATTACATTAATTATGATTCTAAATTATTTTTATTAAATCTTAAAGAAATTATTACATTAGTCCTTTTTAAATTGTAATTTCTGATAAGTTTTTAATCGCCAGTCTATTTCATTTCATAAATGTTTATTTTACAAATTTCTATTCCATTTGGCGCAAATTCCTGTTCACGTCATTCAAGATAAAAAAATTTTTTAATTTCTTTGTAAATTTTTCTATTTTTATTTTGAACGAAATAAAAATTGGAAATTTATATATTCTTTCTATAAAGTACTATATATAAAATAATCTACTACACATCTTACATATATTGTACAAATCTTAAATATTTTAAAGACAATCCTGTAGACCTTGTGGTAATTCCGTATGTACCAAACAATGCGAATTAGTTAAACATGTGAGACGAGTATGTATTCTAACTGGTAGCTGTAAAATAATAATGTTTTTTTAATTTCTTAATTATTTCCTTCATAATTCCAATTCCGACATTTACCTTTGCCAGACGACGTCGACTCAAAATTCCTTTTTTGTAGAATAATGTAGAAGTACCATTCCATATAACATATACATCTTCTTTCTAAATAGAATTTTTGTTTTAATGCAAGGAAACAGAGATAATATATATTACGTTATTAATATTACATACTTTGTTGCAATCTTCAAAGTTGTTCTTATGTCTATTTTCCATATGAAATCTATTATTATTTGAGCATATATGTCTTGCATCTTGTGATTCAATGTCTAATTGATTGTAACTTATTGACGATTGTTTCGATATTAAGAATCCACTATTTTTTATATTCATCGCTTTGCTCACATTTTCCAACCAATGGATTATATATTCGGTTTTATTATACGATATGTTTGGCGGTATAAATTGAGGTTTTGTTATAAAGGAATAATCTATTAAGGGCACGTTACATTTAATTTCTAATTGATTTTTTTTAATCGACTTATCTTGAATATCAACTGCTTGATCATCACAAGCTGTATTTCTTGTATTTTGTCGCCGATATGTCTCTGCGTACATATGTATTCCTATGGATATACATTTCACTTGAGGTTTCTCGATCAACTCATCTTTAATAGTTGCCATTCGATATGTCGTATTTTCTTTTATATTTTGTCGCCGATTATTTCCTGCATAGATATAGAATAATTTATTTTGATCTTTTTGTCTGTAATCTATGTCGTCACATCGTTTTCTTTCAAATATTAGAACTTTTATTTGATTAATGTTTAAATTACTCGATGTATGCATCCTTTTTACTTTTGACTGTTGCATAATATTTTAACATTTTTTTAACAACTTATGGATTTTCTCGTACTTAAATTTATACAAAAAAATTGAGTAAGAAATTGCGTAAAGAGATACTTGCTATATTTTATCCAGAAAGATTCTATTTTTCCGATACATTCAATATAAAATTGCTTCCTAGCAGATTCTAATTGTAAAAAAGTGTCCTCTGTCAAAAAGATGAAATGTTTTCCATAATGCACCGATAAGTCATCAGCATTTATCGTTAGCCGAGACGATTTCAACATTTCGCAACCTATGCGAAAGTTAGAGGTTCCTATAGAAAAATAAATCAGTAGTATAGATATGACAAGCTTAACGTTAAAAATTATTAAGATTCTTAGTCGTACGTTTGCAGTGGTAGCGTTTGGAAAATTTTTTGTAGGTGAAGTGAACCGGATATTTACATCTAGCCAGAGGCAGAACGTCGAGAATATCTGTAGATAGTTGTCTGAGAAGTTCGTTTCGGTCCCACTCGTGATTGTCAAGACGTCTATAAGTAATTAATTAATTTCTATTAAAAATAAATTAGATCATACGTGTTATTATTGAATATTATACCGTAATTTAATACAGCGAACATAATGCGCGTCGCATTTATTTAACTCTTGTATCAGCAAATCCACGTTGTATCTCAGCTTGGAGAGCATCGTGGGTTTCTTGGCTTTTCCATTTTCGTGATGTAGTTTAGTCTTGTTAATTAAATAATATAGAAACGTATTCTTACTCGCGCCAAACGTTATAGTTATCTCGTCCGGGATCTGTATCACGTTTTTAATATTCATTCAGATTCGTAACAGCTTTTAGAATCACACATATGCGATCAGATTAAGCATCGTTCGTACCTTATCGGTATTTTTGGAAAGCAGATCGTTAATGGAATACTTCACGGCACCGGCGTAATGTTGAATAACGAAATTTTCGTTCTTCACTTTCAAGAATCGCCTGGTTTTGGGACAATCATTGGCGCACACTTGCCGTATTAATGTCGCTGAATCGTTCCGGACTGTCGACAAACATACCTATACGAAGATTCACGGTTAATTATTCTACATATTGACTCCACACATAATTCTTATTAAATATATATATCGTAAAGATTATTGAAAACACATTACATCGTTGAGAGGAGCGAACAAACGTTTCTCAATCGTATTTAAACTATCTTCAAACAATCGCACAGTCTTCGACGGTTCTATATCCTCAATAAGACCCTCTTCCTGCAAAATCTTCCGACGAAATTCCACACACTTTTCCATGAAATATTGCTGCAGTCTCTCGTTGACATAATTAACGCCGAGTTGCTCGATGCCGTTCACGTCAAAGCACTCGAATCCGAAGATGTCCAATATTCCTGAAGAGCGAAAAGATTGTCATATCGATATCAATGTATTAATCTCGCCGATTTCAGACAGTGAACAGATTTCTGATACCCAATCGTTCAGTGAACAGACGGACAGACAGGATCCTGTTTATAGAATTGATCAGCCAGTGAAAAAGAAGATCGTACAAGTGACGGATGATACTGTGCAGCCTGTAACGGCAAGTGTTCTTCGTGTTGAGATTACGTCGACAAGTGATGTGACGTCCCCAAGAATTTTGCGGATTTATCAAGGTAGACGTAAGAAATTCAGTGATGTCCTCTTTCTGGAGACCAGCCAGCTTGCACGTGTTTTCCAAGGCTTCCTTGGATTCTGCAAATCATGTAATATTACGTGTTCTTCATTGAGCCGTTTCATTCTCATTGTACAATTCAAATCACCGATAAAAATGCGTCTAATGGAAAGATTATCAGTTACATATACGTTGGTCATCGGTATCAATCCTGCAATGATCTTCCTCTTGCGTAAACTGTATGTTGCTCATATGGATTAGCAAGGAAAGAATTTGGAAGATATCTTTCTTCTGATCCTCCGTAAAGCATAGCATATCCATTGCTTTCAGAGTATCTTGAAAATCATCTCGAAGCTGTTGTCCTTTTGAAGAATCCAGATCGCTCGACATAAAATATACCGCATCGCTCGATAATCTAGTGTCGGCGAATTCTATATCCGTCAACGCAGCCATCATCTGGAATGTACATGGGCTTAATGAGTATTAAATAACACAAGATATACCATAAGGCTCGGTGAAAATCACCTGACTAAAAATCTGAAAATTGTAATGGCCCATTGTAACTCTGTTTCTCTCCAGAAGGTACGAGGATACCATCGCGCCGCAAATATTGCCCATTTTGTATTGAAGCCACATAAGCTCCACATGTCTCGAGCTGGTTTCATTTTTTCCGGTAGACGCTACTGTAAAAGCCGATATCAAACGGCAGGCGTTTGTGATTTTCTGCACAATCTCGCAGCAAGCTGCGTCTCGTCCCCGATGCTTGTCGGTAGATGCGTTTCTGATGGTCAAAAATTCTAACGCCTTCCACGCGTTGAAGGTCTTTCCCGTTCCGGTTTCGCCGTTCAGGACGATCACCTTCACGAAGAATGTAGAGGTGTTATTTTGCCCCGATGAAAATAAGGATCACGTGCACGAGGAATGGATTAAATTTCCTGGATTTACCTGGCTAGGCTTCCCAAGACCTTGAACTATTCTATAGCGTGCTCTAGCCGCTACAGCGAATATATGAGGTGCTACTTCCTTACAAGTTATCCTTACGTTATCATATAGATTGTTGGCACGCGACAAGTCATAAATATCATCGGTGGAAACCTCGCCGTTAGGATTGATTGCTAGGAGGAGCGTATCGATCCACGTATAAATCTGACCTCGTTGGAAACGCTCCAAGAGATAATCTACAACTATATATAATTCTATGAGAATTATGGAATTTTATATATCGAGCGGTAACATTGCGACGCCAAGTATATATATAGAGGAAGAGAAAATTCGATTTTTCGATTTGATGGAAGGATATTTATGAGGAGCAAGAGACGTTTTACGAGAAGTATAAAATAAAAAATGTGCGTATACTATTTTCCTGTCGGACACTCAAGTCGTCCATCACATCCCAGATGTAAGAGCAAATGTCACGTCTTTGTAAACACACAACGTGAGAAACGACAGAAATGTTTCACTGACACGTATTTTGCCGAATGTATATATTCCACGCTTATCGCTTTTATATATGTGTGTGTGTGTATATATACATACATACATATATACACATATATACATACATATACACATACATATTTATATATTTATTTTATATGTATTTATATTTATATGCGAAACTTGTTATCGTACGCCTGACACAATTTGATAATACAAGTTTCAAATTGAGAAATATATACAAATGCGTGTGCGTGTTCATGCGAACATGTCAAAGCATCACATATGTTGTAAAGCAATAATAGAACTCGGAAAGAACTTTACAATATTTTTCCGATGTGTAAAGGATATTCGATTTGTGTTCACAAGTGGGTGTGAAAAGGAAAAATACTCTAGTCGAATAAAATTGTCTTTATTGCGACATTGGGACTAGGTAGGCGAACGTACGATTAAAAATTGGAGATAAATCGTCTTGACAAGTACGAATTCTTAACATGATTACACAAGAGTGAATATTTTTCATTAATTATTTATTGATTCACCTAATTAATCCGCTATCATTGCTACGTCGCTAGAGTTAACTTAGAGATGTATTGTGTTTGCGCGTATTATTATTATTATTATTATTATTATTATTATTATATTGGACATTAAAGTAGAGCGTTCTTCTTCGAAGATGATCATTATATGAGAATTTTTGAAAACTGTGTAAACTTATCAATTAAATAATTATGATCGAACAATCATCGGACGTTTTGTCGGAGAATAAATATGTGATCGCTATCTTGTATATCCTTTATTTGCCATAACATTTATTATGATGCGACAACACAATAGATTTGCAGTTTTTCGAAATTTTCGCCCTAATTGTAGACTCGACCAATTCTCGCTCTTTAGAAATATAATAGCGGATGATTAATATCAATATCGATTCATCGATAATATCAATAAAACTATGTCGCTCAACTTATTCTGTAGATTCTCAGATCTATTGATTTGTTATCAATAATAAGCGGATTTCGAATAACTACTCGATACATTTCCACAAATACTCGACTGCGTTTCACGAAAGATTTCCCTAGTCCATATTTTTCTATCATATATTTCTTAAAAAATTAATGAGATTCATATACATCTTTCTCTCTTTTATTTTTCTCTTCCTCACTTTAATTCTCTCATTCTCTCTATTTCTACTTTTGCATACAATCACCGTATAAATTAAAGTATAGACAAATGAATATGTATATAATTATTATATAATATTTAGTTTTTCCTGACCATTTTTTTCCACATTACTAAAAAATACAATGCACACATCCTTTCGTTTGGATTATATATATACATATATATATGTATATATATCTCTAATTCGTTTCAATTTAATTCGAAAGTAAATATCTTTTAAAAATTAAATTTTTAATGTACTATACATTCTTTTAATATTTTTGAATCTATCAACAATATTGTGCAAAATGTCACACGCTAATACAGATATAAATATATATTTTCGTAAAAAGTATACTAGAATACATGAAAGACAGGAGAGACTAAATATCATATATCAAATACAGATTCATAGCACCAAGCGCATACCAAACACGCAATAAATTAAAGCGACAAAAATGTGGAATTTACATAGTACCCTGGCTTTGCTAATTACGATGGTATGTAATCCGTCACAAGAGGTGTGATTTCTACTTCTTTTTAAAACGATTTAAACGTATATAATAATATTTGAATAACGCTGATAAATAAAAAATATTAATATACTTTTACGGAATATATTTTTGCATGTAATGTTATAAACAATAATTAACTGCATTTAATTTTCATTGATCACAGCGAGTGACGTAATTGTAGAGAGAAAACTCACCTGACAAATGCACAGCGATATATATAGTAATCTGTATTTGATAATCTCTTTCTTTTCTTTTCTTGAAAAAAGAGAGATTATTAATAATCTCTCTTTTTTTAAGGAAAAGAGAGAGATTATTAAATATATATTATTTATATATATATCGCTGTGCATTTATCAGATGAGAAAAAATAAATTTTAAAATATATACATAAAAATGATAAAGTAGCAAGTTTTATGAAACATTGGCATGTATGTCGAATAGAAATATTAGCCAAAAATTCTAAACTTGTCTCGTTAAAAATCGGATTAATTTTTTTCGATTATAATTGTATATTATGTTTGAAATAAATTTTGTATTTTCATATTTACAGTAAATTATATTACAAAATTTTTTTTCAATAAATATGTTTTCCAATAAATATACATATATGTATATCTGTCTTTGAAATTTTATTCGAACTAAAAGACGTAAAGAGTTTTTATATTTCCGACTGCCGAGATGAAATCGTGCATTTTCGAAGAAAAATTCTACATACATGTATTATTTATTATTTTTCCCATTTATTATTTGTCTTTATCAATTTCAACCGATCGTTGAATAGATATAGCAATTTTTTGCAATAGATTTTTAATTTTACATTCGAATTTAGGTGAAATTAATTCTTTAATATTAATAAATGTGTGCACTCGTATGTGCGCGCGACAAATTATATGTTGCTCGAAATATTCGATCGGGAATAGATGACTTCTTTCGCGCTCGATACTCTCTACGCAAGTACGTCATATAAGTACGACGGTAAATTATATTAAACGAGCGCGTAACGATGACGTTACGAGGAACGTGAACTTTGTAATGCGCGATAAAATTAATTACGAACAAGAATAGGTGGAACGAGAGATCGTTTGGTGGATCGCTTTTGGACGTCCGAATCGCGATCGAAACGTTTGACGCAATGAATAGTAAACTAATTCGCGTTACTTATAGATCATATTCAATAAATAATTTATTTAATAGATATATATTAATTGTGTAAAAAAGTAATGTGTAAAATATTGGCTTATTATTGTCAATTTAAGATAAGATTTATCGGGGGAAAAATGATAGAAATTTATAAATCGAATGCATTCACAATTAATTCTATCTTGCATTTTCTGTTCTTCGAGAGGGATTCGGACGTCTGAAACGAAAGAAAGTTGCTATACATAGACAAGATAACATAATCGAGTATCGCCGCGTCCCTCCTATCGTTAAAGTCGAAGCTTCCTAGGCGTCGGAATAAGGGATTTGATTGTGTTTCCTTCTACCTTGACATCGCGTTGTTCCGCGTCGTTCGAATCGCACGGCGACTTCGCGGTGTCCTTCGACTTGGTGAACGAGCCGGACACGAGTGTCTCTGACGAATGTCTCCTCGCGTGCGCGTTGACACGACGTATCGGGGTCTGTTCCTGACGGAGTCTTAACGTATGAGGTAAACGTTCGGTTGGCTTGCGATGGCTTCCGGCAGAATTAAGCTCGGAGAGCATCGAGAATCGTTGACGATCCGACGAGTCACTCCAACTGCAATCGAGAAGAATTGCCATTGTTACAAATGGGTAATGTAAAAATAAATAGTACGAAAGATTCAATTCAAGTAAAACAAATTTTAAGTCAATTGAGAAAGAAAGGACTCACCGCACATGGCTATTCAAAGCAGCGTGAAACATGACGAATTGTAAATCTAATATATTATCGCAAAAGATAATTTTGGGAATATCGAGGTAATGTAATTGTCGCGTTAGCATTGAGGCGAAAATATTAAGAAAATATTAAGTTACTGTTACATGCCAGGAACATCGGTTTTATAAATACGAACTACCAAGCAAGATTCATCTATGATCTACACGCATCCACGCACGCGCGCGAATGCATTACAAGTAATTCGAGATTTATATCAACTCTTATAATGGAGAAAAATTAGGCTCTTATCAATCACGCAAAATGCAATCGCTCGATTATTTTCTCCTAGAAATGAAAAGTGGATTCATCGGACATGACATAAAGCTGAACATAAGAAATAATATAAATACAAAAACTGTAACTGTATTTTGTAACTATTCAACCAATCTCTCAATTGTATTATATATTATATATTAATTATACATATATCAATGTCATAGTATCATATATAATTATATATAAAATAATGTACATAAAATAAAATTACTATACTTTGTATCAAAGTACAAGATATTAGTAAACTGACTTTAACTTTACTTTGCAAGATTTGCCTTGGTTGAACAGCTGGGAACAAAAGGAAAAGTCAAATGACTTAATCGCATGCAAAACTGAATACAATCGTCAATAACGAATTGTCAAACAAGTAGCACGAAAATAGAAGAGGTGCATGAATATGAGAGCGTTAAATGCAGAGAGGAGTACATATCCCAATAGTAAGTCACACAGACTGACGCACTCTACCTTCCCGATCCTGAAGCTGCTTCGCGTGGAATTACCCGAGTAAAAGGCGGGACCAGAGTAGCAAAAAAGAAACATATTTATGATACAGAGGAAGATATATATTTTAAATGCGATTGTCAGTGGCACAAGCGTAATAATTCGCGTAAATGCAACTTTTTATTCGAGAATGATGGAACTTGATTAATTACGAGAAATATTTTACGTCAAGTTAAAGATTAGAAAAATTAAATGCATGTATAAGAATTTAGTTTATACGAATATTATTGTCGATTGAACAAAATAAACAAGATGAACTCTCACCTAACGAGAGGCCCCATAACACCATCCTGTGGGAGTGATTGTAGGAGCGAGGGTCCCGCCGATACTGGACGTGTCTAAAGTGAGCAAATGAAAAATGTGTTTTTGTCTTTAATCGAGTGCGATAAAGTAACGATAACAATGATAATAACAAACGAAATATACTCGCAAAACAAATGCGACTATCATAATAAAACAAGTGACAAGACAAAATCGAATGTAAATGATATATGATGAGGGGGTTGAATATATGTGATACAATTATATATAAAAATACCTTCTCGGTTTGCGTAGCGGCGTTACACGTGTCCACGCAGGAAATGTCGTTATTACGCGTCGGTAAAATGCAATTTTGAGCATCACCGTTCTTAGGTCCTTGAAGCTTCGATATCTGGAGCTGCGAAAATCAACGAAAACGTTAGTAACACTCTAAATATTTATTTTTTTTTCGATAACAAACATTCTAAGAATGATTACCGAGTTAGGAGTTAGATCTCCGGTCGAAGCGAGCTTTTTGCACAGAGCAATACGTTAATCGCGATGAACGATTTACCTCGTTATTTACCTCAAGTAGCTCGATGGTACGATCCCGCAGTTGTATAGTACGATCTCGGTCCTCCACTTGGCCTTGAAGAAACACTACTTGCCTCCTCAAGTCCGTCAACTCGTCCGCGATGCTGTTGCCACCGCTTCCAGGTGACGTGCTTACATCAGTAGTACTACCCTCGTTCAGGTTACAGAAGAGGCCATTCTGCAAGTGTATCGGCAATTATTATTTTTATCTTCGATTGAAAAATAAATAAATATATAAATAAAATAAATAAATATATTCTCAATCTATTTTTTTTTTAAATAAATTTCATTATAAGAAACAGCATATTAACCTTCGGATTATCGAATGGGTTGAGAGTTTCTGCCTAAAAAATCAATATCAAATATTAATAGCTTGTATGTTTATCTTTGGCGTCGCTGATAACTCGTATATATCGTCGGGACAAAGTAAAAAATAGCAGTATGACAAAAATTGATCTCTGTCTCTCTAATAATTACAATCTTCGTGTATATGAATATGAACGATTTTACTTAGTCCCGCACGGATTTAAATTTTCATACGGATATAAATTTTGATAAATATAAAAATGTTACACATACACACACACGCATGCGAGTGAGGTGACAAAAATTAGTGACAAAAATGTAAAGAAAATCAATGCAACGTACCCTCGTCAAATCGTTCTCCCCTGACTTGAGACGTAAAATCAGGAAGGACGACGACAAAAATGAAAAATAAAAAGAATCGTGTTAATATAAAAAAGGCACAAAACAGCACATCGTGTATATAAGTAACGGAATAACGCTTGCGGTCGGATAATGTGTAACGCGAGCTGAAAGCAATTGTAACGCTTCGACGGCGTACAAAACGCGCGAAACACATTTTTGCGTGACGCAAAAAAAAAAGAAAGAAAAAAAGGAAAGCGATGTGCAAACGTGAAATGCAAGCGAGCAACGTATGCGTTTATCAATGTTATACCTCCTGAAGGACTCGCTTGAGTTTCAGAAGCATCGTCTTTATGGAGACAATGTCCTGGAACATGTACTGGTACGTTCCGCGATCTATCCTGAGGCTCGACTCGTCCCCGGAATCGACGCACGATGATGAAACCTGCGGATCAACGGGACATTGCGTGAGTGCGACAAATTGTAAATTAAATCTCTGAGAATGGAAAAATAAAAGATTGCAACTTACACTTCCCGACGTTCTCATAGGACTAGAAATCTGACGGTTGCGCATGTTGTCTAATGAACGCGGCGATTCTGTTCCGGATCTGCTGCGCAACAGCCTTGACATCCTGTCACTTCCGATCCTGAAACAAAAAGAGTGAAACTCGTCATCTCTCGTATCTACACGCGGATATGTCTACGTTCCCCAAGAGGATTATGCGATTAGCGTCTTTTTCAGCGTTCTAAAAGTATTCTTTTCATTCTCTAAAACAAAAGGAACGGAATCAAGTAATTGATCATGCTACAAATACATAAACATCGAGATATAAATATAGGATAAAGACTGATTACACGGATTAAATTATAAATGGTAAGCAGAGAGTGGTGGCTCCTCAAAATAAATATAAACCCAATAGTTGAAGAAAGCAACGTAACCGCGCATTATCCAACTCTCGTCGCCAAAATCGCGACAATCGGTATCCAAAGGAAAGAAACTAACAGCATCTATGTAATCTCCTGTTATATATCTCACATCTCTCCTATACACGCTACTCGGAAATATCTGACAGTGTCTTCGTTTCCTCCGGTGAGACGAGGGGATTCACTACCTTCCGGGGCTATTCTTGGCTCGCGTGGCTGCCGCCGAGGAAGCGGCGATCGCGCCGACGACGCCGCCAGAAGAGGAGGAGGAGACCTGGCCGGTGCACGTCGCCCTGGGTTGTCGCGGGGGCGGCGATCCGTTCGTAGGCGTCGAGCTCTCGGACGAGAGGCCCGAGTCGTCGCGTCCATCCTCGCCGCCGATGCCGTTCTCCTGGCTCGGCTGGACGCGGACGCGCGTTGGCAAACCGGTGCGTCGTCGGGCACCCTTCGAGCTCTCGGACGACGGGGAGGCCATCCTCACGACAAAGTCCTCGAATTATCTTCAAGTTTCACTGAATTCACTGGTGAACAGAACGCTATCGAGGAAGTTTTAGCGGCTCGTCTTTAAACTTTCAATCACGTGTCGAAGGACAGGTGTCAGTTTCACTGATTAGAGAATTCTAATAATGTACAGAATGTGCAAGCATCGCAGGAATAGTCCCGTGATGTTTATCGCTAAGTGTGACAGCTCGTCGGTAAGTCTCGTACGCGAGAACGACGCGATGTAAATAGAGGATGGACAGGCATATTTAGCCGGACGGAATGAAGGGTGAAATGCGAGGAAACGCGGTAGGGAGGATTTAACGTAAGAGCTCAAGAGCGAGCATCTCGCGATGAGTAATTCGGTGGATATGCAGTCGCGGTCACTTTCCCGAAACGCCGGTCTTAATTACACGTTCCGTTGTCGCAATCTAAATTACGCAAATTCGATCACGAACGTCTCCTCGTCGCGAACGCGAGGATTTCGTCCTTGATGACATCGCAAATGAGATAATAACGTGCAAATTGGAAACCTGTAGACGGATCGATAGACAGGTAAATAAAGTGCGAAAAAAAGAGAGAGAAAAATAGACCCGCTAAACACGATGCACGTTGATCTAGATCCTCGTTCGGATAATGGTAACGTAATATTATGCAGCCTAACTACTAATGAGCCCTTTTTCCATTAACGCACACCGCGCGAGTTATTTATCTAGATTATAAAAATTAAATTAAATTAAATTATTTATCTAAATTATAAACAGTCGTCGGGTTACGCTTCTGTTGAATTAATTTTGAGAAACGCGAAGATAATTCGGTTAATGTCGCCATTTATATCTCGCATTTTGTTGTCGTCCCTTTCTCTCGCAATTAACGTCTTCAGCGGCTTCCCGAGTTATTTCGTCTCACGATCCTTCCGTTGCCGCTCGTTAGCGTTCACCGACTCTTCTCTACTCTTTTCACTTCATTTTCATAACAATATTAAACTCGAACTCGCGAAGAAGTTGAGTCATTCCGCCAAGTGAAAGTTATCTGGCTGAAATCTTTCGGGATACGTAGTCGCGCTACATTTTACGCTCTTGCTCCGAGTTCTTACGTATCGGCGAAACAAACAAATAGCATTTTGTTACATCTGTTTGCATCTTCTCAAAGAAATTTTAATATATTTTATATATTAAATATATATATTTTATATGTTTAATATATTTAATATATTTAATATATTTAATATATTGTATACCTCGCATTGCAATGCCCGTGATCGTCTAATAGTTTGAAGAATTGGAGCATCGTCGCAAAATTATAATTACAGTTTTAAAATAAGACGCACGCGATGCAAATTTGGCATCTCTAACGTGACACATCGCGTGAGCGAGTGTATGCTAATTTCGGTTTATATCCTGGAGACTCGAAAAATCAATATAATCTTGTGTGTCTACGAGCAAATCTTAATGTCACATTAAATATACGAGCGCGGCCTCGCATCATGTAACGCAGTAATGCATCATACCTATCCGGGGTTGTAACGATTCACGCGACAGCGATGACGTTCGTGAGACGGGACGGTCGAAGAATAATAGTTTAGAACGGTTGAGAAAAAAAGAGCAAATAAAGTCAACGTCTTCAGAAACTGAAATGTCGATGCAACGTCAAATATTCTTATATGAGTCTCAAATAAAACAATACCTACTGACCATCGATTGGACCGTCGTTGTCAATATTTAAGACCCGTCTAAGAATATTTGACGCTACTCTGACATGACAATTACGTATAGTGCAATATTGCTTTACCTTAACCGAACGTTCCCCCGCGTAAAATCGAAAAGCACGCTCATTAAACATTCATCACCGACACCTACCGCGACCGCTCACTGGAGACCCACTGTGAATCACTCATCGGGAGAAACATTTTTTTCTTTCAAAATAATCAATCACTTGCCAACGGGAGACTCGTCATCGCGCGAGGCCGTGCGTTGGGCGTCCCGTTCGACGGACTCTCGTCGAGTCCTTACTAAGGAGTGCGGGCGACACGTGGAATACTAGGCGAAGTTTTCGACGCACGGACGGTGTTTCACGGCGTATATACATTAACCGGTGCATCCGTCGGAATCCGACCTGCGACGGTCGCCGGCAGGCAGACAGGATCACCAAGGACCCCTCGAGGGGATACACGGGAACGCGTGCGCACCTCGCACTACGAGCCTGGTTCGATATCGCTCGTGGTGGACGAGCCAGAGGAGAGGAGAGAGAAACGACCGAGAAGAGAGAGGTAGGGAAAAACAGTAGGGAGGGGAAACAGCTGCAGACGGTAGAGAGGAGGTGGGGATGATAATGCAAAAAGCTGTGAACTATTGAGTTTACGATATCGAAGTTTACGATAGCGATCTTCCCCTCCTTCCCCCTGGCGAAATATTTCACGAAGTTTATCATTGCGCGTCTTTCTTATCGAAATCTTTTTCCCCTCTCTTTTTTAAATATATTTATTACATATGTTTATATTTTAATTAATTCTAATAAATTCAAATAAATAATAAAATCAATTAAAATATATTAATATTAGTTAATTAAAATATATATTTATATATATTAAAATATATATTAATTAAAATATATATTTATATATATTAAAATATATATTAATTAAAATATATATTTTATATATATTATTATTTTTAATTTAACTTACAGAGTCGGGATTAATGAGCGTCACGGGTTTATCCCACAAGAGTTTGTCCTAGATTTTATTATGAAAAATATCGTAATAAAATGAGTCATTAAATTTATGCTATTTTCGTATAATTAAATTCGGCACACCAATGAATATTTATTGACTGTCTACTCTAATTGGACGGGCGTGATCTGATAAAATTGAAGCCAGTCAGATCAACGACCAGCTTGATTCATCAATAAATAAATTCCCAATCGATATGAAGAATTGAGTTGTATCATTCAATAATATCTAATCATATCGCTTCTCTAATCTCTTTTGATAAAACTTCTTGGAAATCTATAAATTCACGACAAAATAATTCCATGTAATATAACTTCTCGTCATACAAGTATGATTAATTATTTACTACTATCGAATCTTATCTTAATTATGACTCAAGCATTTGATCGATCAAACACGACATCGAGATTATAATATTAAATCGCAAAGAGTAATCATCAAGGAAGATTGTCTATTCAAGCAGTGAATTGTAGATCTTTTTTAAAATTCCCCTTTTCAAATTAATATATAATGCAGTATGGAATTGCTGAACTTCTCGAAATGAGAGGGGTTTAGAAATTACATCGACAGAGAAAAAGTAAAAATCTCTTTGCGTCTGCAACAGACTCGTCTCCGAAGTAGACGATCAATACTCCAGTTGGCCGTCCTTTAGCCTTTAACCGTGTTTACGCACGATGTTTCTACTCTCCTTGGCAATTTTTGCTCTGGCACGGCTTTCCACCGGCGCCAAGAATCCGGGATTTATGAGGCACTTTTCATTTCCAACGGTAGTTCCTCGCAGTCCTTTTACGAGAGAGCAATCTATCGGAATGCCAGCGCTCTCGGTGAATTTTTCACGGCTCTTTCATCGAGCACCCCCGAATTGACGTTTCATAATAGATGATCGCGCGCGTCTGGACGAAAAGATTCACTGACGGAACATTTCCGACATGAACTCGCTTCTTTTATTATTGTTCATTAAATCACGGTTAAATTACAGTAAAGTTAATAAAGATGAATTTTCTTGCGCGCGTGTCGTTTACAGCAGAATTTTGCAAGATGTAAGAGGCTCTTTTAGATTATTGACGGCAATATTTTCCGCCGCCGACCACAGCTAGTTATCGTTACGAGAGGTTTAGTAAATAGACCGAAAAAATTCACCGTTACACGATAAAACCGCGAAGGAGATAGCCCCAAGTAAGTTGTTTCCGCCAAGGCAAGCGCTTGGAGAGAGAGAGCATCATGAAAAATGAGAATTGCGTGCTCGTCTGATTTTTTTCTTCAATAAAAACGAATAGCGATCAATATCATGCATACATTATTCTATCAAGATACAAAGAGAGAAAGTAACAAAATACTAGCAATTCGAGTGGAAAAAAAAATTCCTTTCATCGACAATTTCTCTTTCGCACAATCTCGTCACGAATCGATACGTATTCGTCTCGTTTTTACAGTCGCGATCAATGATTGTCCGAATTGAAAATTCGACGCACGAAATGACAAGGGAAGAGAGAGGAAAAACATCAACACGGC